GAAGAGAGAAGAGAGAAGAGAGAAGAGAGAAGAGAGAAGAGAGAAGAGAGAAGAGAGAAGTGAGAAGAGAGAAGCGGGGATAAAGAACGGACAACAGCAAATAGAAAAAAAAACAGAAAACAAAAACAGAAAAAAACTGGACCTTCAGAAGCTGGTGTTGAGCCTGGTTTGGTTTATGGACAAGCAGGCGGTTGGTAGAGCAGCGAGGCCCGAGACTATGGGGATTCTTCTGCTGGGGGCCACGGGGCCGCGCGCGGTTTTTTGGGGCCCGGCGAGGCCAGGCCAGTGCCAAGGGCCCGCTTTAATCACCGAGGCCCACTTAAATAAAAAAGAGGCTCTTTCATAGCAGAGTGGCTCTTCGACAGCACCCGCACTGGTGCGAGGCAAACATCGCAAGATCCACAAATGACACGCGGCTTGCAAATCAACCCGGCTCCTCTTGTTTTGAGATTGTCTGTGCATGGATTCGATGGGGCCTGTGGTTATTGCATCTGCCCGCGGCACGCCGCACGAGCAGCACTGTGCAGTCGGCCAGACAGAACCTCCATGGTCTGGAAATTCCGCCCGTACTATTCCGCCCGTATCCATGCTCATCATAGGTCCGCCGGATTTCCCTGCAACAATTAGCACGCCGGGCTGGCGAAGATGGAAATCAGGCTGCACATCAGTTGGCAGTCCTTCATCCCGAGGCACACACAGAAATGGAATTGTTGGGGCTGACGATCCTGCCGGCACCGAGATCCACAGTCTCTGGAAACGCTATGCTGTGATTTTGGAGACAAGCGCGGGCCTGGGGGGAATGGCGAGTCTGCTATGGATTTGGAGAGGGCGTGCATATGGCCCCTGGGTTATGTCCAGGTCCCCGTTTCAAGGTATGCCAGCATGTGGTCTCGAGGGCCAAATCAAACTGGTTGGGGGTATTCTGGTATGCTTGACTAAAGAATTTGTGTTTCCGCAGGCACGCAAAAGCGGATCTGTGTGGTGGAAAACGTGGGACTACTTAGTCTAGTAATGAGCCTAGAGCAAGACTTCGCGGGCACCAGGTAATCATGGATGCCAGAACAAGAAAATAGAGCACACACCGCAACAAGCAATACAACCCAAGACAGCACCCAGGCACAAAAAAAAAACAAAGCCCCAGAGAGGAAACAGAACAAACAACAAACTAACAAATCAATAAGAAAGAAAGAAATGGACAGGAAAACAATACATGGAAATGGTCAAAGAAACCCATCCAGCCAAAACTGGCCCGGGCCGGCGTGAGCATCCCTAGCCCAAATCGGAGCGCCAGGGCGGACGGATCAGTCATCGGCCAAGCGGCTGGGGCCACATAGCAACAGCCCAGAGGAGCCCCAGTGCCGAGTGCAGGGCCAGACTGCGTACGGGGCCTCGCGTAGTGATGGTCTCCAACAAAAGAGCCCTTATCTCTAAAAACGCGCAACAGGCCTGCCTTGCCCAATAGGCGATCCACGAAACCGCACATACAAGGGGCAGCTCTAGAGCCCCATGTGGGCCCCACGCAGTATGAACCGAGCCTGGCTCTGGCAAAAACCCACCGGCAGATCAACGGAGCGTTTTTTCCCCGCTCCACCTGCCGCAGACCACCCAACCATAGATCCTTGGCCCGACGCACGTGACCGCTGTCATCCTGTCCTGCACCACCCCGCAGCTCCCACGACCATCTGGCCCGATAAAGTCGACACAGGCCCAAGCGAAACCCCCCGGGCCACACAAAAACTCTAGGTGAGCGAACCACAACAACCACACGCCTGGCAATGGATTTTGAGGAGCAATTGGAAAAGGCGGAAAAGTCGCCTTATCCCTCGCTAGTCGGGGCGTCCGTGAAATCGGCCGACGACTCGCCCCACAAAAACTACATCCACCCCGAGAAATACACCGGCACAGGCCGCAAAAACACCGCCAAAAAGTCCATCTTGAACTCGTCGATCGGCGCCTCGTTGGACGACTTGATCAGCGAGGGTGCGCTCTTGGGGAGCGATGAGAACTTCGACCGCTTTTTGGACGACAAGGGCAACGTGCTCTCAGATGCCAAGTTCTCGACAGAGAACTCCAGCGACTACCACTCGGTCGAGCCTGCGGAATCCCACAAGCCCTCGCAAAGCTCGTCGTTGAGAAACTCTCAAATCGCGGCTGCCGCTGCCGACGACGCTACGAGTCCGCTGGCTGGGGGAGCCATCCCAAATGAGGCCCCCAGACCTTTGTCCGAGCTCGAAAACTACTCGACGCCAAACCTCTCGGAGTACCAGATCGGCCACCAGATCTCAGACCACTCGGAGCTCTTGGATTCGGTGAAATCTTACGACTTGTCCAAGTTGCCCACGGCCAACGACACGGAGTCCAGATCCATGACCAACGTGGTGCACCCGGAAGCCGAGACCACTTCCAGACCTGTGCGGCCCAGCAACATGCGCAACAACTCGGGAGCCGCTGCCAGAAAGCCGGTTGCCGCGCAAAACGCACACGTCACCGATGCCGATTCGTTGCATGCCCCGTACTTCCACACTGACGAAAGATCAAGCTCAAGATCCAGAGCCAGGGTGGGTTTTCGGGACGACAGCCGCGAGCGATCCAGGTCCAGATCCTGCTCGGTAGTGGCGCCCCACTTGGCGCGCGGCGACACGTACAAGAACACACACGAGGAGACGCCTTCAAAATATGAGCTTCCTGCTGGTATGGAGGTCGACGAGGATGCGGAGGTGATGGACGATCGGAGATCCAGACAGTCGAAGCCAACCTTGGGAGACTCCATTGCGGCTGCCGAGGCGACAAAAGTCCCTGTATCCGACACCGAGTCTGTGACTAGAGACCCTTCTTTGGTCACGAGCGGAGACTACAAGAACTTCAACGCAGACGGCCGCACCAGAGTCTTGCAGGGCTCGAACTTGTACTCTTTGCGTTCGGAATCGTCTACAAATTACTTGAGGTCCATTTCCAGATCAAGAAGCAGAAAGCCCGCCAATGACTTGGGCGCATACGCGTCTGTCAACGAGAAAAACGACGCCAATCCTCAGGTGTTGGAGAGAGAGGGTGCTTTAGTGTCCGACGACCCGTTTTCGCAGGTTGACGACTTGGATAACATGATGAAAAAAGTCTTGAAAGAGTCTGCAGAGAAATCTGCCCTGAAGCCAAAAAACTTAGTCAATGATGTACCTGCGGGACCAAAAAATACTGAGACTATGAAGCAGTTAAACTCCGAGAGTATTCTCCAATCAAACACGGGGCTGGACGGAGCAAGCCACAATACTCGCCCTGAACAAGAGGACCAGTCTGATCAACCAAATCAAGTCGTGGATGATGTTTCAGCGGAAGAGAAAGATTTGGGGACAAGCGAGCAGTTGATCGCCGAAAGTGCACCCACACTATCTGCCAAGGATATTCACGTTGAAGGAGAGAAAGCTCAGGAGCCCGAAAACTCCGTCACTTATCCAGAGGGCAGCACCGTTGACCCCACGCCTGAAGAGGGAAAGGTTAACGATGTATCTGCAGAAGAGAAGGACGCAGACACTCAAGAACAACTTAAGGCAGAAGAAGCTCCTGTCGTATCCGCGAGTAACATCCACGTGAACGGTTCAACAGAAGAAAGTGAAACGAAGGCTGTGACAGATGTTGAGACATCAGATGTGGAAAAAGAGGGGATGCTGGAATCTGGAGCTGAGGGAACGAAAGCCGAAGATGATTCTGCCGCTGACCTCAATGATGTAGACGTCAAGCCACTGGAGGTGAACCCAGGCGACATTTCCCACGCTCAGCAGGAAACTGAAGCGGTCGAGAATGGCCAAATCAAAGAAGATGCAGCTATTAAAGAAATAGATTCTGATCCATCCAAGAATAGCTCTGCTGAGACGCCCGAGTCGAAAATTGACGTGGCAGAACAACCAACCAATTTGATCACGGAGCCGGATACTATCGGGGAGAACTCATCTCCCGCTGTGGCTGAAAAGCCAGCAGAGACTGCGGGTGTTCCGGCTGAAAAGGAAGAGGATTTTGAGGTGTCAGCCGAGGAGTTGCGCCAGCATTTGGAGAGCCTTCCTGTTTATCTCTACACGTCGCTTGCTGGTGGGATGCAAATTATTACGCGCACCAATAGATTGGCCACGATCTTGCAGGCGAACGGGATCAAGTTTGAGCACAGAGACTTGGGCACAGACGAGGAGGCCAAGAAATTGTGGCGCAGGTATGCACAGGGCAAAACCTTACCGGGCGTTGTCAGGGGCGATGATTTCATTGGAAACTGGGAATTCATCGAGGAAGTCAATGAAGACTACCGCTTGAAAGAAGTTCTACACGAAACTTTATGAGGACCTCTCTTGAAGAAGTATCATCCTTTCGGACGCCACGTGATTTTGAACACGGCGCACATACCTGAGCGAAGGCTAAATAGAATACATGAATTAAATTCCCACCTCCACGGAGCCGTCTGTTCATGAGCCCAATTGGGACTGGACGTCTTGCATACAATGTCAAAAACCACACCAATATGCGACGACGTACTCCGGTCGCTTGCTCAGTGTGTGCAGGCGAACATGCGGACGATGTTCAAATTTCAACTCGAGAACCAGCGCTCGCTTTCCGCCAGCTGTCAAAAAGTAAAGAACCCAAGGGGCAAACAGTTTACACGCCTTCCCTCATCGTTTTAAGAGCTGTAAACCAAGGCCGGACTTATTTGCACCACACCTCGCCTAGATATTCATTCATAAAGTCCGTGGAGCATCACATACGATCCAACTTGAAATTCAGTTTTTTCGTTTCTTGATCCACCATTGAATACCGGTTTTCTAATAAATTCGGTCGTTCTTATTCTTTTGCTGAAAAAAACTGATACCCGCTGATCGCAAAAAGAATTTTTTTTTCGAATCCGCTCTCTTCTCTCGAACTTATCAACATGGCCACTCCCGCTGAGATTATCGCTGCTCGCGTCAATGGCACGTATCTTGCCGCAGCGCAAGACGAGCCTGTTTCCTCGAAGCCTTCTTCAAAGAGCACCTCAGTCAATGAAGAGACTCGTTGTCTCTCTGATGAATCTGCTTTTCCCGTTTTGGGTGGCGGCGCCCAGTCTCTGGCTGGCTCTTCCGTGTCTACCTCATGGGGCCCATCGTCCAACGGGAAGTCGCCAGTTTCATACGCTTCATCGACAAACACGTCTTCCAAGGCTGCTGTCAACGGCCCAAAATTCAAGTCTTCGTCCATCCAATTGGCGTTTTCCTTAGACGCCGAGGACCAGTCGAACATCGCCAGACCGGAGTTTATCAAGATCATGAACTCGATCAAAGCCTCGACTTCCAGTAGCATTGAGTGCACGACTTCCCAGCACACCAAGAAAAGAACCTTTTTGATCACTGGAAAGCCGGAACAGGCCAAGCAGGCGAAAAGACTCATCATCAAGAAGTTGACCAAGCCTGTGGTAATCTCCTTTGTGATTCCTGCTAAAACCAGGGCTAAGGTGATTGGTGCCCAAGGTAGAAACTTGAAGCCGATTATTCAGGAGAACGAGGTAAAAATCGACATTGGCCAGTTCGACGGGTCTGCTTCTCCATCTCCCGTGGATGACGAGGATGACATTTACGCCCAGACAGTGAACGTCGCCATTGAAGGTGACGTCGAGGGATGCAAGCAAGCCAAAGCACAAATCATGGCAATTGTCAACGAGGACCTCAAGAACTCCCAAGTCAGAGTTCTTGTCGATGGATTTGTCAAGCCTTTTGTAGCCAAGGCATTGGGCGGCCTTGTTTCCAAATACCCTGACCTTGACTTCACCTTTCCTCCCTATGGCTCGTCTTCCAAGTCTATCATCATCGTGGGCGACAGAGAGGATTCTCTTGCTGCCAAGGAGGAAGCCAAGGAGCTCATTCAGGAGTTGCTCGCTACTCTTGTTATAGAATTGGTGGCTATTCCAAAGACTAAGTTTTCCTTCATCCCAGTTACCCAGGTTTTGGAAGAGGATAACGTTTTGGTGGAATTGCCCGAGGATGAGGACTCCCCAGTTAAATTTATTGGCGAGAAGGCCAACATAGCTCCAGCCCAAGCTAAGGTGAAGAGTATCATTGCCCAGTTTAAGGTTGAGACAATGGATATGTCAAAGGCGCACAAAGGTAACATTCCACACGTTAGAGCTGTTGCAGCAATGTTCACCAAGTATGGCATATTTGACGCCATTGCTAAAGAATATGGGATCAAGATCAACTCTCCTGTCTTGAATGTTGCTGAGATCAAATCCATTCCAATCGAAATCATTGTGAAGACGGATGAGCCAGAGAACACAAAGAACGCCAGAAGAGCAATTGTAACCGCTGTCAACAAGGTTACCCCGGATCAAACTTTGGAGATTTCTGACATTGATTCTTTTTTCCACTCGAAAATTCCCGGAGCTCTTGACGAGATTGCTGGTGCAAAATATGTTATTCTTGATGACTCTAAGATTTATCTTTTTGACTACTCATCCAACCAAAGCGATGACTTCGAGGATTTCGAAGATTCATTCGCTCCTGTCTTGGCTGAATGCCAGAAAGCCCTCGAAGGGATAAAAGAATTGCAGAGTACTTTATCCACTTTCGTCTTGCAGGTGCCTTCTGCCCAGCAAATTCACATCAAAGGCCCCAACGGAACGACTTTGAGGACGATATTGGCGTCAGCTGAGCCAGGCTCAGTCGTAATTAAGTTGCACTCTAATGCTTCTGGGGTTTCCAAGAATGAAGTTTTGATCAAGGGCCTTAAAGCAGAGGCCAGTAAAGTACAGAAAGACATTTTGGAAATTGTTGAAGAGGCAGAGGAATATAGCGCTACTGGAGGATACAGCACTACCTTTGAAGTGCCAACTTTTGTTTTGGCGAGAGTCATCGGAAAGGGGGGCTCCAAGTTGAATTCTCTCAGAGATGAGTTTGGAATTAAAATTGACATCGCAGGTGATGCGAAAAACAGCGAGAACGTCGACAAATCTCTCAGAACGGAAATCACAGTGAATGGTATCAAGAGAAATGCTGAAGGTGCCAAGGATGCTATTAAGAAATTGGCCAACAAACTTGCTGATGACACCTTAGTAAGATTGAGAATCGAAAATCAATACCACAGAAGAATTGCCGGTCCTAACTTCACTTACGTTAACCGATTGGAGGACAGGTACAACGTCAAGATCAAATTTCCCTCTGACACGAGCAGCAATTACTCCGATGCCCCAAATAATGAAAATGAGATCACCATTAGAGGACCTTCGAAGAATGTTGCTAGAGCCGAGGACGAATTGAAGCAATTGTACACGTTTGAAAAGGAAAACGGACACAAATCATCGATTCGAATTCCATCCAAAGCTGTGGCTAGAGTGATTGGAAAGAGCGGTGCTATGATCAATGACATTTCTGATGCCACTGGTGTCGACTGCAAGTTTAACAAAAGTCCACAAAAGGATGCTGATGTTGAGTTTGTTGAGGTTGAACTAACTGGATCGAAGTCTGCTTTGAAAGAAGCAACACAAAAGATTCAGGAGATTGTCAGCGATGTTGAGAACTCGATTACCGTGTCTATTACTGTAGACCCCAAGTACCACCGTGATTTGGTTGGTCCAAGTGGCTCAGTCTTGAGAGAGATTATCAGCAACGCTGGAGGTAATGATTTGTCCAGACAGGAATATCATAGATTACTTACGATCCCCAACGAGGGTGCTGGATCCGACCAAGTTGTGTGTCAGGGTAACAAACTTGTTGTCAACAAAATTGTCGACCAAATCAAGAATATTATTGCAGAGAAAGAGGCTTCGATCAAAGTTGAGTATGAATTGGCAAAGGAGAAACACAAACTCATTGTTGGACCAGGTGGATCCATACGGAAGTCCTTAGAAGAGGAATTTGGAGTTCAAATTTACATCCCAAAGGTGAATGAAGCATCAAACATGATTGAGTTGACTGGATTACCTGAAAAGATTGAGAAATTGAAGGTTAAATTAGATGAGATCACAAAGGATAACTGGAATGAAAGCATTGACATTCCAGTTATCTATCATGCCATGATCTCGAACAGAGGTGCTACCATTAAGTCGTTGAGATTTGAGCACAACGTTGAGGTGTCATATGGTAAGTTTGCTAGAAAGGCTTCTTCATTGTCCAACGCCTCAATCCCAGCCCCACCCGAAGGATCTGAGCCTGCAGATGAGTCTGCCACAAATTTTGTCACAAAGAAGGTCGATGAATCATCTAATGAAGGCTCCACTATTCCTTGGAGATTGATGGGCGAGGCAGAAGCAACTGCTAAAGCAGCCCAGATTATAGAAAGTCAATTGGCGAGAGCCAGACTTGTGACCACTGCCGGATGGTTCTACTCAAAAAACCCAAGTGCGCATTTCCCAAAGATCGTTGGACCTCAAGGTAGCAAGATCAATAAGATAAGACAAGCGAGTGGAGCTTTCATCACCGTGCCCCGTACCAACGAAAAATACAACAACTTCATTTACTTGGTCGGTACCGATGAGAGTTTGCAAAAAGCTAATGAGGAATTTCTCAAAGTTCTTTGAGCGGTTCTTCAATTAGTCAAGGGTCCGACTGGGCCGTTTCCGGCGCGCCGATAGGAAAATTGCATTTCCACATGGCGCTGCGCCTTACCAAAGAAAACCATAGAGTCACGTGCGATTGCACAAATGTCAACGAAAAAAGAAATACCTGCTCACTATCCTTAAAGAAGAATTTCCGTACACAATTTTAGATGTAGAGAACAAGACTGTCCGCGGATTTAGACGTTATAGACTGCTCGCTTAGAGTATAGTTTTTTTGGAGAAGCCTGAGTTTGTACTGGATTGTAGACTCCAAAACCCCTGATAGTGATTTTTTCTTTTGCAACAAGGACCCCTCTTCAATGCATGACTGCTGACCATATAGATTCACGTCTAACTATGGTGGCAGAAAGATGTTGCCCGCCCACTGATTGGTACTGTGTAGTTGGCAAAAGGTTCGTTGTAGTCCCAAAATGCCTTTTTGCGCATATCCAGAACGCCGTGGCCTGTGTACAGAGTGCCTTTTGCAAGGCGATGACGGAGTCCAAGCCACTGCGGTCAGCGGTTTTTACTATAGGGCGCGTTCAAATCAGAGGCGTTATGTCATCTTGGACTGCAGCAGGACAAACTTGCATGGATATATTTCTTCGCCCTCAATGCATTGTCATCTTGCTGTTTGCAGCCGGGATAGGTCATCGTATATAAGTCCCGTATGCTCATTTTCGGAACACGGGGAGTAAAATTAGCTTGCATTATACATTCCGAAATATTCCATTTTTCATATTATCTTAAAAAAACAGCCTCATTTGGGTCACGGCATCAATTAATACTCATCTACAATGTCTTCGGAGGAAAAGAAGTCGGAAAACTCCGAAAACAACTTTTCGAACGTGGAGGACTTCGAGACCAATGCTGCAGTGAACATTGATCAAAACAAAAAAGATATCGGCGTTTTTTCTGCCGTTTTCTTAGTCACAAACAGAATCATTGGTGCCGGTGTGTTCTCCACTGCGAGTACGATTCTTTCTCTCTCAGGGTCCGTCGGAACCTCTATGATATTATGGGTGGTTGGCTCCATCATTGCCTTTACCGGTCTTCTTTCTTACATGGAGCTCGGATCTGCTATTCCTAGAAATGGTGGTGAGAAGAACTATCTTGAATACATCTATACCAAGCCCAAGCTTTTTGTCACAGCCATGTATGCCTCCTACATTTTCTTTTTGGGTTGGGCCGCAGGTAATTCTATCGTCACTGGAGAATACTTGTTGAATGCTGCAGGCAAGGAGGTCACTCAATGGAACTCCAGAGCTATTGGCATTGGTGTGATTACCTTTGCCTTCTTGATCAATGGTCTTCACGTGAAGTCGGGTTTACTTTTGGCCAATGTATTGGGTGTGTTCAAGGTTGCCATCATTGTTTTCATTTCCATCACCGGTTGGGTGGCCCTTGCAGGTGGAATCAAGAATGACAATTTCACCGACCCCCACAACTTCACTGATTCATTCAGTGGAACCACACCCACTGGCTACGGCATTGTCAATGCATTATACAACATCATTTGGTCTTACGTCGGTTACTCGAACGCAAACTACGCTTTGGGTGAAATCAAGAATCCTATTAGAGTCTTGAAGATCGCTGCCCCTTCTGCGTTGTTCGTCATCACCATTCTTTACATCTTTGTCAACATTGCGTACTTTGCTGTGGTTCCTGCCGATGAAATTCGCTCTTCTGGTAGAATTGTCGTGGCATCTTTCTTCAAGTACGCTTTCGGTGAAACCGCCGAGACTGCTTCCTCTGTCTTTGTGGCGTTGTCGACATTGGGTAACGTTTTATCTGTCATTTTCTCGCAAGGCCGAATCATTCAACAACTTGGTCGTGAAGGCAGTTTGCCATTTTCCAGATTCTTTGCCACTTCGAAACCATTCAACTCACCTTTCGTAGGATTGTTCCAACACTGGATTGTGTGCATTGTCACCATCATCGCTCCACCACCCGGAGATGCATACAACTTCATTTTGAACTTGATTTCATATCCTTTGAATGTTGTCAACACCTTTGTCGCCATTGGATTGTTGTATTTAAAATACAAAAGCCACAAAGGCGAGATCACTTGGAACCCCCCTATCAGAGCCCCATTCTCAGTTGTCTTTTTCTTCGCCCTCAGTTCTTTGTATTTGATTGTCGCTCCATACATTCCTCCATCGGCAGGTCAGAGTGTTTACAACAGTTTGCCCTACTGGATTCATCCTGTTGTCACCTGGGCTATTTTCGGTATCGGTGCAGTTTACTGGGCTGTATGGGCTAAGTTATTGCCCCGCATTGGTGGATACACAGTTGTAGTGAAAGAGGTCATGGGCAGTGACGGATTCTGGAGAAACAAGTTCATCAAGGTCCCCCATGGCGTGGACCCTGACAAGTTCGCGGAGGAGGCTATCAACGAGGATGCTATTTTGAATGATTAATGTGGTATTTATAGAAAAATAATAGAATTACGAAGCTAAAGATCTTCACAGCATAGTTTTATACAGGTGTTTTCAATAGTAGGCCTATCGAACAGAGTGGGTTTCTCGTATGAATCTACGGCCATATGTGATAATCTCTTTCTTCTGGGGAAGTGCCACTACCACGGATGTTCACCGGTTCATGAACGTTGTGGACGAATCGGTTAAGAATTAGCGTGGTCTATTAGTATTACCTTCGGTGATATGGTAGTCCTCGATCTCACAGTTCCGTGCGCCAGAATTAGTGGCGCGGAAAAAAACTAAAGAAAAAAATCTGATGTCTCGCCCCACGCCATAGGACTTCAGGAAAATCGGCGCATCGAAAGCTAGAGTTATTCTCTTCCATAAGCCAGCATGCCAGTGAAAGCCATACAGAAGTTGTCTCTGGCCAGGAATGGTATTGGCGCGTTCGTTAAGCCATGCCATAAGATCACAGTCCAGTTCTGTAACTGGGGTGGTTCGTCTCAAGGAGTCAGAGATTTGTTGGTCGATCCCGAGAAGCGCTTCCAGAAATTCACAACGTCAAATAAGGACACCATGTTCGAAATCGTTAAGAAAAGCGGACACCCCATGTTGACATTCCATTACAGCACGGGGAAAAACAGCGTGGTCGATGTCAAAAACTTGGTCCCCACCGATATTGTGGCCAAGCTAGATGAGTACATCAAAAGAGGTGGAAACAATCTCTTCAAGTTCAACCACAAGGTGATGTCTGAAAACGAGTCTGTGAGAGGTGTGTGGTCTCCTTTCCACGAGGCCAAAGAACACAGACACAGAATTTAAGTTGGAGAAATTTGCGTGTATATATGAGGGAATCTAAACAAATAAGTATCGATAACTTGATGGAAATTTTGCTCGCTGTATCTGGCTCCATCCACATGTAGCTTTATCTGAATTTGACTAGGCGAGTTTCCCAAGTATAGAGAAGAAGATAGAGGAGCAAAGGGGTTCTAATCTTGGAGCCGACAATATTATTGCAATTATGCGCCAAAAGTGGGGAGGGAAAATTAGGTTTAATTGGATGTTGGATCTACTCGTTTTTTTTTTTTGCCATGGTAGAAGCCGGTTTAAGATTATGTGTCATGGGCTACAGTCAATGTGGTTTATCATGACCGAACTCTCGCAGCAGATTATTACAGACTTTGAAAAATAAGCAACAAGCAAGTGGCTTTTGGAAAATTTCGATCTCAATCTCAAAGTAAACGGAAGTTACTCTCTTGTAATGGAGACAAACGTTATTGCAAAGCCAGGATGAATTTGTTAGTCGTGTGAACTAATAGAGAAACGTAACAGATACAGATTAACCCACGAATATTCTTTGTCCGCGCCAGACAAATCGACTCATATCAGGTGTTGTGATCTTGATCTTCTCTTTATTTTCTCTCCATATTGCTGTCAAATTCGGAGACGGCAAATGAAAGGCCCATCACGGCACTCTTCTAACGCCATTCGCACGTCCCTGCCTCGAAAACAATCAATCGCGTGCTTCTTAGAAGCTGACGGCGCTGCAGATGGATTCTTCGAGGTTGCCTTCCCAACTTGGCAATCTGTCATGCCGCGCTTGTCGGCTCCCGATGCCATTTGGGTCTGGGGCGAAACGGTTGCGCGCCTCATATAGCAAGTGCAGGCGAAAAAAACAAGGTCTCACTCCACGTCTCGCACTCGCTTGTCGTTCAGGGCGCGGCTATCTGTGTGAGTTGCCATTTGAGGAAGACGATTCATAGCACAGCTCTCCAGGGCAAAACTTAATAAGCAAAACAATTTTCCGGGCGAAAAATTTCACATCAGTATCTAGCTTTTGTTGAAACTCAGGGATATTCTTAAATACACCAAATTTATATAAAGATGAATTACAAGAGTTATCAACAGGTCTTAGACTTGTCTGGAAACAGAAAATCCTCACCAAAAGCTCGCCCTGTGCAACCCACCAACTCGGACGGGCCTAAAAGAAGAACAAAGTCAGGTTGCATGACTTGCAGAAAAAGAAAAAAGAAGTGTGATGAAGAAGTTGAAGGTGGGAAATGTCAGGCTTGTATCCGTAATTTCTTGGACTGCTGTTGGTCGGCAGAGAAACCCCCACAGCCAGTTGAGAGTCTGCCTTTGTCACTTGCTTCACAAAAACTTATGGTTCCAAAAAGCCCTCTTTTGGAAATCAAAGAAAAGACTGTGCCCGCTTCCCAGAAGGGTGCAAGTGCTTATCCATCCCCTATATCTTCTCCTAAAGCCAGACCCATGGAAGAGACCAAAACAATTCAATCTCTCAGCCTACCCCCAATTAAAATGAAGATCGAAAAGCCTCAGAAGAAGACGGCTATCAGCAAAGCAAAATCGGAGTTCATAGTGACTTCTTTTGATAGCCAGAGGGCCTTGTGTCAGATAAAGTGAAGACATGCCCGTTCTGATTTAGGGTATGCTAGCTGGTCTAGCAATTTGGGGTTCGGTACATTGTATAATTAAGGTGTAAAATAATAGCACGACAGTTTTTCATATAAAAAGGGCTTAGACTACCACCATTCTTTTCGACTGCCTGGGCGGAATTTAGATCTTGCAATGTCTTTGCCGTTGGACACCTCCGTACTTAATTTTTGCACTCGTGGATGGGGCTAGGATCTTCGTGAAGCCTCAGCCCAACTTGTCAGTGTGTTTGAAGATCATTCCATAAAAAAACATGCAAAGAATTTTCGTTGCTATGCTCTTTATGAAAAAATTGATAATTAATTAAAAGTGCTTTCGTGATACATGCAATGCTGCGGTAAAAAATTATTCTGTAGCATGGATTGGCAAGCTCCAGAGTTTAGAGGGCGTGAAAAAGCACAATTTCACATGTTTGCGCCAATGTAATCGAAGGCATAAATTCTTGCCAATTTGAGACAGTATTGTGTGATCGGAATTCTTATTGTTAGCTTCTAATTTTGATGCGTTGGAAACTGTGGCCCTCGAGCCGCAGTAGTGTTCTCAGCCCAACCAAAAACAGTCTTACATGATGCAATTTTTGATGAAGAAAATAACAAAAATTAGAGAAGCAAAATCTTACAGTAATACCACGAGCATAACTGGCATTAGGGATTGCTTAATTCAATGACCTTATTCCATTGAATCTAGCGTGGCCTCCAGTCGACCATCACAAGTTTGTGGTGTTTGGCAATACATGTACGCAGTGAGCGCTTCCTCATCAAACAGCTGTATTTGTGTTATTTGCTTAACAAAAAACGCTCTGTGAAACCTTTTCGAAGCCATTTCGACATCACAGCTTTTGAATTAGTGTTCATAAAAGGTTCCCCATAAGGTGTGGCTCGTTCATGGCGCAAGATCTCGATGTCTGCAGGTCTAAATCCGGAAAAGATCGATTTTGCAGCAATAGGTATAGTGTGGCTCTCGTCTCACGTGCTCCCAGACATGAAATATCTTGAAGTATAAATATAGCTTGTTTGGAATGAGGGAAACTCAGCTTTCTTATTACATCCAAGCCTTTTTCGACAAACAAGTCAGCATTTCACTGCCAAGAAACATAAGCCTGCTTCTTTAATCGAGATGTCTCCAGTTAAAACGTCTCTCTCTGGTGATTATGACACCCACTTCAATAAAGAGATTGATACGGTCACCTCTGACGGGATTCTTACTATCAATGAAGAAAACAGACAGAAGTCCAATTTTCCTGACCTTTTGCCCACATGGAACCCCAAAGAGAAACACCAACCATTGAAGTCTTTTGAGCACAGTGACCCTGGTGCTAGAGCTGATCCGTCTTTTCCAAACCTTCTTCCAAAAGGTGGCAAGCAAAAAATCAAAAGAGTCACCCCAAAGTTGGGGACTGAAATTAAAGGTGTGCAAATCTCCCTGTTGGACGCCAAGGGGAAGGATGAGTTGGCACTTTTGGTTGCAGAAAGGGGTGTGGTCATTTTCAGGGACCAAGATTTTGCCGAAAAAGGCCCCAAATTTGCCGTGGAATATGGTGAGCATTTTGGACGCCTTCACATCCACCCAACTTCTGGTGCCCCTTTGGGTCATCCTGAATTACATGTCACATACCGAAGAGCCGATCCGACCGAATTCGACAGAGTATTTTCGCAAAGAACAAGTGCTATTTCATGGCATTCAGATGTCTCTTACGAGCTTCAGCCTCCAGGCACGACTTTTTTCTCGGTGATCGAAGGCCCAGATTCTGGCGGCGATACTATTTTTGCGGATACTGAAGAAGCTTATAATCGTTTGTCACCAGAGTTCAAAAAAAGATTGCAAGGATTGAATGTCGTCCACTCATCAGAACAACAGGCACTGAACTCAAGAAACCAAGGCGGGATTGAACGAAGAGCCCCCGTGTCAAACATACATCCTTTGATCAGAGTTCACCCTGTGACAGGAAGAAAAAGCATTTTTTTGAACAGGCCATTCGCAAGACACATTGTTGAATTGAAGGACGAGGAGTCCGACTACTTGCTAAACTTCTTGTATTCACACATTGAAAATTCACAGGATTTGCAGTTGAGAGCAAGCTGGAAGCCTAGGTCTGTGGTTGTCTGGGACAACAGACGAGTACTTCACTCTGCAGTCATAGACTGGGACACTCCAATTTCCAGACACGCTTTTAGAATCACCCCTCAGGCAGAAAGACCCGTCGAGAATTTGGAAGATCTTAACAACCATGTGGTTGACAAGGAGGATCTTTGAAGTTCCAAACACGAGTCAGTCCAGTGCTAAGACATCAAATAATCAGAGAAGAGAGAGAGACAAAGAGAGACGCGAAGAAACATAAAATTGATCGACCAACGGTGTCAAAGATAGTTTTGGAAATGAAATAGTCATCTCGAATATTCTCCTTGAATATATGAGCTTTTTATCCTCAGGATGTAATAAATGTTTTTCTTTTCGAAATCAGCTGTATGCGACTTCAATTGCGAAGATAAGTCCGCGCGGGTCTACCTGAACTATCTTGAAAACATCTGGTATAAAGGTCAAGAATAGCTCCACGAAACAGCCGTGAAGTTATGGGGATGACATCTACCTATAAAAAGAAAATGAAACAAATTAAAATTCAGTAGCGCTTAGGCATGATCTAGCAAGTAATTTGTGGCAGCCTCCACATCATAATTCTCCTTCTCTAGCGCTTCCACTACTGTTTCTTTCTGAAACCCCATACCTACTAATTCTTGCACTGCAGATTCATGGGTAGATGGCCCGGCTGTAGCTCCAAAATTTTGCAGTTGTGCAACTGGGGTAGCGTTGCCAAAACCAGCAAATAACTGCTCCCACTCGTCGTTATCAGCGTGACTGCCATTTACAGCACTTGAGAAGTCAGGGGCCGTGGAAGCTGCAGATTGTTGAGAGAAACCACCAAAGTTGTCGGCTCCTGTGAAGTGATCATCAAAAGATACGTCATGCACATCAATTTCTTCTTGATTGTCGTCATCTGCCAATTTCAAGTTGTCGAAATCCTCATCAAAAAACTCATCCTGAACGTTTTCGTCACCAGTCTCATTCGTAGCAGGCTCAAGATCATTGAAATCAGACTCGGAATCATATTCAGGTGGGGATTGCGATTGTTTAGCGAAGTTTTCGTTTGCATCATCAAACTGGTCGTTCACTGCGATGTTGCTTTCTGACTCATCAGACGAGCTTTCATCATAATCGAGTTCTTTGGGAGATGGAAACTCCTCCACTTGCTGACTACCCGACCCACTTGACAACTCGGAAGCTCTATAGCTTTGCGCTAACGGATGTGTAGGAGTATCAAGCGTTTTGGGTGAGTTCTTTACACCTTCACTTCCCTTAGCTTCATCGGCGTTGACAAGTTCAAACAGCTCAACACCAGAAGAAAGTCGTTCTCCCTCGCTGAATTCATCCACGTGGCCGTCCGACTGTTTATGTTCCCTCGAAGGGATTTCTGAAAAGCCGGCATTGTCTTCCAATGTGTCTCGGTCACTGATCTCGTCGATGTTGTCATCTCTCACAGACATGGATGGATTGTTTTGCACACTCGAGGTAAGTGAATCGGTTCTTTGGACACCCACCAACACTCCTGGCATACCTACCATACCCCCAACGACGCCCGCATTGGACTGTTGGAATCTATATTCAGAGTTTGAAGGAGTAGTTACAGGTGTTTCTCCTGTATCTGCACCCTCTGTCTGCCTCTGAAAGTCCGTAGCCGCTGATGAGTTCAGTACCTTTTTGGAGATTATATCCTGAAGGTTTGCTGAGTTATACTCTGTTGACAAGTGGCCCGGATTTTCATAGCCGATGGGAACCGGTGGGAAATTTTGCTTCAAGCTGTTGGATTCTTGCTCATTGAACAGTGTGTCTTTGCGTTCAGTCTCGCTGGCATCATCTAACCCCGTGAGGTCTTTTGCTGAGTGTTCCTTTATTTCATCGACTATGCCTGCAACACTGAAGAAAGTTGGATTGCTTTGAATGGAGTCATTTTTCGGGGTCACATAGTCCGTTTCCTCGAACAGCGTATCCTTGTGTTCCGCAACTTCCATGTCATCGACTCCCGTCAAATCCGGGGCAGGCTGCTGCTTGACCTCATCAACGATCGCTGCAACACTGACTGCAGCTGTGGCGTTCTGCAGATCTTCACTTTCAGGGGCTGAGCTCTCTGTTTCGTCACTTTTCTGATGAGTAGGCGGTGCGGCATCGCCCTTGCTTGAGGCTTGATGCTGGCTCGTCTCCAACAGTGCAGCGTTTTTCTCGTCATCTTGGACGAGTTTGTCAGCGCGCCCATCAAGATCTCCTTTGCTCGACAACAAGTGAGCACCCGCGCCAACGGCGAGGCCAGCGGCTGTGCCGACACTTCCAGCGAGAAGCAGGTGTTTCAGTTGGACCTCACTCAAGCTCCGAGATAAACCTTCATGCTCGTTCGCTAGTTCACTAGTTTGCAGTTCCGCAGCAAGTCGTTGCTGCTCGAGATCAGTGATCTGGGTTGTGAACGCCTCATACGAGGCTTCGGCCTCCAATATTTTGCGTTTCAACTCATCCACTTTGACAAGCGCAACCTGGACCTGTGATTTTCTTACGTTGGCTTCGTTCGAGAGAGTGGTATTTTCGGCCGCTTTGCGCTGGTGCTCACTTTCCAATGCCGCAATCTCCGCGTTGAGATTTCCCAACTTCTCCCTGAGGGAGGAGTTGAGCTTCTGGTTCTCTTCGACCGCCAATTGTTTCTCGTGGCGATCTGTGGCTATGCTGTTGAACCTGGCCTCCGCGATGGACGCCTCAGAGCGCAACGCCTCGAGTTCTTCTTTTGCGTTGTTCAAGGTCATCTCCACCTGCTCGACTTGTTTCACTTCACTTGCGTATGACGTTCTCAACAACTTCAACTTGCCATTGATCTCCTCCTTGACAGCCAAAATCCTCGCCAATTCTTTCTCGGCACGAGTTTTCTTGTCGTGGAGGTTGGAGGTCTGGGTTGACAACGACTTGATTTGGTTGGAGAAGTTCGCAATGTCAGACGTGGCCTCGGACAACTTCCCGGAGACTTCCGAGTCAGCCAATAAGTCGTCATTGGCGACGTTGCGGGCGGGGCTTGCGACACGCTGGGGCTGGGAGTACTCGGGCACAGGGGGGTCCACACGCGAGCTGGCCAGCCGAGACTGAGGCGGTGCTGGGACGGACCGCAATGCCTCGTAGTCAACAGTTCTTTGCTGGTTGAAACCAGGAGCAGGAGCAGAAGCAGCAGCAGTTGCAGCATCCGGCCCGGCCTGAGGGTTGGCCGGGGGAGCCTGTGGGGCGGGCGAGCCCGGGCCGCGGCCGTTCCCGCGTGGGTGTGCCGCTGGCGACGCGGAGGCATCGTCTCCGATCAAGTCCGCGGGCGCGGCGGTGGGCTGGGCGCGATGGCCCGAGACCAAGGACTGGCCGAACGAGGACGAGGGCTTGAACGCAGCGGGCAACGGCAGCCGGGCCTGCGGGGGCTCGTGCGCTTGCGACAAGTCGCTGCTGCTGGCCCGCCGCTGGAGGCCGGCGGGCTGCGGGGAGCTGGCGCGGGGCGCGGAGGGCGCAGCCGCGGCCGGGGCGGGCGCCCCGAAGATGTCGGCTAGTTCGTCCATGGAGGACCTGGCGAGCACCGGGGACGCGGGCGCCGCCTGCGAATGGGGCGGCGGCGCGGGCGGGCCGGCCTGCTGGAGCGAGGAGATCAACTCCTGGGGCACCACGTCCGGCAACGCGAGCCCCGCGCGCCTGCGGTCGATCAAGAACAAGGCGATGCCCAACTCAAGCGGGCCGAAGACGCCCGTGTTCTGGATGTCGGCCAAGTCCCAGATGGCGGCGAGGTCCTGCTGGTCCAAGCGGGAGGCCATCAAGAAGGACGCCACCTGGTCGGCGGGCAAGGCCCCCGAGCGCAGCGCGTCCAAGCCCCGGAAGATCGCGTCGAACTGCTGCGCCTGCTGGGCGCTGGCGTGCCACTCGTCGCGGGCCAGCGGGGCGGCCGGCGCAGGCTTCGCGGCGTCCACGGACCGCCACACGTACTCGGGCAAGAACGGCGGCAACTGCGTCAAGGAGCCGCCGAGCAAGCCCTGGACCAAGTGCATGGCCACGACGAACGCGGCCACGTCCAAGGAGCCGCGGTTGTGCACGTCCACCAAGCTCCAGATCTGGCCCAACGTGGCCGTGGGCAACTTGGCCTTGGTCAAGATCCGCTTGGCGGCCGCGCCATCCAACCGCGCCGCGGCGGAGCCGGTCGTCCGCACGTACACGGCAGCGAACCGGGCGACGTCCGCGGCCGCGACGGGCGCCACGGGCGCCTGCGGCTGCGCGTGCTGCGTGGCGGTGTTCTGCGGCACGAACGCCGACGGCTGCGCCTGCAACAACAGGCTGCCGGCGGACGGCGTCCGCGCCGGCGCCGCGGGCCGCGGCATGTCCGCAAACCGGGGCACCGGGCCGGGCGCCTGCGCGAGCTGGGCCGTGGGGAAGTGGCCCGCCTGCGTGTATCCGATCAAGCGCATGGCCACGCAGAAGCCGAGCTGCGTCAAGAAGCCCAAGTTGGCGCTGTCGGCCATCTGCCAGATCTCGCCGAGGACGTTGGCGGGCAACCCGGACTTCTCGAACGTGGCGCGCGCCTTGTCGCCGGTGACGATGCCGCTGCCTTCCGGGTCCAAGCTCTTGAAGAGCCGCGAGTAGAGCTCGCGTTCCTCGGGCGTGAGGGCCACTCGCAAGGCGGGTGTTTCTGCTGCTGGGCGTTAGTAGAGGGGCGGGGGGAGATGGACCGGGGGCGGGGGGCCGCGGCGCGGCTGCCGGCTACGTACGTTGGGAGCCGCTCATGAGGCAAGGGGTGTTTTTCGGGGGGTTGTGGCGGTGGGTGGGGAGGAGTAGGGGGGGGCGGGCCGTTGCTATCGCGGGAGCTGGGGCCTAGGGCGGGGCGCGGTGCAGTAGTGCGCGGGCGCGGGGCCAGGTCTGGGGCCGGGCCTGGGGCCGATTCTGGCGGCGGGGGCCGATTCTGGCGGCGGGGATTTCCGTGTGGTTTGCGTGGCGGCGGGGCAATTTTTTTTTTATCAGCGGGGCTTGGTGAATTCTGGTGGGGCTTGGTGGATTTGGTGGTGCTTGGTGTATTATTAATGGTGTATCATGGTGGATGGTGGAGTATTATTGCGGATGTACTATTAGCGGTGTATCATTGGTGGTGCATTAGTAGTGTTATTGGTGAGTGGTGCTATATTATAATTTATCATATGTGTGTTTTATTAGAGGTGGATAAGTGTTGTGTGATCTGTGGTATACCAGTGTTGTCTTGGTGATGTATTAGTAGTCGTGTGTTAGTGGAATATTATTGGTATATTATCAGTGGTGGTTTTCGTCGGTGGTGTATTAGTGGTGCATTATTGATGGTGCATCATTGGTGTTGTCACATCAGTGAAGATAGTGTACCAAAGGTAGTGTAACCCGGCCAATATTGCCTTTCGCAATGTTAGGGCAATACGACCTCTCATCATTTAACCTGGTCAATGTCTCTCCATTGCACCTTGCTCAATATCCCTACTCTACTGTACCTTGCCCAACGTCACTTCTCTACTGTACCCTGGTCATATCACCTCCCTCCTGCACCTTGGTCATTTTTACTTCTCTAGTACGACTGTTCAATATCACTTCTCTACTGTGCTTTGGCCAGTATAACTTCTCTACTGCATTTTGGCCAATATAACCTCTCTACTGTACTTTGGCCAATATAAATTTCTAGTCCAAGTTGGTCATATTGCTTCTCAAGTGTACCTTGGTCACTATTACCCCTCATAATGTAGCCTGGTCAAAATATGTTGCACTTTGGTCAAATATACTTCTCTACAGTACCTTGGTCGTACCTCTGTTCTGTTGTACTTTGGTCAACACCACTTCTCTACTGTGCCTTGGCCAAGATTACTTGTGAATATCACTTCTGTAGTGTTCCCTGGTCATAACACTTTTCTGGTGCGACTTGGTCAATACTTCTCGCACGTACTTTGGTCCATACAACTTGTCAATAATATCAGTGTGTATAAGTGGTGTGTCATCAGTGAATTAGTGGCGTATTATCGGTTTATATCATCGGTGTGATTTCATCAGTGGTGCTATATAACCAGTGGTGTTATGTAACTAGTGGTGTTATGTAACTAGTGGTGTTATATGACCAGTGGTGGGTTTTTATCCAGTGGTGTCATATTATTAGTGGTACATTAGTGGTGTAATAGTGGTGCATAGTGGTATATCAGTGGTTTATTATTGGTGGTGTATCATTTGTGTTAGGTTATTAGTGGTGTTTTTTATCAGTGGAGATATTTCATCAGTGGCACTCTTTATCAGTGAAAATTATTAATCAGTAGTGTTTTTTATCAGTGGTGAAAAAATGATGTATATCGGTATCAGTGGTGTATTTCCAGTGGTGGTGTTATTTCAGTGGTGTATCAGTGGTGTATTCCTGGTGTAATATTGATGGAGTATTATCTATGGTGGTGTTATTTTAGTGGTGTACCAGTGGTGTACTAGTGTTGTATTGTGGCGGCGTATACTTAGTGGTTTCTTATTCGTGGTAGTGGTTTACTAGTGATGTATCATCAGCGATGATTATTCGTGGCGAAGCATTTGTGGAGTTTGGTGGTGTATTATTGGGGGGAATATAATGGCGAGTTAGTAGTGGTGGATTACGGCAAAGTATGGTGGCGTTTGGTGGTGCTTGGTGACGTATCATTGGTGTTGTTTGATCGCTGGTTTCAACACTGGTGTGGAGTGGTGGTGTAGTAGTGGTGGTATATTAGTGGTCAGTAGTGGTGGTGGAATATTAGTAAGTAGTGAATTAGTGGTGTATCATTGGTGGAGTATTATTGGTTTTATGTTATTGGTGTTATATTACTGGTGGTGTATTGGTGTATTTCCGGCTGTGTAGTGTTGTATTATTAGTGGAGTTGTTTCATCAGAGGTGAATTATTAGTGTGACTTATCAGTATTATTGGTGTATGATTAGTGGCGGTGTACTATGGGCGGTGATTATTGGTGTATTATCGGCGGTATTGTTAAGACTTTACGGGACATACGGGCTATGGCTATGACCCGTAAAGTCCCATGGAGGCCACTAACAACAAGTGGCTTCAGTGGCCTTATGGCAATGGCTACCGCATCCGGAGAGTGTCCTTCCTTACCGTGGCACACTAGCGTTTGTACCGATGAAATATTTACTGGCTCATTTCCAAGCTACTCTGGTCACTCAACACCTTTGGTAGCTGTATCTGGCAGATCCCTTCAGATCAGTTCGCAGCCTTCGATCCGGGCATGACCTCCTTTAAGGGACATGGTGGTTAAACAGTAGTACATAACCCCTATGTCCTGTGAAGTCCCTAACAGGTGTATAGTAGTGTGTTATCGGTGGTGTATCGGTGTTTCGTAGGGTATCTTCGGCAGTGTATTGGTAGTGTATTATTGGTGTATTAGTGGTGTATCTTTGGTGGTTGATTATTAATGTATTATCGGCTGTGTAGTGGTGTTATTATCAATCGTGTATATGTTTTGTTTAATTGGGGGTGTATTTCAGTGGTGCATTATGTGTGGGTTTTTTTTGGTGTATATTCGTAGTGTTATATCGGTGGGGTATTAGAGGGCTTTATGAGCGGGCTCTATTGGCTGTCGGTTTTTCTTGCCGTGCGCTAATTCTAGACATGCTCTATGGTGCCGGTGTATTCCCCAAGTGGCGTAATTGTTGGTGTACTGCCGTATCGCTATGATGTTGGTGGTGTTCTGCGTAGTGCTGTATCTTCTTTTGCTGGATCCATCTGATCAAAGGAACAAGACTGTACTCAGTGCCATATTGTCAACGGCGGCCTTGGTGCCGTGGTAACATGATCCGTGGTAACTGAGTTGCGGCTCATCCACACGACCTATTCAATTCTTCAGATCGTGACTTGAGTTTTTTTTCGCATGGGCTTGGCCGCTTTCGGTGCATTAGATTGGCGATTATGAAATTGCACGAGCCGAGTCACCCGATCTGTTTCCATGCTTTTTACCATAATAGCAGGACGCGCCAATCTGAGGATGAACCTGAGGCCGCACCAATTTGAGTACGCACCAATTCGAGGACGCACCAATCTAAGCATGTGGAGCCAATCTGAATACTATCAATCTGAATACCAGCAATCTGAATACTTTTAAAATACTACCAATATGAATACCTACAATCTGAAATATTATCAATTTGAAATACTTTCAATTTTAAATAGTTCCAATTTGAAATAGTTCCAATCTGAATAGTTCCAATCTGAAATAATATCAATTTGAAAAACTACCAATCTGAATATCACCAATCTGAATACTACCAATCTGAAATAATATCAATCTAAAATACTTTCAATTTGAAATTCTTCCAATTTTGATTCTTCCACCAATCTGAATACCACCAAAATGAAAGATTTTTAATTTAAAATACTTCTAATCTGAAATACTTCCAATCTGAAATACTTCCAATCTGAATACTATCAATCTGAATACTATCAATCTGAATACCACCAATCTGAAATACTATCAATATGAATACTATCAATCTGAATACCACCAATTTGAAATATTATCAATTTGAATTACTTTCAATTTAAAATACTCCCAATCTGAAATAATGTCAATCTAAAATACTACCAATCTGAATATCACCAATATGAATACTATCAATCTGAATACCACCAATTTGAAATAATATCAATTTGAATTACTTTCAATTTAAAATACTCCCAATCTGAAATAATGTCAATCTAAAATACTACCAATCTGAATATCACCAATATGAAAACTTTCAAATTAAAATACTACCAATCTGAAATATTATCAATTTGAAATACTTTCAATTTAGAATACTTCCAATCTGAATACCACCAATCCGAGCACCACCAATCCGAATACCACCAATCTGAAACTAAATACCACCCATTCGAAAAAAAAAAGAACACCAAGCTCTGCCCCATGCCACGCCATGCAAAAACACGCGCAATTAAACCCCTGTTTGTTCCCCGCTTGCCCCTCCAGCCATTTGGGGTCCATATCGCTGGCCCTGGCTGCGCGGGTCCGCCGGCCCCATTCGCACCCAGCTAGCGCCGCGGGTCGTGAGCGTGCACGACGCCAGGCGCGGGAACGGGGCAGCGACATGTGCACGACACCCGTGCACCACGGTATCGATGGCCTCGCATCGCACTGAAAAATCTTCCCCGGCCTCCCATCGCCATATCAGCACACATACATCATGAATAGAGGAAGAGGCGGCTTTAGAGGCGGCCGTGGCGGTGGCCGTGGCGGCTTTTCGGCCCCACAGGGCCCACCGGAATCTGTTTTGGAAATGGGCTCGTTCTTGCACGCGTGCGAGGGCGACATTGTCTGTCGCTCCATCAACGTCAAGATCCCTTACTTCAACGCCCCCATATACTTGGAAAACAAGACCCAGGTGGGCAAGGTCGACGAGATCTTGGGCCCCTTGAACGAGGTCTTCTTCACAATCAAGCCCTCCGACGGCGTGCAGGCGGCGTCCTTCAAGGACGGAGACAAGTTCTTCATTTCGCCCGACAAGTTGCTTCCCTTGGAGAGGTTCTTGCCCAAGCCCAAGGACCTCGCGCCCAAGCCCAAGAGAAAATCGGCCGGCGGCGCCTCTCGCGGAGGTGCCCGGGGCGGCTTTGGCGGCCGTGGCGGTGCCCGTGGTGGATTCGGCGGCCGCGGTGGCTCCAGAGGTGGTTTTGCGGGCCGGGGCGGCGCCAGAGGAGGCTTTGGTGGAGACCGTGGCGGCAGAGGGGGCTCTAGAGGAGGCTTCGGCGGCAGAGGCGGCTTTGGCGGCGACCGCGGCGGCTCGAGAGGTGGGTTTGGGGGTTCCCGTGGCGGCCGCGGCCGTTACTAGACCTTCCTTGATTGCATGTATGAAATACGTTATCGATATAAACTTAGTACGACCCGGCCGCGTGCTCTGGGCCCAGCCTTGTGCTCTGGGCCGGCGCTGGTGCAGAGACCCCGGCCCTCCACGGCTTGGCCCGAGACCCCGGCCCTCGCCACGCTCAGCCGCTGGCCGTGGGCTGCGGGCGGCGCGTGGCTTTCCTGCGGCCGCTGGCCCCGGGCTCGGGCAACGTGTCGTGCGCAGGGCTCGGCGACTCCACGAGGTTGCAGCTCTCGGCGATGGCGAAGCGCACGTCGCGGAAGCCGTGGCGCCGCGCGAGGAGCAGGCTGGTGTGCGAGTTGTTGAAGAGGAGCCGCGGCAACGTGGCGAGCTCGCGGAGCCCGGCCTTGTCGATGACATGCTGGAAGTGCTGCACCACCCTGCTGTTGCCCTCCTTGGCCCGCTCGTACGCCTGGGCGCGCGCGTCCACGTCGTGCTTCTGCGGGCACATGTTGATTTTCGGGAACCGCTTCTGCATGAGCACGTCCACCTTGGTGAAGATGATCTCGAAGGGCGCCCCGTTGTCGACGAGGTACTCCACGAGCACCGCGTCCTCCTCGCACACGCCGCGCAGGCTGTCGATAATCACGAACGTTCGGCGGAGCTGCTGGCGCCGGCGGATGTAGTCAAGCACGACCTGGCCCTGCGCCGGCTCGCCGAACCGGCCGTAGCCCGGGCTGTCGATCACGCGGAGCTTGTTGCCCACGTTGTAGCTGTTGAGGCACTTGGTGTAGCCCGCCCGCTTCGACACGTACGCGTACTCCGTGGCCGCGTTGCCGGTGCTGGCCTGGTGCTTGTTGACGAAGAGGCTGTTGATCAACGTCGACTTCCCGGCGTTCGTGTGGCCCAAGAGGAGCACCTCCGGGAGCGGCCGTAGGAGCTGCGGGTCCACGCCAAACGACGTGCGCGAGGCCGCCACGTTTTCGTGGTACTCGGTGCGCCGCAGGGGGTCGACGGACGCCACCTGCTGCCGGCGCTCCTCCGAGAGCCGGGCCACCTTGACGTCCGGGATGTCCTCGAAGCTGGCACACGTCCACTCGTGCTTGATCCGGGCGTTGTAGAAAAGCGAGTCTGCGCGCGTGATCTGCGCCGCCAGCGGGTGTCCGTACGAGTCGTCCCGGAAGTATTTCGTCAAGTCGCTAGGCGTGTAGATGTACTTCGAGACCCTCTCGGAGGGCACGTTCTTGGAGCACGGCCGGCTCCGGCGCTGGCGCCGGCGCGCTCCGGGGCACCGAGCCGACCAAGTAACTTACCGAGGCATAGCGGCGAAGAAACATCATGGCGGCAAAGCGTGGTGTGGGTTGGGCGGCGGGCCTTGAGAGGATAGTGAGCCGTGCCAGAGAAGGTCACGTGCGCAGAGCCGGGAAGAGGTCACGTGCGCGGAGCCGGGAGGTCACGTGCCCGTCCGGCTCCGGCGTCTTCTTCTGCCACACGGCGCCGGCGGCGCTAGGCGGAAGCCGCCCGGCAGCCTGCCGGCTCGTCCTCGCCTTCGTGCTTCCGCTTTTTTTTTCCGTTGGATTGTGGCAATTTTGGGTGTGGCCACCATGGGCGATGTTCTGCACCTTCGTCGCAGGCGAGCATCGAGCCGCAATATACAGCCGGCACACCACCACGCTGTCCCTCCCAGCCCCAGATTTCGAGGCTGCGCTTTCCTGCTGGCTCGCCCGGTTTCTAATCTTGCGCGCCGCATTTGTCCCAGCATGGTCCGAGTGGCAGTATTGGCATGTATGTGCGTGATCCCGTGACGCTGGGCCCACGCTGCACCCAGAAACTAACCGACAGTATTTTGCACCTCGCTCTTGCTTGCCGCGTACCTCGGCTTCTCGCTGATTGCGTTGGGCCACGACAAGGCCATCCACTTCGTCACGTTCTTCATTTTGACCGCGGAGTTCTACTTCCTCTGGGAGACGCACCGGCCTTGGAAGCTCACCGTGGCGACCATGACGCTTGGCGCAGGCGTGCTGCTGGAGTATGTGCAGACCATCGTCAACCCAAATCGCACGTTCGACTACGTGGACATCGTCTATAATGTCCACGGGAGCTTGTTGGCCGTGGCCGGGTGCTGTCTCCTGCACGCGTGCACACTGGGAAGGCGGATCCAAAGACGCGGGCCCATGCCCGCCACTCCCAGCGACGAACTCTCGGACATCGACGGATTCGTGAGTGTGCGCATGAGTGATCTTGAGGACAGGGCGTGAACTCATGGCAACCGTGTTTTTCTGTATTCCGCGACTCCTTTGTCGCCCAGGGCCAAGCAGCCTGGTTGCTGCACGGCACAGATCCCAGCAGCCAGTGCTATCTGGCGGTGGCTGGGGTCAGACCCTACTCTCTGAATGGCCCGTTGCCGCTTTTTTGGGGGCGGGCTTCAAATCTACCCGTGCTCCTCTGAGGAGCGCCGGAGGGGTCTTCTGTTGCTTCTGTAAAAGCTTTGGCATGTATGCACGGAGCCTGGCGGTGCCCGTGCCCACGCCCGAAAGCCGTTTTGTTTGACGTGATGGAGCCCACCACACAACCGGCTTCCACACGTTTTCCCACCGTACTCTCCATATGATCCATTCAATATCTGCTTTTGTCCCTCTATAGGATACATTCAATATACTGCTTTCCATTCAGTATCCTCCTTTTGTCCCTCCATAGGATACATTCAATATACTGCTTCTGTTCTTATAGGATCCATTCAATATCTGCTTTTGTCCCTTCATAGGATCCATCCAACATCCTGCTTTCGTCCCTCGGCAAACCGAAACCACCAAGTGTGGCTCCCGTAGTGGCCCTCGGTTTGGCGCCGAGGTCTCTTGCCTCCGGGCTATACAATGGCCGGTCGCATGGGAACAGATGCATGCGTTTCAATGCTTGCAGTTGCCTGCTGCCATTTATGGAAATATTCCTTAGAGACAAAAACAGCAGTGGCTGCCCCCAGCGACACTCCCATGGGCGATCTGAAAACCGCAGAGCTTTATCACGCACCGCTGGGCTCGTTTGTCAGATCCGGCCGGTGCTTACTAAGTACAGTGCGCTGATTGCAAATCTTAGTCAGGCCTGCACGCGACGCAACGTATATATCTGGGGTCTTTAGATCTCGAGAGATAAGCACAGCACTTTCATAAAAACTATTCGCACCATGGCAGAGATTCTGAGCTATGACTTCCATACGTACTGGCGGGACACCAGTGCCCAGGAAAGAAGATTTTGCTGGGAGTTCAGGGAAAAGGTGTGTTTGCATTTCGCCAAAGAAATCCAGCAGGGCCTTCTCAGAGTGCATAAATTCTGGGATCGCCCCGTGGGGCCACACCCGATCCACATGTGGGAGCTTGATACTGCGGGGAGATACGACCCCGAACTTTTCGCCAGAGTTTTGGCGTTCTACCAATTGAACCATGGGAAGCTTTCGGTGTTGATCCACCCGCACACCAGCTCTGGCATGGTGACGGACCATACAGAGTACGCTCTTTGGTTGGGCCAGAAACAAAGACTCATCCTCGGCCTGTTTTGAGTGTTTTTGCCCCGGCCTTTATAAAAAACCGTCGCTTGATCTGAAGTCCTCCCTGTTATATTAGTGTATAGAAATGCTATACCGCAGCTCAATTCGCGCAACGGAAATCTCCGCATGCGGACGAGTCCTGCGTTTCCATCATTCCAACCAACCCAAATACATTCTGAACAACGCACATGAATAGGTCAAATGGGAGAATGGCGAGAGATTCCTAGAAATGCCCGACTGAAAGGCAGCTCGTCTGTTCTCTTTGACTTCGCCGTACGTCGGGGATTCATCTAAAAGTCGTAAATCTGCTGGGCCTATATTTCTCACTCGAACTCAATTTGCGATCATCGCCAGCTTCAAAGCTGAGACTCCTCTCGTAATTATACCGACGAGCCGAATAACAAAACATCCCATTAAGTCATCTGCAAATAGAAAAAAATGTGCTATGGCGTTGCTGATGTAAACCATCGAAATCATTATCATCAGAGTGACTGCTACATCAGAGACAGTCACATTAAAACATCAGTCATGACTTGCTCGCCCCTCGCCGCGGGAATGGCCAAGGCTTGTGGCAGCAACAGACAGTAGCGAGCCAATATAAGTTGGGCGAGGTGACACCAGTTGGTATAAAGAAAACATGACTAAAAAAGACAAAGCCCAAAATTAACACAACCTTGTTGCTCTATATAAAGAATTAATCCACCACGAGAGACAGTTCGTCTTCTGCTTTCGTCCCTTTGATGTAAAACTATGAATTCCTCGACAAACAGAGCCCGGCTCGGCAGTGCATATACACGCTCACCACATGATGCAATATGATTGTTATCGTTTACAATAGAAGAGATCACACGGTGTTTTGCACAGCAACGAAAAATAAACATATCGACGCAAAAAACACAAGCTACCAAAAAATACCACATCAGCCAACAAGCGTTCCGTGAGAGCCCTGTCTTTTTTTTTTCACTTACTGTCCTCCATGTCACAGACATCGCTTCTGCAACCGCTGTTGAATGGCGACTTGCTAGCAGAAGATTTCAACACACCAAATATTGCTCTACCGAATGCTAGGGATCATAAGCGCACATCTTCTCTCCCAGAAGATCAGCATTCTGAAGATCAGAAACAGAGCCAAGACCAGAGGAACCTAGGCAAAAAATTTGCCTTTCTCGGCAGAAGAGGCGATCCAAACGAGAGCCGCTATGACAGCGAAAATCGCCAACATGAAGGCGACACTAAAATGCCTTTCAAGGAATCAGATATGCGGCGTTTAGAAGACGACGTGCGCTCGGAGAAAAGATCCGGTCGTGGAGAAGCCGTTTCCGGAGATCGGCCCACCATTTCCCATAAACGGTCGCTGTCGGTCCCTCCGCTTGGCGATTACTTGGGCCATGCCGAATCACACGCATTGAGAGATGGCACCCGGCTGTTTGGCTCACAACATTTCTCAGCGTTGAGACGGCCCACAACGATCTTTGGAAGGGCCCCCCCTCCAGCAGAGAGCTCCCTTCCAAAACCGGCAGAAGGTGTTTCGGAGGACGCAAGAAAGCCAAGGAAGATTTTCACTTTATTCAGAAAAAAAAATAAGGACAAAGACCGCTGGCCAGGCATCGCAGATGTCGCCGATACCGAGTCGCTCAACGAGGATCGGGAGACGGGCGAAAGGGCGCAGGGACTTGTCGGCTCGCTTTTTCTAGGCAGTCCAGCGATGAACTTGCTTGCATCATGTCTATGTGAGGACGAGTACGGCATTGCTAGGGCGCCTCTTTTGATGAACTTGATCGGTATCAAAGTGACAGACATCTCGCGCTCCCCGCTCACGAAAAACAAAAAGTTCAGGATCGACCTCGAATACGGCGTCTGGCCCCAGAGATTGAAATGGTCGGTGGAGAAAACGGCCAAGGACTTGCTCTATCTCCATTCCAAGTTCAAGTGGCTTGCTTTGAGGGGATCGCTAAAGTCGGTCAATCTTCCGAAATACCCTGTTCCGCCTCTGTTAAGACGTAATGAAAGAAGACAGACCCGCCATTCTAAGTTTTCTGGTGAAACCTCCCAGACGCCTGCCCCGCTTGATACCCTGCCCACGGTAGACTCACGGCAACATGATAACAACTCCATTCTTAGTGGACAGAGCTTCCACGACCGATTCTCAGCTCTTAGAGCTCACTTCAGCAGTGATTCAGACGACGCTTCGTTGAATTCCGCATCGCCCGAGCAGTTGCGAACTCAAATACAAAGCAATCAAAACTACGTGCGGGAAATCGAGAAGTACTTGAACGATCTCAATGTCTTGGTGGCCATGCGTGCTCAGTCAAATAGACTCTTCCAGTTCTTTGAGTTGTCTCCTATTTCCTCTTTGCTAAGTTATGAAACAGGCTACATTGGGAAGCAAGGTGTCATTCATGTGGGAGGCACGGCAAAATCGCAAGGCTGGAGAGTTGGTCATTTCAAGGCGAACGACATCAAGGAAATGATTGACAGAAGATCAGAAAAGTGGTTCTTGGTCAGAGGATCCTATGTGATGTACGTGTCTGAAATCAACTCGACAACTCCTATCGAGGTTTTCATAGTTGATTCCTCGTTTAAGCTCACTTTCAAACGCGAAAATAACGAAAAGGTTGACGCAAAGGTCATGGAGACTGAATCCGACTTCGAAGAAGAGCTCGAAAAGAGCATCGGCTCCGATGGGAAAGCATTAACGAAAGTCCAAAACAAAGTTTTCAAGCATTTGCGTATTGTGTTGGAGAATAACGAACGGAAGTTAGTAATTATCCCTAAGTCAAAGGCAGAACAACAGTTATGGATTTCGTCCCTCAACGAAATGGTGAAGAGCAATGTTTGGGCTGAAAAACATAGATTCAATTCGTTTGCACCTATTCGAAAGAATTGTTATGCGCAGTGGTTGGTTGATGCCAGAGATTACTTTTGGGCACTTTCTTCAGCTTTAGAAATGGCGAAAGACGTTATTTTTATTCATGACTGGTGGCTCTCCCCAGAGTTATACCTCCGCCGTCCGGCAAACGGGAACCAACAGTTTCGGCTCGATAGAGTGTTGCAAAGAAAAGCTCAACAAGGCGTCAAGATTTTCGTTATTCTCTACAGAAATGTCGGCACTACCATCCCAATCGACTCATTGTATTCGAAACACTCAATCTTGTCCTTGAACCAAGAGAACGTCCATGTGATCAGATCGCCTAATCAACTTCTCCAAAACACATATTTCTGGGCTCATCACGAGAAACTTTGTGTCATTGACTACAACGTCGCATTTATGGGAGGGATCGATTTGTGTTATGGTAGATATGATACCCCTGATCATGTGCTTGCGGACGACTCACCCACAGATTTTGCTACATTAGACCCGGAGAACTACAATTCTGAAGACCTTCTCAATTTTAGAGTTTTTTCTGGGAAAGATTACTCGAATACCCGTGTGAAAGATTTCAATAACTTGAGTAAACCCTACGAGAGCTTGTACGACCGGAATGTTGTCCCGCGAATGCCATGGCATGATGTTCATATGATGACATCCGGGGAAGTCGCACGGGACTTGGCTCGTCACTTCGTCCAGAGATGGAATTACTTGTTGAGACAGAAGCGGCCAAGTAGACTCACACCCTTGCTAACACCACCCCCTGACTTGACCGAAGAACAAGTGAAGGAAATGAATTTGGATGGTACTTGCGAAATTCAGGTGTTGAGGTCATCGGGAAGCTGGTCTCTTGGGTTGAAGGAACACGAGCAAAGCATTCAGCAAGCTTATCTAAAACTAATCGAGACGTCTGAGCATTTCATCTACATTGAAAATCAATTTTTCGTCACATCTTGCTTCATTGATGGTACAGAAGTCAAGAATAGAATTGGTGATGCGCTTGTCGATCGAATTATTCGCGCTCATAGGGAGGGCAAATCCTGGAAGGCGATTATTTTGATACCATTAGTCCCAGGATTTGAATCACAAGTTGATCAGATTGATGGTTCCTCTGTGAGAGTTGTCATGCAATGTGAGTATATGTCTATATCAAGAGGCAGTTCATCTCTCTTCGCTAAATTGAGAAAAGCGGGAATTGACCCTGATGACTACATCCAATTCTTTTCATTGAGAAAGTGGGGATCTGTGGGCCCCGATCGGACTCTTGTCACGGAGCAACTTTACATTCATGCCAAATTGATGATCGCCGATGATCGTGCTGCAATCATTGGTAGTGCAAACATCAATGAGAGATCTATGAGAGGATCTAGAGATTCAGAGTTGGCAGCGTTGATAAGGGACACCGACACCATCGACTCAATGATGAATGGAGAACCATATAAAGTTGGTAAATTTGTTCATTCATTGCGTTTAAGACTCATGAGAGAACATCTAGGAGTGGCGGTTGATTTGTTGGATATTGTTGAGAGGCGATTTGAAGCTATTCTTAAGTTCGCGAGAACGAAGGACGGAGTTAAAGCCGCCACAGACGAATTTTCAAGTACTGAGAAGAGAGAGTTGTCTGCGGCGGTGGAGTTTGCATCAAGACTTGTTCTACAGGAAACTAAAGGTACTACACGCTGGAAATCATTCTGTCGTGCTCAAAACATCGAATCAGAATTATTCGAGATTCCAAGAGATATCAGATTTGAAGAAGCCCCACCTCCCATGTCACTTCCCCTCTCGTTTAACAATAGAACTGGTCCTCATGAGGCAAATGTGGGCATACGGGATAGCAAGAAACATTCATTCGATCCCAGAGTCCAAGCAAATCTTGATCATCAAAGAGATGTTTTTGGGGAGGGTACTGATAAGTACAGAGCAAATCTGACAAAAAGGGCCAGGTTAGATAGTGCCAAGTTTCTCCGAAACCTTTCAAGGGACGCCATGGAAAAATACCCCGATAAAGCATTTCTTCCTAACATTCAAGACGTGAAAGACTTCCTTAACCTGGATGATTCAGACTTGAAACAAAGATTTGGTGACAATGCCGAGGATGTATTATTCAACAGAAATCTTGAAAGGTGGTTATTGTTGAAAAAAGTTGCATACCTTCAACTCGTTGCTGCAAAAGATGCGAAGCAGACCGAGAAAGAGGCCGAAAAGAGAGTCAAGGCGGGTCTCACGCCGGTCATAAACAACTTCGAAAGTAAGAATTCACAGTCAGTTAGTTCTACTGAGAGTGGCGCGGAGATGGAAAATATCAAATTCAGCATGACTGCCGCCGTCAATATCAAGAACAATAATGCCACGCCTGGAGAAGAATTTGACATTACACCTGAAAGGGATACTTCAGAAGCTCCTTACCAAGAGATGAACCCGGAACAAGTCCCAATTGTGACACTTGATAATGATGGTTTTAGGGATACAATCAGAAAGATCAACCTGCCAGGGGCTGAAAACTTCACCAAATTCATTGACCCTTTCTCATTTAGTGATCCATTAGACCCAGATTTTTATGAAGATATATGGTACGAGAACGCCAGGAGAAACACTGACATCTTCAGACTCATTTTTCACTGTCAACCTGATGACACGGTACCTTCGTGGAAAGAGTACATGCACTTTATGAAATTGAGCAAAGGTTTCAAAGTTGCTCAAGATGGAGACGCCAAAGCCAGAAAAGAGAAACCTGATAATGACAGTGCTGATCGGCAGGGAGGAGACTACGACAACTTTAGAAGAAGCAGCCACACAACAATCAACATCAACGACTACCAAGAAGAAAATGGAATTCTCGGAGATATACCGAGCGGAAATTCGGAAGACGAGCACACGAAAAGTGATGTTGGCCGCCGGGGCTTCAAACCCGAAGAAACAATCCCTGAAAACGGAGAAAGTGACGGCGAGATCACGGACGAGGATGGAAAAGGCCATAGCGCGGATTTCCAAGACCATGTGAATGGTGCAAAGAGAGTGGAAAAAATGGAGGGGGCAGAATTTTACAAGTTCCGAGATGTGAATGGCAGCGGCAACGAGAAGGAAGTGAGCGGTGATGCTTACAGAAGCGAAGCAGAAGCTCTAGATCCCAAAGTTCCGCCCAAATTTGGACCAAATAACTCCTACTCTCGTAGGGGCGGTGGGAAAACAAGAGCAGGAACGTTTAGCGCCCGCAGAAAGCTTCATGCTGGGGACAAAATTTTCGAGAGGGACTCAGCGGAGCGCATTCTCCAGGAAGTACATGGCCATCTTGTACTTTTCCCCGTTGACTGGCTTGAAAGGGAGCTCGAAGGAGGAAACTGGTTCTTCAATACCGATCGCATTCCACCCATTGAAATTTACAACTGAGTTACTTGTTCCTTCCAGCTCTCATGTATCCAAAAGTATCCTACTAGCCATCGGCTCAGAACATTAACATATTACTACATACGCAAAACAAAGCATGCTTTATGTTTTTCATTTTTTCGGGAAAAAAAAGGAAATGGAATCCGTTTCATAATTTAAACAACTAGATCCGTCCATCAATTCAGCCGAAGGAATAATATCAGCTGAGCCTGGTCGGCACGGGCGGGCATAGCCCCACGTGATGGAATGGCCATCGAGAACTACAAGAAACATATTTATCATCGAAAAACAAACAAAACAATAAATGTTGGCTATTTGAGCAGTGTATAGCTCTCATTTTCTACTGATGTCTCGAGGGGCCAAAAAACTAGTTTTACAAGGAGATGTAATACACTTGCTGAAATATAATACGCAGCTCATTCCTTCATACGGACCTAGTCATGAGTGCTGGCGTGGTGGCCATGATTCACATTTCGCGAGGTGAAGTCAAAATTGTCGCTTTGAGACCACACACGATGTTCATTCAAATACTCTCATATACTGGGATTGTGACAGGGTTCATCTTGCTAGTCTCGGCAATAGCGCTGGGCTTGTATTATATCTCCGAGCTCGTTGAGGAACATACAGAGCCCACCAAACGCGTGCTCAGAAAATTGATCTACATTGAGATCGCCATGTTGACCTTGTTGTGGCTTTTCGATTCTTTTCCGTTCAAGCTAACGATGTTTCTGATTTTTTCGCACGTTGTATATTTCCAGAATCTTGTGAAATTTCCTTATGTGCAATTGACTTCGCCGGTGTTTATTTTCTCTTGCGTGTTGGTGGTGGCTAACCATTTCTTGTGGTTCAGCCATTTCCACAACCCGGACATACCGCCTTTGAGCGAGCGATTGCGCCCGGATTATGTGCCTCCCAGAATCCCACTGTTTTCTGAGGTTTGCTCATTTTTTGGGTTATGTGTGTGGCTCATACCTTTTGCGTTGTTCGTGTCTTTGAGCGCACACGACAACCTACTTCCCCACCACATGGAAACCGCCACAGATGGTCAGGGCAAGAAGAAAAAGACAGGGTTAGCCAAGTGGGTAGTGGAAAAGTTGAGGGACTATGTTTACGCCTCAAGCAGGTTCCTTGGGTACGAGTTAGATCCAAATTACGGCACAATTATCTAGGCTTGTGGGTTTATCCAGTGTGCTTGGATTGTCTACTTAGCAAGAAAGTTCTTAACATGTGGGCCGAAGTCGTCCAAGCTCAACAAGAAGGTGTCGTGCCCATAGTTGCTGACGTCTGTGCCCATCTCGAAGTACTCGATGTTGTTCTTGTGAGGACTTGTTTTTCGGAGCAGCGATGCAATTTCCCGTTGCTGCCAAACCGGGAAGAGAATATCAGATTCAACACCAACAACTAAGATGTTCTTGTGAGAGATTTTCTTTAATCCGTCCTCAAGATCCTTGAGAGATTCTTCTTCCGAAATGTTAGCAGTGTTCTTTTCTTGGTATGGTTCGTCAGGGACGTTTGTCTTGTCAACCTTGCCTGCCGACTCATCATCTTGCTTTTCTTTGAAAGCCCGCTCAGCCTGGACCCTGCTTGCCTGGGCCCTGGCTCGATTTGCCAATCCCAAATCAAACAAATCCATGGCTTTAGAAACATAGAGAAGAGAGTTTGCATCGTACTCCAAGCAGAACTTCTCTCCAGCATGATCTAAATAGGTCTCAACGAGAAAATCAGGGCAGAACGCCACAGGCTTGCTGTCATCCGCTCTACTCCTACCAAATCTGGACTCCCATTCAGGTCCCGATCTATAAGTCACAGTGGCAATTTCGCGTGCAAGTTTCATTCCGATATGCGGTGGCACTTTCTCATAATAGAAACCACGATTCCAGTTGGGATCACTCATGAGAACTTGTCTTTGTGTGTGGCGTAGCGCAATCGAATATGGATGCGATCTAGCACAACCGCTTATACTAATCACATTTTCCACTTCATCTGGAAACTCCCAAGCGTAAGCAAGTGATTGCATTCCCCCCATCGAGGCGCCTACTGAAGCGTGAAGTTTTTTCACTCCAAAGACATCCCGAACAAGTTCTCTTTGAGCACGCACCATATCGTTGACTGTAACTATAGGGAATCTTGTGGCATAATAATCATTATTAGCTGGGTCTTTCGAGGATGGGCCCGTAGATCCATAGCAGCCCCCCAACACATTGGTGCACACGACAAAGTATTTGTCCGTATCGATGTATTTCCCGGATCCAATAAAGTTTTCCCACCATCCGTTCTTGGTATTTTTAGGCTGAGACTTAGCATGCGACGATGCCGAAAGACCTGTGTGAATAAGAACAAGATTATCCTTATTAGGAGAGAGAGTACCCCAAGACTCATAGGCAATCTGGTATTCAGGAAGATATCCGCCGTTATCAAAAAAAGTCGGGTTCTTGTTCCTATAGAGCCCAAACCCAGACGACACTCTGGAATATGCCGGCTCCGGGCCAGACTCCAAAGAAGATACCTCTGTGATACATGATTCTGAAGATGCTACCGAGACACTAGAAGATTCCGAAGTTCCTGCTGCATCTGCCAATTCTTTTGTTTTTTGTTCCAACCGATCAAGGCATGGGAACGCTAGCTGTGGATTGGAGCCCTGGAGCAAACGAGTAGTCGAATGATTTGATCTCTGAAACGCCAATGGGCCCAATTTGGATAATGTTTTTGTGGTGAAGGGAATAGGACGTAGAAACATGCTCGTACTGCTCGTGAAGATTGCTAAATGGAGATCGCCTTCTTAATTAGTATTAAGAATTGCTAGGTCACGTGAAGTTCCATCAAGCAGCTGGAAAATCGCTCTGGCGACAGATCTTTTCTTGCACGCAGGAACATTAGTAAGTGGTTTACCAGTGTCAGGCTCCCCAATGTATGTTTGAAGATTCAGGTTCAGCTGACCGAGAGATAAGATTTGCAGCTTAGAATAAATCAGAAGTCTGACTTAGGAGGCCCTCAGCACCATGCGATATTAGTATAGTCACGCAGATTTAAAGCTTCATTTATATGTATTGGTGCACCAATTCTCGCTCTCTGAAGGCTCGCTTTTCAAGTTTTAACCTTGCATGTCGTTAGCAATAAGCACGGATTGTATTTGCATGCTATTAACAATATGCACGTTTTTGTTTTGCATGACTACATGTGCTGTTTGGGTCTGGGTTGTCCGAAATTGGTTAAACGGTATTGCACTTTTCCTGTGTACCGGATTCCTAGCTTGGATGTTCGGTGCACGGATACTTGGGAGATAAGACGATGATTCCAGGGCAGCACCATTCTCTATATATCCCTATAAATGCGATAATGGAACGGAGTCTAATGAGAGTCTCACAGGTGCTCTTGGGAATTTTCATCCTTACTATACCACTCAGTCTGTATGGAGCTAATTACAGGTCTTTTGTCGTCAACAGTAGTTTCTTACAGAAATTAAACTTGACTTTCATTACCGACTACGGAATATTGTGGTTCTCTGGCGTATACTGGGGCCTCACTATTTGCGAATGTCTGTTAGCACGAAAGGCCCAAAAATGGATCATGGCTAATAAGCTATCGAAATATCTCTTCTACTTATCGTTCGCTGTCTTTTTCAATGTATGGTGTTTCGGTAAACTGCTTGTAGAGAGACTCAACATTGCCACGGGTGGCCACTGTAGTGACTCGAACACAGCAACTACTTCTATGTCTGAGTGCCAGAATGACCCCCTCTTACTGTGGGTGAATGGTTTTGATCTATCAGGACACTACTATTTCCTCACGACCCTGATCGTGCTTCTCACCGACGCCACGTCATGGGTCAAAAATTTAGGAAGGCCAGACCTAGATTTTGAACTGAGTGACCAAGAATTCATTGGATCTGATTTTACATATAAACTACGGACAGTCCTCACTACTCTAAAACGGCTTTCATCGATGCTCATCGTGTTATGGATCGCAGAGTTCATCATCACATCCGTTTTTTTTCACACCACATGGGAAAAGGCAGCTGGTTTACTTGGGATTCCTATTGCTTGGGCCATAATATTTTTTGCAGATAAAGTCTGGAGTGCACAAGTTACCTCGGAGATTGGGTCTGAGGTTTGAGTGAAATTCTTGTGCTCTGACGCGGGCCGTCATATATAGTCCAATGAATGCCATTCCCCAAAAAAAATCAAATTTTCAAGCAAATTTCCCTTGGCATATTGCAACTCTCTGATCTTTACGTTCCCGATATTTCGGGTCTGTTTATACAGTTGCGTTGCTACTCTGAAGGTCCCCAAGAACGCCCAGATTAGCAGGTGCCTTCCTGCAGCAGATCTTGCACGAGCAATTTACGGATATACGTCTGACCGATTCGGAGAAGCACTGGGTTCATCATTGGTGGGATGACTATAAGAAGGAGATTTTTTTTCCGACAAACTCCCACGCCCTAAAACTTGAACTTTACTTGCCTCATTGATCATTGCGTGAAAACTGGTGGGTGAGGAAAATAAATATCTTCCAAAATGCTCCACCAACTCAAGATCTCGATTGGGAATGTCCACTGTTCAGATTGCGAGGTCAATATTCGCCAGACATTGGGTAAGTACATGCAATTGAGAAATTTACCGACAAACCTAACCGAGAACCAAGAGTTACTTTTGAAGGTGGTTTATTTCAACTTGGACAATGGTGTGATCAATTTATACTATAGAGTAGAAGATGTCGTGGGTCGCAGTCCCTTCGAAAACTCAGTGAAGCAAGTGATACAATCGTTGAAGAAAAGTGGTTTCTCGGTCTTATTTTGGAACTTGGATCATGATGGGAAATGTATTCTTAGTTCACAAACCAAACTATCCAGCCTTATGAGTCCTGACATAGACCTGGACGCGAGAATTCTGCTTCAACAGCTCTGGCAAGTTTATAAAAAGAAGCAAACACTCAGACATCACATGAATAACTGCAACTACTGTCAAATGGAAAAACAAAAAGAGTCTTCAGTGGCCGGTCATAAACTCAAAGACAACGAGACCTCTACTGATGATCACGAGGGCTCAGTCGAAACACTCTTGAATTCCACAGAGCCAGAATATAGGGTCGTAATTTCAATAAGCGGCATGTCGTGTGTCCCTTGTGTTGCTTCAATATCAGAGGCAATTGCAGCGCTTTTCAAGGAGCGAGGAGTAGAAAAGAAGAATGACGAGCCCCAGTTTTCGGTCAATTTGCTCCAGCAGTCAGCCATTGTATTAGTGCCCAATAAGCAAATGGTGAACCAGGTACTTGACGTAGTAGAGAGCACAGGCTTTACTGCTCGCCTTCTCGAAGTCTTACCTATCCAGCGGTCAGTAAACCAAAAGATCATTGCTGTTATTGGTGGCCTAACTTGCACAGCTTGTGTAAATGCAGCCATGTCAGCTGCAAATGACTTACCATTTGTGTTGGAGTGTGGGATAAGCGCAGTCACCAAATCGGGCCAGTTCATCCTTGAAGGCTCTAATTTAGGCGATGGCAAAAGAGATATAGAAAAATTAAAAGAATCTATCGAAGACTGTGGATTTGAATTCAAGCTAGTTAAAGACGAGAAAGTCAATTTTACTACAGGTCAACGTCAGTCCAGGTCTATCAATATTGGGGTTGACGGTATGTTTTGCACGAAATGTCCAACCATCATAATGTCTTACCTTACAGCGTTTGGGGAAGCCGTGGTCATCGAAGAACCCATTACGTTGGATCAGCCTTTTGTTCAGTTTACTTATATTCCAAATTACGAAGAAAAAGTGACAGTGCGCAGATTCTTGTTTGACTTAAATCACCTAAAGCCACTGCCTAATGAGGAAGGATATGTCGTGGATCCCGACTCTGAAGGCATATTCAAGTGTAACGTTATTGAAACGATTTCTATTGATGAACATTTGCGGAAGATTTTAAAACTCGAAACGAAAGAAATTGTTCGTCGGTTAGTCATTGCTGCCGTCTTGGCTATCCCCTCTTTTGTATTTGGCATTGTGGGCATGTCTTTGATTTCGAAAAAGAACTCGTTCAGAATTTGGTTAGAAGAGCCAATATGGGCTGGAAATGTCTCTCGAGTTCTGTGGATACTTCTTTTCTTGAGCACGCCTGTATACTTTTTTGCAGCTGACATATTTCATGTCAAAGCACTAAAGGAAATACGGTCTTTATGGATCCGGAAAAACTCTTTCAAAAAAAGGTTTTTTAAATTCGGCTCGATGAGTCTTCTCATGTCCCTAGGAACAACAGTCGCTTACATTGCAAGCATAGCTTTACTCATTCTATCGTCACAACAGGAGCATGTTTCAAGCATGGGATCACATACAACATATTTTGATTCCGTCGTCTTTCTTACGTTTTTTTTGTTGATTGGTCGTCTTCTTGAGAGTTTGTCGAAATCCAAAACATCTGACGCCGTTGCAAATTTGAGTTCAATGAAAGCCTCTCAAGCAACCATTGTCGAACAAAGCGAAAGATTAAATCCGGAAGGCAACGTTTGTTACATCAATGATGAAGTTGTTGACGTCAAGCTTCTTGATTCAGGAGACTACATCAAAATGTCAACGGGGGAATCACCCGCAGTTGACTGTGTGCTAGTGGAAGGAAGCACGAGCTTTGATGAGTCGGCTCTTACAGGAGAGTCCGATCCCATCAAGCATAAAACAGGACATCAGGTATTTTCTGGAACTGTTAACATGGGCCACTCAGCGGTAATTGCCAGGATTTTGAATGTGGATGGGACGTCTTTAATAGATCAAATTGTGAGTACAGTGAGAGATGGCCAAATGAGAAAAGCCCCAATCCAAAGACTTGCCGATGTTTTGACCGGCTACTTCGTACCGTGTATTGTGGTCATTGCCATTGTGACATGGATAGTGTGGCTTTCGCTTGCATACTCCAATGTGCTCCCTGATAGCTACCTCGATATTGATGTTGGCGGGTGGACTGTTTGGTCCCTTGAATTTGCTATCGCAGTTTTTGTTATTGCCTGCCCTTGTGGTATTGGATTGGCCGCACCCACAGCTTTGCTTGTTGGCTCGGGCCTTGCAGCTAAGTACGGGATTTTAGCCAAAGGAGGAGGCGCAGCATTTCAAGATGCTGCCCAGACAAACTTAATCTGTTTTGACAAAACAGGCACGTTGACCCAAGGAAAAATGAAGGTCACGGATGCGGCATTCGTTAGTAATGGAACACACGAACAGCTTCTTAGAACATTTGCCTTGCAGCTCACGAGAGACCTTGAACTTGCCTCAAAGCACCCAATAGCCACGGCTATAAAAGAGTTCTTGACCTCGGACTTCGAGGGCAATGTGAACCCCACAACAAACAAAATACCTCAAGTGGAGACAGTCGCAGGAAAGGGGTTAAAAGGAGTGCCAGTTATTGAACTTTCTGAAGGCAACACCTGGTCAAAATTTCTGCCAGAAGAAGTGATCTTGGGAAACGAGGCCATACTCACAGATCATCATGTGTCGTTAGACGAAGAGCAAAATAGATTTGTTACCCTATGGCAATCCCAAAAGAAGTCTGTGGTGAGTGTCGCGATAAAGTGCCTGAATCTTTTTAAAGACTCTGAATTCCACTTGATATTGATGTTAGCCTGTCGAGATGAATTGAGGCCGGAGTCCAAGGTCGTTGTTGAATTTCTTTAAAAACAGGGAATTCAGTGCTGGATGATAACAGGCGATAATAAGCTCACCGCCGCCGCTATTGGCAAGGAAGTTGGTATCGATCCATCGAGAATTATAAGCGGCGTTCTTCCGAATGAGAAACAGGCAAAGGTCCAAATGCTACGCGAAGAAGGCAACACGGTGGCTATGGTTGGGGACGGAATCAACGACGCACCTGCATTGGCCTGTGCCGATGTTGGCATTGCTTTGTCCTCCGGAGCAGATATTGCAGTGACCTCAAGTGATTTCATTTTGTTAGGCAAGGCCCACCCCCTAGTCACTTTGTTTACCCTTTTTGATTTGGCAAAGGTTGTGTTTCGGAGGATTAAGTTCAATTTTGGATGGAGTCTTGTCTACAACTTGGTGGGTGTACCCATTGCTGTCGGTGTCATCTACCCATACAAAAACCTGCGACTTAGCCCGGTATGGGCTAGTGCTGCAATGGCGGCATCTTCGGTCAGTGTGGTTACTAGTAGCTTGTTGCTTCGCTTGTACAAGCCAAAAGTGCGCTCGGGCGACTTGAGTCCGGATGTGGACCATACCGAGCAAAACGTGAATATCTATCAGCTTTGAGCCCATGAGTTATATTTTCGGAGTACAGAAGTCCCTACAGTATCCTCATTTCTTCAAACAAAAACATTAGCATCGAGTTTCACTACCATGACTGTGATGTTGTCTGTTGTAGCCTTCTCGATAGCGAGATCACAAAGTTTTTTGGCCGCCAATGATGGATCATACGGTTGTTTTTCAATCCTCTGAGAGTTGAAAAAGTCCTGGACAAAACGACATGCTTGCTGGTCAGACATGACATCCCACACACCGTCGCATGCCAATATTAGGAACTCGTCTTCGTTTGTGATTTCTGTGACAGTGGTGAAGGGCCGCCCGGTGACCAAATTTTTGACATACGAGTCGCCCAAAGACCGTGTAATTGCAAGCACGCCGTTGACTCTATTCTTCACAATCAAGCCACCTTCGTCTCGCACCCTCTGTATTTCATTTGGATCAGACGCCTTATGGTCGTAGGATAGCCGATACAGTTTCCCCCCACGACATAGAACGATGCGCAGGTCGCCGACATTGGACGTATAAAGCATCCGTCTGTGGTCTTTCGTGGGGACGAAGTCAAATTGCGATTCCGACTCAGTTTTCCTGCGTTCTACGTTGCCCAGAGGCACGTCATCATCTTCGCTCAGATCCGCAGTTTCCCATCGCAAGATGGCAACTGCCGCGGTACTTCCAGATGATCCCGAGCCGTCTTTATCTATGATTTCATCCGCCTTGACAAAGACATCGCACAAGAGCTGCTTCATATCGTAGAGTCCCGACGGCGTTGCGTCAGAGGACTCCGACCCGGCTTCTTTCTCCAGAATCTCTTGCTCTAAAAGCCCATGCAAATGATTGCCGCACCAGCGGGCAGTCAGCTTTCCCGCATGGCCATCGAAAATGGCAAAATAGCCCCAATCTAGTCTTTCAGCAAAATTGGCCACATATGTGTGCACGTCTTCCATCTTGGCTCGGTATTTGCTGTTTTTGTTCTCAGCCACCCCCACCAGAAAAGAGAGACCCTGAAAAGGATCCAGCGGATCTTGGATCCCCTGGACTGGAGGTGTAGATTTGCCAGCATTATGCGCAATTTTTCTAGGTTCCAGCATAAGAAGTATCGAGGCCGGCCGGTCTATTTGTGTGTCTCGGAATGGATCAGTGAGACGAGGTGAAATAACTATTTTGAGGCAAACAAAATTTTGGTTGAGAGTGCAGGGTTCAGCACGTATGTGAGAACAAGATCAAAACACGTGAGACCAAGTAGCGTGAGCCGAGCTAATAGTCAGCACTTATCAGACAAAGACCAACTCGGTGCGATGTCGTGGGTTGAATGTCTCAGAAGCACACGTGAAACCGAACCATGGGGGGTTGGGCCTAGAGTGTCAGCTTACGTGCAGAGCACTTGCCGGTGGTATGCAGTACATTGGCAGGGCTAGCTCGCGCGGGGCAGTACTTTAACTGCACGTCTAATATTCATGTTAAAGCCGCGAGTCTACGGCTGAAAACGCGTTGGTATGAACAACTAGCTCGAATATCCTTTCAGAAAATTTCCTTCATTGTGACCTCGCCTAATGGCTCGGAAGATGAGTATGGCCACACAAGGCGAACAAACGTCGGTTTTGAATTAGGAAATTGAATGCAGATTTGACTACACACTGAATGACCCATGACTATTCCAGGCTTCTTCGTCACATCGGCGGAGTGTGAGTCCTGAGGCTGGAGGCAAATTTCAGAAAAACTTGCAAACACGCAATCTTGGCGAATTTGGAGCCCCTGTAAATGAGGAATGCTGCTGAGGACAGTGGGTCTGAATCCGAACCCTGTGCGGTCGCCAAGTCTTATCGGCCGGCATATGGCCTGGTCGTATGCCAGGATTGGCCGTTTTGCTACAATGCATTAGATAGAGAACCTTTGCTCCACGAAAAACTCTGGAGAATAAAAGCCAATATGATGGCCCAAGATTCATGTGCTTGGATGCCTCTTGAAAGCGCCCGTACAAGCCTTTCATTCAGACAAGGGAATGACAAACAATTATCGTTAGAGCAGCTTCCAGTTCTTATCTTGGAGACGATTTTCAACCTTCTCCAGACACCCGACCTACTTGTGGTTTGCTCAATTTCCAAAGACTTCTATTTTGCAGCTTTGAACTGCGTATATCGGAGTATATGCATCACTGATGACTCCTTGACAGTGCAATATTATAAGAAGCACACGCGGCGGTCGAACGGGTACTATTGCACGATCATGCCGTCAAGAAAAATAGAGGCCTTGCTTGAGGTAGTATCAAATAATCGCACGATTGCCGCTATGATTCACCGGGTCAAAATCATTCATACGGAACAAGTATCCCTGATCCCACGGCTTTTGTCTTATCTACGCTTAAAGTCCTTTGTATACGCGGGTCCTTTGAAGATTCCGCCAGAATCGACCCACGATCTACATACATTACAGTTATGTCTACTGTCTGTCTATCCATGTGCCCGAAACCTCCGTGAGCTAAAAGTCAATCACTTCAACCAAGACTCCGACTTTGAACAGTATGGACGGCTTGCACTAAGCTTGATCGAACTGGATAGTTATCGCAATATAAGGAAATTGGCCTTCGAGCATCTCGAGGACCGAAGCCTCAATCTGCTCAATACCTTCAACATTGAGCGACATACTGCGATCCCACGGCCGTCATGGGTTGGGTTCTTCGAGGCGTTTTCAAAAAGAGGTATCATCTTGAATTTAGCAGCTTTGAGTCTCGACGGAAATGTGGGAAATTTGGGAGAGCTTGCAGCTCAAATAATAGGACTCGCAGTGCAACTCAGTGAATTACAAACTCTCGAGGCAAGACAAACCGAGCATTCCCACCCTGGACAGGCGCATAGCGTGGGTATGATGACCTTCTTGGATTCCATAACAAAATTTACTCCCCTGCTCCAGTACCTTTCCATGCGTCATACGGACAACTGCCTCACTTGCCAAATCAAAACTATTACTCACATTTTACGAGACAATATACCGCATCAACTCAAGCAGCTCGTGATCAAGTTTGAGCCACGCACAATCGCAGATTCAGATAGGATAGAACGCTTAATTTTATCATATCAAAGAAATCTTCAAAAGATCGACTACGAGGACAGGTCCAGCTCAATATCCGACTTGACAAACTTAGCGAAGGCTCTTGACACGCAACAACAGAAAAAATGGTTAGATGACTGGTACTATGGAGAGAAAACCAGAGAAATATTCACGCCGCACATTTTGAGTATCGAAGGGCCGCGGCCATATATTAATGACGAGAAGAAGGAAATGATTAAAATCTGTGGGAAGCAAATTTTGAGTTTTTTGAATTCTAATACTTTGTACAAGGGTGCCCTGAAGCATTTACCTTTTTTAACGGAGTATTGCGTGTTTGGTCTCCATGTTAACGTCAAATCGTGTGGTGTTTTTGCCAACGGTGAGACCATATTGTTGGAGTAAAACTGAGACATCAGTGAAATGGCTCTTGAGCTTTCCCTCTTGATATTAGTCTTTCTGCGAGGCTTTATGAGAGACGTGAGATGATATAGATGTGTCTGATTAAAACGAATTTATATTTGTTGTCATGGGAATGATTGTCGTTAAATTTATACTATTTCGCCCTCTGCGAACGAATCAATCGGTCGGACTGCTCGCAGCCAGTTTGAAGTTTCATCAATCTTTGCTTTTGTTCTCGACCATTCCATCAAAAGCACCTTCCCCTATTTCTTTCTGAGCCATCACGGAACTTCTAGCGTAAAGTCTTTGTTCTTTTCTATTTGGCAGAGACAGAAAAGGCAAAACCTGAATGTGTAAGTACGACTCAGTGTATATTCTTTTTCTATTTAAAGCGGTGCGGCGGAACACCCCTTATCAAACACTGCGCGAAATTCGTGGGCGAATATACCTAATTCAGCTTCGCCTTCAGATTCAGATCTTTGACAAACACAAGAAATGCCTTCGTCAGCACCAATTCCTCATGATCCCATTGGCACTCCGATCACTGAAAAAGTGAAGTGCAATGGTCTCGATTTTGAGACAGTGACTTGGAAAGTTCCTCCGAACGTGGAGTATAAGGGGAAAATAGTGTATGTACATGGCTTCGCTGAACACTGCTCTATCTATACTGAGTTTTTCGACAAATTGAGTCAGTTGGGTTACGAAGTTCTCTTTTTCGATCAAAGAGGTGCGGGTGAGACATCACCCGGCAAGCAGGTGGGGAAGACTGACGAGTACCACACTTTTAAAGACTTAGATTTCATGATAAAGAGAGCTCTTGACGCTAGGGAAGACAAGACAGAGAAGCTATTCCTTGGAGGTCATTCTATGGGAGGCGGTATCGCACTCAACTATGGAATCATGGGTAAGCATCGGGACGATATCAGAGCCATCTTTGTATCTGGCCCGCTTGTTACATTGCATCCTAAAACTCAACCCAATGTTATTGTCAGAAAGTTGCTGCCTGTTATCAACGCTCTTCTCCCCACTTTGAAGATAGACTCTAAGCTCAATTATGACTATATCACCTCGCACGAGGGGTGGAAGAACTACATCAAGTCGACAGATGGGAAATTGATTGGAACAGTGAGACAGTTCAACGACATGTTTGTGAGGGGAGAAAAATTACTTTCAAAGGACCACACTAGCAAGTATTCCCCAACCATTCCATTGCTTTTGTTACATGGCACTGATGACAATATCAACGACATCGAGAGCAGCAAAAAGTTTATCGAGCTCTTGCCTGCTGATCTGAAAAAAGAGTTTGTTCCTGTTGAAAATGGTAGACACTCGCTCTTTATTGAAAATGAAAATATTTTCAAAGATGTGTTCGACAAGGTGGTCGAGTTCTTGGGATCCCATTGAATAGCCCTTGATGCAAATAATTTTACTTGTTAGCCTATCCAATTATGTATAACTTATTACACACTAACCAATAATCTGTTCGCGGAGGAAAAAAAAAGAAGGGAGACCCGGCTATTGCAAGCCATGACAGTTTTCCTGGTAATCAAGCCTGGAGCGTGCGGCGATACCTCGTCAGTTGCACCCTATCACAGTAGTCGCTGTCACGCGGCAACAGGAGCGAAGACGTCCGTGAAAGCGCATTTATTTAATTATGCCCTTAAGAAACTGCGACTCTCGGAAAATCTGCGCTCAACGAAATGAACAAAAAGACTTGGGAGCTGGTTTGATGATCGGTTAGTATACAAGAATACCGTTGCGCTATAGTTAACTGCTCCGTTTTTTTGACGTTCTTCGCCGAAGCTCTATCATGTTCTACTTGACGATCTTCATCGACCAACAAATGCTGTTGGAATAGACTCGCCCGCGCACTGCATGAACTGAGAAGCAAAAGTAGTATTTACCTTCCCTTTTTTTTGCATCGGTAAAATTTGCTCAACATCCGTCGTCATAGTCCATTTAGTTCCTAATATTGCGTATTCGGCTGGAACCTCTGACAAGGATCACAAACTAAAATAACTACATTGAATTATCAGCACATTCTGCTTTAGCTTCTGATTGCGATATATCGGCCCCGCATAAGCTTCAAGTATTGAAGAACAACATAAAGCTCCCTAGTTTGAACCACAGGATCAAGCTAATCTTTATGAATCAAAATGGGATACACAATCAAACAGAAAATTGAGATATGTCTTCAGTCAGATGCAAATCCTCTGATGACCCAGATAGACTTGGCCAACTGGGCTATGCAGAAGTACAACTCCGCAAGTCCTCCATCACAGACCACGATATCCCGGATCCTTAGCTCGAAAAATGATATTCTCGGCTCAAAAGAGTCCGACTTCCTGCTTGTACGTCGTCGCAAAGTTTCCAATCCGCTCCTACGATTTGTTTTGACCGAGTGGATGACCCAAGCCCATTGGGAAAGGATTCCGGTCACAACTCCCATCATTCAGCTGGCAGCAAATGCTATATGGAACAAGTTGCCAGCAAAAGAGAAAGACGGGAATGGCGTTTTCAGTCACAAGTGGTGTAATCACTTCGTGAGGAAGCTCAATGTCAACTTGGTAGGAAGCCCAGAAGCAGTGGAGAATAACTTGGGTTTACCGCTCAACAAAGTATGGGGATTAGACGAAAAAGTTGGGCTCAAGAACTACATTCGAGGTCTCATTTCGAGAAATAACTACTCTCCTAAAGACATGTTCACCATTGACGAATTTCTGTTGTTCTATTGCGTACCGCTAGATCAAATTTTTGACGTGTCTTCCGTTGACAAAGGTCTAAGCCAAACGAGTAACTTTTCAGGTTACATCATCACAATCATGTTGGGCTGCAATATGGATGGTTCTGAAAAGCTTAACCCTTTGGTGGTCTCGAAGCATGATACATTTGACCTATCCGAGAGTACGATTTCTACGTTCCACGCCAATCCATCATATACTCAGTTGTCGTCTCATTCGTTGGCAAACAAAGTGAGTGAAGCATACCAAATCACTTACAAGTACAACAATAACAAATGGATAACGTCCAGTACGTTCCAGGATTACTTATTGACCCTAGATCACAAATTGGAGAGTGTTTCTCCCGGACGCAATATTATAATTTTTTTGGATGACAGCTCCACCCACAGACTAATGAACCTTGAGTTCAAGCATATCAAACTTGTCTATTTGGAAAATGCCTCTAAACATAACAACCCATATAATGGATTGTTCAATGAAGTCAAGTTCGATTATATACCGACTAGTTTCGGTATCGTGGAGGAGTTCAAGATTGTTTTTCGCCTACAACAATATTTGGAAATGATCAACAAACAAAATAATCAGGTATCATCTGATCATTCTCTGTCCCCAATGTCTAGATCCGAAGCCCTTGTAGCAAAAGGCAACGAATGTGGTGTAATTCTCTCAGAAAAAGACTATCAGGTGCCGTTCATTAAGGCTATTGAATGGATCAAAAGGTCTTGGGACTCAATTTCAAAACAAAAAATATATCAAGCGTGGCAACGGGCCAATGTTATTGACACAACTAGAACGTGGCCTGCTTCAGACCCTGTTGTCAGAGCTGAAGCGGCACATACATTACAGCCATTGCTGGCGTCATTGACGACATATAATCCGCATTTGGCTTATGAGAAGCTCAGAAATGTCATGAACTACCTCAACGTTGTAATTCCTTGGGAAATCAACGAGCTTTTAGGTCTTGTGAATGAAAGGGCAAAAGTCTCATTGAACTACGCGTCCATTGATGAGATGATCAACAGCTGTGCTCTGAGTGATAAAATCAATGACACAATTGATGCCCAAATCGGAAGGGCGTTTGATGAGCCGAAGGAAATGGGAAAGTTGTCCATAGAAACTTCCTGGACTTCTCAGAATGCAGACCTTCTGACACTAAACAGTACTCTGGACTCGAACCAACCCGTTCCTCAACTTGCCAATACAAACCGAACAGTACCGCAGGAGTCGAGGCACTTGCTAGCATCGTTTCAAGAAAAGTTACCACCTATAAGAATGGTTCCGTCTGCCAGGCAACGCAATAATCCAGGGAATACCGGCAGTCAGAATGGATACTCTCTCAGTGAGAACAGATCGTCTAGTATGAGTGCACTATTACGAGCCACGAATGCATCAAGCCCTACGGGCTTTTTGAATACACAACCATCAAACATATTGAGCCCACGAGGATATGGAGCTGTTCTTCAAGCGAACGGAATAAAACGAAAGGGCTCGTCGTGTGATGATCTGATTATTGACGCGGAAGTCCAGGACAGTGAAATTGAAGTCATAAAAAGGTCCAAACTATCAAATAACTCGGCATTTGCTAATTATTCTGGGAATGAGACGCGATCTTCAATTAGACCAATACCGACAGCCGAAAGCTACATGCATTCACGTCCGCAGCTTAGTGGTGGTCGTTCTTCGTCTCCTACTTCCTTGATTAATAACGGGTTTCCGGTAGAAGAAGATCTAGCCCCTGTCCTCAAAAAAGTGATTGACGCCACAAGAAACAATGGTCTCAAGCTCTCAAATTTGGCCCTTGAAGAGCTAAAACTCAATCTCTCGCGGCTCCAAAACAAACAAAACTGAACAAACTGGGGTGGGAAACCCTCGAGTATGTGAAGGCCTCCTTACATGTTCTGGGAAACGATATTGGGTTCTTCGTAATTCATTCATGAATCTATTTACAGTATTATTCTTCATGTAAAAGAGCTAGTGGTCAACCTAGCAACGTTTACTCATCCTCGAGGATTCCCAACTCTCTTGCCTTTGCCTCTAATCTTTCTCTCTTCTCAAGTCGGGCTCTTCTTATACGAGCAACCTCCGCCTGAATCTCGTGTGGTTCTTTTGGAATCTGGTTGAGCGTCACTGGATCAGGCCAAAATCCGGGCAAGTTGAATTTTTTGTCGGTATCAATACCAACATAGTACATCACCAAAATTGGAGTTAGGAGGTAAAACCCAAACTGTGATGTTAGTATTCACGAGGGTTTCAAGAGCCAGGATAAGCGAAAGACCGAACATACCTTGAAAGTTTCAAGCTGGGTTCTTGTTATGTTCCCAATAAACTTCTGATACTGGGGTATCATTCTTGTTGGCGGGAGCAAAAAGTGTATAAAGTTAGCTTGGATGACCTCACCTGATACAGCGGAGGCGCACCCGTACATTTCAATATTACTAGAATACTGATATTGTTTTAATTGAAGATTACGGTGTAATTTTGAACTATAAATGTCCTTACAAACTCCATAGCTTCAAATAATACATATGTCTCTACCAAATCCACCGTCAAAAGGTAAACTTTTTATACCACCGATCCAGAATCGTTATCTACCGGCCATATACTTCTAGGTTTGGCTAACTTAGAGAAAATGTATAACTTTTTGCATGTATTCTATCATATACAACATTAAAATCGTTTCTTCCATCTTTATTCTGGGAGCGTCTTCCCTGCAATTTCCAGGTTTCAGGTAAGGCGGACACTTTACTTTGAAGGGGTGTGATGACTAGGTAGTCACGTGTACATTTTGCCGGGGTATGCCTCAAACATGTAAGCTCGCGGAATCAAAAACTATTTCAGTCAGTGTCAAGCAACGATACCTATATATTAGCCAATTCAGTTGACCCCGTACAAACAAGCAAAACAAAATATCCTTCGAAGATGTCTGGATACACACAAATCGAATCTGACATTCCTGAATCACCAATACTCAATGATTCGGGAGCATATACAGCTGCGCCCTCGGTTACCAACGGATCAATACCACAGCCCGCTGTCGAGCGTACGTTGCTTCAACGACTCAAGGAGTCATCGCACCCTCTTGCATTGCTGTTTTACATATTCTTCAGAATCGCACCTATATTCATGTATTTATTCGGAAATCTATTTCTCGCGTTGATCACCAAAGAGAGCAGGTTCATACTCCATTTTATCATTCTTGTTCTCTTAATCTCTGCAGACTTTTGGAATCTCAAGAATATATCTGGAAGGCTCTTGGTAGGATTGAGGTGGTGGAACGAAATTACTGCTAAGGAGGGCACGTCTGAGTTCGAGAATGTCTGGGTATTTGAGACTGCTGATCCTGATCGATACATTAATCCAATTGACTCCAAAGTTTTCTGGACTCTATTATATGTTCAGCCGGTAGCATGGGGTGTACTTGGTATAATGGCTGTATTGAAATTGGAGCTTCTCTACTTGATTTTGATTGTCATCAGTATTTCATTGTCATTGACCAATGCTGTTGCCTTCACCAAGTGCGACAAGTTTGGGAAGGCGAATCTCATGGCCAACGACTTTTTTTCAAAAGCTACTACAGGGGTCTTTTCAAGATTCAATCCTTTCGCATAAAAATATACTCCAGTCGGGCTAGTTTTTCTTTGTCGAGTCTCTCAAGTTCGCTTTCATTTTCTGGTATTCTTCTTCAATATAGCGAATATGCCTCGATTTGTTCCTCATATTGGTGTACAGCGTGTTTGCGTTCTTATCATTGCTCAAAAGTTGGCTCACCAGTCTTAGTTTTGGTTTTGATGGCGCACTTGGATCCAGTATTAGCACGATCGTTTCATATATATTTGCTAACGCTTTGTATTCGGGATCATCCGCCATTATGATAAAGCCTTTTAATTTTTCTTCTTTGAAGTTCTTGCTGATTTCCTCGGATCGTTTATAGACAATTTTCAATAGAAGCTGGTTAACAATGACATTCATGTCATGATCCTCAAAGACCTTTGAAATGGATTCTTTCAATCCTTCGATGTGCACATCCGTTGTCATATTTTGAAGAATTGTCATGGGGCTGTAAAAGTTGCTCGATTGATCATCGGCCATTTCAAGCAAGGCTTTAATGAACTTTGGTTTGCTGAACGAGTATTCTAAAAGTACATTCCATGTCTCTGCATCGTTTCGCATCTTGGCAAACTTGATGGCTCGGACTGGGTCATCGAGTTGTTCTGTTATTAAAGACATTGCTCTTTGATTTTCTCCAATCTCCCCAAGTAAGTAAACAAGCTCGTCCACAAAAGCGTTTGATTCGCAAACGTCAATTGCTTTAGAAATGTCGTAAGTGCTAGTTGCCATCAAAAACGGGAGAAGTTTTGGTCTATCGAATTGGGAGAACAATTCAATTCTCGTATTTTCGAGCCCCTTGACCAATAATTCATCTATCGCAGCTAGTCTCTCGAGGTACATGAAGCTCACGATACTAAGACGTTTATCTTTCATCAAATTTACAATTGTGTTTGGAAACATTTCGTGTCTCCGCTCAACTAGAATGTCAACGATAGGGTCCAATTTAGTTTTAACCTCGGGTATGGGTAGAGTTTCGAGGTCCGACTTCCTATCAAATCGAAGTTCAAGAAATTCTGGTAGCTCAGATGTGAACATATTAAGGATATGGTGCTTATCCAAGTACTCAACAATGTTGGGGTTTTTTAGTGCACACAAATGAGGAACAGCTTTACTTGGCTCTAACGAATTTTCGTAAATGTTGCAAAGCTTTTGTCTCAAGGTTTTGTCTTCCGAGTTGATTTCGAGCATGTGTTCGATACTGCTTGTAACAGTCCTTACGTCATAAAGATCCATGTCCCATTTGTCAATGAGTTGATAAAACATTTCATCGCTATCAGTTTCTTCAAGCCAGTATGTTAATATATTTGTGAAAAGTGACTTTTTCAAGTTCCATCGCGTATCTGTTGGGATGATGTTTGTGAGCTCGGGAACATGCCTCGATTTGATAAAGATGTCTCCCCACAGATTCCACTGAATAACATATTCTTTGATCAAAGCCTCCATCTCCTCCATTTGCAGGGTGGAAGAAACTCTGGTTCCTAGAGTACTTTTTGTATCACCGACAGGGAAAGAATTTGTGTCAAGAAGCAAGATAGCTGAGAGCCAATCAGCAGCTTCATCCCATTTATTGTTTTTAACGAGAGAGTCCAAATGTTTGACGCCAAGGTCGAGTCTTCTTCCAGGACTTACGATGTGTTGACTCATGTGCCAGGCCTTTGCAAATAATTTCCTTTCCAAGTACCATTCTAGTCTATCATCTAGTTGCACTTGCTGTGCTATTATTCCATCTCGTGCACTTAGCATCAAATACATTGTAGCAGAAGGCCCTATGTGGGATAGCATGTGGTAATCATTGAGACCTAAACCCTCTATTCCATTGAAGGAGAGTTCTTCTTCAAAAACAGTAGAGCCATCCACCGAGCTTAGTATCTTAAGGTCGGGACATTGTGAAACAAGAATTCCTGACACGTCGTGTTTTACCGGTTGATTATACGCTAACACAGCCCATTGATCATCATTGAAACCTGAAATCCCTGAAATCAAATAATCAACTTTAAAAACATGCTCTACCTCGACCTTTACTTCCGGCACTGAGCGAAATGAAAGCGAGGCGGTACTGGGCAAGATTCTACTCCTCACTGACGATCCTGCGCCGGTGGAAGAGCCATTGGTGCCTTTAGTATGAAGACGAAGTGACCAGACATAATTTCCCCAAGCGATGAGAATCCTGTCAGTTTCCGGGAAAGAAACTCGTGGCCAGTAGAGATCGCTTCTGAAAGAATCAGATGGTTTGGATATAACGGAAATCACCTGTCTCGCGGTCGTTTGGTAGACTGTGATACCTTTATCGTTCATCCACAATACGAGATCATCCACCGTATAAATAGCAGTTATAGGGCCATTGTTTTTGTCCAAGTTTGTTTCTATCCGCTGATCGAGCCAATTTTTAGACGAGTAAATGACGAGTCCAGCCATGCCTCCGTAGATGAAGCTCCTTGTCCTCTGGTAGTTCTTATCTAAAACAACAGCATGGATCGGTCTCTTGTAGTCAAACAATACAATATCTTTGGGGTCTGATACCGACCCAATCACAATCGTTCCGTCCATGGAGCCACTGGCAAAAAATCGGCCATCGGTGTATAAAGAAAAAATTGATGCTTTGTGTGCCTTGAAAGACCTGATGGTGGAAAAATCTGGTTTTGTCAAAAGAATCTTTCCAGAGTGAGTTCCAAAGACAAACACGTTTTCGCTGAATGTTGCTGTGGACACTGGGTCATTTTTGAAAAAGTTTGGTGGTAACTGGCTGAGTCGCGTGTACTTCAAAAGTGGGGGTTCCTCTTCTTCTTCTTCCTCTTCGTCACTGAGTTCCCCTTCAATGCATTTTTCTTCTCTGCTGTTTTGGCTGATGGAGACGCTATCGTTATTATCAGTTGTTGAAGCCATATTCATACTAGGACGTTCTTTATCTGACTCTAGGGCATGTTTTGATTCGGAGAGCCCCGTATTGTCATGATCCTCAACTAATGAAGAATCAGGATTCAGCTTAATGAGAGTATCGGCCACGATCACACTTGTCAGATCCCCTCTACTTGATACTGCGGCGCTCTCCTGGCTTCCCATGGTGTGCTTGGACCCAGCACTTTCTATGCTTGTTCTTCGCAGTACCCCTTCCATTCCTGGCTTATTGATAAATTCATCTGTGTTTATCGACGACAGTACAGAGTCAATTCCTGCCTTCTCCAGTGACTCTCTCATGATGTAGTGGGGAAATGTGGGGCTGTCGACTATTTAGCGCACACGAATGTCTGTCTTTATCCTGCGTATTCAGGCCCTCAAGTTCCATCAAGAGTCCGTCGCGCGCTTCTGAATGTAGATCACAGAGGTTTCAGAGCACCCTAGTTTGAAAATGCCAACAGCCAGCAAAGGTGTCTTGGTACGATGCGATCCATCGATTCGGGCCTTGATTCTTCAAATCGACTCCACAAGCAGAGGCATCGTACTACAAGAGCTCGACAATTCGCATTTGATGATCAAAGGTGACATGGTGCAATTTGTGAAGAACGAGCTCAATAGATTGTTGTTGAAAAATATATACGAGCCTGCGGACGGCGAGAAGCAGCCCTAATTTTTCCCGGCTTCAACCAAGGAGTTGGATGCAAGAAATTGATTTGGAAGCTATACGATGTCCTTGATTCGATATGAATGAGTCTATCTTGGGTTTTCGTCGATTAGCATTCTTGACACTTCAGACTCTTTAGGCGATAGATCTTCACTAATCTCATTTGTGATTTCAAGTATGGGTTCTGAAGCGTTGATGTTATCTTCATTGTAATCAATCGTTTCTTGCCTGATGTCGTGGAATTCTTGCAATCCCGCTATTGTTTCTGCCAAAAAGTTGAAGAATGTTTCCGGCTCCATGATCTCGTTGAGTTCGTCAGCATGCCCCGATGATGCCATCTTCTGTTCCACTGTACGATGGTAGGATTCGTAAGTGCTATAGATCAATCGAGACAATACACTAAGAAGATATGTCACAAACTCATCTTGTGCGATGTAGGCGCTCACCTGCTTGTGAATGTGTGGGACTTTCATGAGCACATTATCACTTAACTTGTTGTTTTTTTCTGCCAAGCTGGTGCCATCATCGTGAAGTATTGGCTCACAAATCACATTCGTACAGTCTGTGATGAAATCGTTAAATGTATTACTCAACTCCAGCTCGATTTCCTTTTTGGCATCGATCATATCATTTACGACCTTCGGAGCAGACTTTTTCGCGAGCTCCAAAAATCCGCCTTGGGAGTTGAGACTCACTGACAAACTTCCGGATCTAAAAATCCTTATAAGTTCTTGGATGCCGCCAGTCAAATCCAAAGAAGTTTCAGTGCGAACAAACTGTATGTCGAAAGTGTTGAGGTGATTTTTGAGCATCGTTAAGTTCTTCAAATAGAAGAGTTTTGCGTCAGCATACCCAAGGTGACTGATAGCAAGATCCATCGCACCATTCTTTAACATAAATATGCAACTGTGAATGATGTAGTGTGCGATATCGTCGAAAACCATCGAGTTTATCAATTCATAGAGATTGGACAAGATTGTCAATGCTTTCCCAACTGGTACATATAATTCAGGAAATAAGTTTGCCTCAAATTCGTCCAAGACGGAGATCCGCCCGCTAGACTTTTTCCGGTTGCCCAATAGTAAGTCTTCCGGCCTAGGTTTGTACTTTACAAGCTTGTTATCAATGTAATTCTGGATGCGAAAAATGAGCCGAGCTTGGGAGTCGTTGATGATTGGCTCGAGTAGCGCCCCGTATTCGATCTTGCTATGCGTATTTGATACAATTGACGCCGTATCGTCATCAAGCTCGTAATAAGTTGCTAACAAATTGGTAAGGTGGCTCAATTCAGTAATGCTGGTCTCTTTGAGAATCTTGTTTCTCATATCGTCGTACAAGGGTTCAAGAAGCTGTTTCAAGAAAGTGTAAAGCTCTTGATCGACAAATTGTCTCGTAATATCGTCAAAGTTGTCGAGTGGAAAGTACCTACAGAACATCGTGTACTCCTTCTCCACCAATCTTTTGAATTGAGAAATCGATTTTTGGCAGTATTTTACAACGTCAAGTTGGCCTGGATTTTGAATATGATGTTCTGCCTTTCCTTTTGAATAATTCTCTAATGATGATAACACTTGCTTTTGTAGAAAAGCATGCACCAATACGCGTCTCAATTTGAAGTATTGAAACATCACATCCGATATAAGACCTTGGTATTCTCTGTGGTCTGTGCACTGATCTGCAATGGCCTGTATTAATGTTGGAAATTTTGTGTTTTCGGTTTGTTTGTCAAGATCACTGCCGAATTCACTGTACATCATAATGTCTAGTTTCAATGCATCCACATCTCCTTTGTTCAACCTGGCGGAAACATCCATAAGCTTATACTTGAGGAAATCGATGTTGAAATTCCTCATCAATGTCAAAGCTCTAGTAATGCACTGACGGTATCGCATGGAGTACACTTCGGCATCTTTATACGATTTGTGGGTACTAAAGAAGTTCAAAGTCTCGTGCAATTGTACCAAGATTGACCGCCACCTTCCCGACTTTATGATGCTAGTTCCGGAACTGCTTAAAGTTCTGCTGATAGACTCCAAAGGCTCGAACATTTCCATGACATGGTCCATCTCTACTGCCTTTTTCCCAAGCTCGGTTTGCTTATTCAAAAGGTCACGAGACTGGTTAGCGAAGTCTTCGGTATCTTTCACAACTTGGTCATAGTGTAAAGTCAATGAGCTGAGTTCATTCATAGTGTCATTGGTTTCCTTCAAAAGTGATTGGAAGTACTCAATGTTGCGATCACAGTCGGCTTGGAATGAGAGTAACTGGTCATCATAGCAGGCATTGACCGTTGAAATATGCTTATAGTCGAGAACGGAGTTAAAGCTGAATTTATGGAAGTATGATTCTGTCAATGCGTCTTCCTCGGCTTGGGTGAACGGAAACAAGTAACTTTCTGAGTTAATATAGTCCAATACTTTGGATTCCGCTGCAACTTTGTACACTGGCAAGGACAGGGATCTGTATCTGCTTGCAACTGATTGTGGCCTTTCATCTGTATTTAGCAACGGATTTTGCAATTGTTTCGTTTCACTCAGCTCGGCTTCAGGCTTCCATTCTTCCGAGGCATGAGATACTATCGACGCTATACTTTGCACGGTGGACCTCCTAGCCCTCACCATCTTTCAGCCCTCTTTAGATACTTGAATATGCTTCACGAGTGACCAAGTATATGGAACTTGGGCTCGCAGTGTGACTGGATGTCTAGAATATTAATGGTCCAGATAGGATAGTTCCACATGAGGGGTCAAATCAGTCGCGTTGTTGGCTCCGGTACGCACCGCCAATAGACAGGCCATGGAGAGAAACAATCCGGTGTCAATAATGAAAAATGAGTTCTTCAAAGGACAAAAAAACTTGGGAAGCACGGAAAAAATTAGGACAAAATTCAAGCTGTTCGAAAAACTCTATGCTCACACTTGAAAGTAGGGCAAAGAATCATTTGCCCTTGCTCTTTCCGGCTATCTAGATCCTGCTTCGTTTCTGAGAATTATCTACACTACCTCCGGTCCAGATTCTCAGGTAAAGTCATTGGACACTGTACTCTCAAACTTTGATACCATGTACGACGATCCCAGGGACGAAGTTCCAAAAGATCTCCATGACGTTCTCACAGAAGATTCTGACGATGCTTTTGCGGATTTGGAAAAAGAATTCGCCGTCAAAAAGCAAAAGTTGATGGAAGAACGTGCCCGCAAAAGAGAGCGAAACCGAACCGCACTCCAGGTGGAACGCTCGCCCTCTCCAAAGCGGTTTAAAGAAGAGTCGAAGCCCAAGACTGTGAACTACACCGTCACACTGTCAAGTGCAACCCGGCCACTTGAGCCCGACATTCCAAAGCCTCTTGTGGCGCCCCTGAGAGCCTTTCAAAAAGTTCCCTCTGTGTCTTCAAATCAATTCGCAACGCGTCTCTTCGAAAACGAAAATCAAAGCTCGAGCATTAACTACAACGAAAGATTCTATGAATTTGAAAATATTCCAAAGGGAAAGCTGGTGGTTTTAAACGATCAGAATGCAAAGGATGAAATATCCGGCGAAATCCTTAGACGAAGACTCATCCAAGAAGGCGACGCACAGCGCCTCTTAAAGGATACAAAAGTCCTCCGGGTGTCTAAGCTCTTAGCCAAAATCGTGCCTCCTAAGTACGAGGAGCCTATGTATACCAACTGGTGCCTTACTGGGATAGTTATTTACAAGAGCGATCCGAAGACCACGGTAAACGGTAAGAAGTATATGACTCTTCGCGTTGGAAACTTCAGTATAACAGTCGATCTCTTTCTTTTTGGGGACGCATTCCAAAAGTACTGGAAGCTACGTTGTGGTGATGTCATTGCTGTTTTGAATCCGACCGTCAAGAAGTACGGCTCCGGCTTCAACTTGTCATTACAGGATGGCCTCGACTGCATACTCGAAATCGGGGCCCTGAAGAATTATGGGCATTGCTCCGGAACAAATAAAGAAGGTGGCACATGCAAATTTGTCATTGATTTGCTGAAAAATGATCTATGCAGCTTCCACGAAGAAAGTAAATTCAAACGTGGCTCACGGATGGAACTTCAAGGTAGTGTGAAACCGAAGGCTCCAAAAAATAAGCAAGGTCAGACCAGTCAGGCATTTATGAGCGGATCAACAAATAAACCCCTATATGTACAGTATCTCAACGCTGGTTTTCTGGAGAAGGATGCCGTGTATAATGGAGGCGAACAGTTTGATCAGTCAAAGTACGATCGGCCTGTGAAAGAGAACGATGCTGCAAAATTGCGGAAACGCAAAGCAAATGAAAAGCTACGTTTGCAGTTGCTCAATAGTGCACCGCCTAACCGCTTGAACGATTTGGAAAAAATGGGTATTATACCGCAAGGAGAGCAGGAAAAAATCGAGCGGCAGAACTCCCTTCTGAAAATCAAACTGCAGGCTTTCAAAAATAAATTTCTTAAGGGGATGGGCTACGATCCTACTTTCGAAAAAAGTCACCAGCTAGATAAGATTAAACCCACGAAGTCGATGGAAGAATTACTCTCAATCAGCAAGAGTAAAAAGGTCAGTTTGCAACCTTCCGAAGAAGAAAAGAGAAAAAAACTTGATCGGCAAAAAACGGCAATGTGTATTGTTAAGCCCAGAACCACAGCTCCCAAGTACACAGCGACAGTTGTCGGGCCTGGACGAAAGAGCTTTCTTGCGAACAGTCCTCTGAAGACGCATCCAAAGATAAATGATGATCTGGATGAGGAGCGAAAGGTTAAAAAATGTGCAAACGAAGGACGTCATGGAAGTTTTGATAGCGACAGTGATTTAGAAATTTCTTTTTCGTGTGATGCAGACCAGATGCGCTACAAGAATGCAATTGCTGGATCTAAACATTAAACATAGGACAAGAAATGTTTTGCAAATGGGCCTGTCTACTTTGAGGTTTTTTATTTTTTCAACTTTTGGAGTAGAAGGCTGAGTTACCATAAAATGACATATTCCTGCTGAACACCCTCCCTCATGTCTTGCAACTTTGTAGAGTTAGTTATTGGACTGATATTTTCCCCCAAAATCAATCTTAATGGCGGCTGTTTTTTGTTTGTCTTTTGATTTCAAGGAAAATCCAAAGATTCTAGAAATGACATTCAATGATGCTGATCTATGGAGTAAATTCAAGTATTCTCTGGAAAAAAGCAATATCTTATTGAACAGTTCGTCCCTTATGATCATTCTAAACAAGAGTACGGGGTAAAAAATGACAAATTTTTGTATTTTCACAAATACTACTTAGTTTGTTATTCATTGAAAGGCGTGTGGGTGAAGATTGTTGAGAACACATTCATTGAATTGTGTTGAAAAAAAGCATCTTCCATATGAAGCAAAAAAAAAATCGATAAATGATGCATGGCTAATGGACTATTTGGTCTCATTCAGGGGTTCTTTGCAACTAGCTGCGGCGCATCGCGCGATGGTCTAGCCGTTCTAGTGTCCAGTCGCATCGCGACAATTACGAATGAAAATCCCAAGCGAAGAAGTCAGATTGCTGTCATGTCTGAAACGAAACGCCAAAAAATCGAGACACCCACCATGAGAATCTGCACACATTCAGGCTCTTTTCACGCCGACGAAAGTTTGGCCATTTACCTTTTGCGTCTTTTGCCAAAGTTTTCACAAGCTCAGTTGGTCAGATCCAGAAACCCTGCTGACTGGGAAACCAGCGATATTGTCGTTGACGTGGGAGGAAAATATGACGGTGGTCATAAATGGTTTGACCACCACCAGAGAGACTTTAACGAGCAGTTCTCTACGCAATACAAAACTAAGCTTTCGTCTGCTGGGTTGATCTATAAGCATTTCGGAAAGGAGATTATTCAGGAAGTGCTCAAACTCCAAAACCAGGGCGATGTCGAGATGCTCTACGAAAAAGTGTACAAAGAGTTCATTGAAGCTATTGATGCCAATGACAACGGTATTAACAACTACCCTTCGGATGTTGAGAAAAAGTTCAATGACAGAAACTTGACTCTTCCGTCCTTGGTTTCGCAGTTGAACCCTCGCTGGAACACCAATCCCGTGGACAAAGATTTTGACGCGGCTTTCACACAAGCGAGTCAATTGATGGGACTGGCCTTTTTAAACTTGGTAAAGGGCTACGGTGAGTCGTGGTTGCCTGCAAGAGACATTGTTGAATCCGCCTTCAAGACCAGATATGACGTGCACGCATCGGGTGAGGTGATTGTCTTGGACAAGTTCTGCCCATGGAAAGAACATCTCTATGCGATCGAAAAAGAAAACAATGCACAGGGAGAGATCAAGTTTGTGTTGTTCCAGGATTCCAGTGCTTCGTGGAGAATTTCCACCGTGTCCATCTCTTCGGCCAGCTTCGAGTTTAGATTCGGCCTTCCTGAGCCATGGAGAGGAGTCAGAGACGAGCAATTGTCTGAATTGACCGGTGTTGATGGATGCGTGTTTGTTCATGCCGCTGGGTTCATTGGTGGTTGCAAGTCCAGAGACGGTGTCATGCAGCTTGCGAAATTGGCCTTGGACTCGAGGAAGTAAGGAAAACACATCAGGATCACCTGGGGAACACATAATCTAAAAAAAAAATATACATTATCTTTACGGTGCAAAACACTGGGTTTTAGCTATTTCAAGAAGTGAAGAGCGAGATCGAGCACAGTTGCCCGATAACTCACGAACAAAGCTAACTATTCCAACAATGGTGCAGCCTCGGAGTCAGTGGTTCTCCTGACGACTCTTCCAGTAGCCACCAAAAGCGTGAGAATCAACAAGAGACCCGAGATGACAAAGCCAAAAATCCATTGCAATGCAAAAGCCTTGGTAAACAATTGGCCCAAACCCAAGCCAAACGCTAAAATGGAGGATGTGAGGCCAAGTCCCCAGTCGTTGAACACAAGCGTGAAAAAGCCTGGGATTATGAGCAACAACCAAACCGTGAAATTGGCAATGACTCTACCCAAAAACTTGTGCACGTGGAACAACACGGCTCCATTCCAAAAGATGGCAAAGAGCAACCATGACATAGGAAGGGCAGCGTTTGTCATGTGGATCAAGAAATAGTTTCCCAAAGGCTTGATGGCATAAGTCTTGTGCGTGGTGTACAAGGCGAAAATATTCACCAAGTTGAGGACCAAAATAACCTCGGACCATGATGGCGAACAAAAAGCATGGTCCAAAGGAAAACGAAAAAGTTGAAGGCAGTGAAGTGCCAGCCAACCTTCTTGGTGTAATCTAATCTGTTGGTCACTCCAGCAGCAGAGTCAACCACAGGAATGAAGATCTGAGTGACGAATAAGATCTGCATGAAAATCAAAAGGCCCCAGTACGCCATCGTCACTATAATATTGAGGGTGAATGGGGTTTCACCCACATGGTATGGGGTGTCGTCACTGAAAGGCTGTCTGCCACTGAAATACCTAACAGTGGAATAGGTGGAAAGCACCCATGACACGACAGTGGAGATCTTGTGGGTAAGAAGGTCGTCGAACATTTTCGAGGGGGTATTGAATTTTTGGAGAAAAAAGGATCTAAGGAGATAAAAAGTTGGTCCGAATTCCCTTTCTTATACAATGGAAATTACAGGGTGTTCTAACTCTAAAATTGTAGCAACCATAAGGCCTGCGTCTGCATGGCTCGAAACGGAAGTGCGATGATCAGCCCAGGGACGGGGAGGGGAACGAGAACAATTAGCTCACACTAGCCATTTGTGTGGGCATCCAGTTTTGAGAATCTGAGGAGCCAACTTTGGATGACGTTCTCTTGTGAAAATGAATCGGCATCAGACTCTCGCTATTTGCAGTTCACTCTACCGGAGAATGCTGACCGGAGCAATAAATTAAAAGGGCACGGAAATGTGCGAGGGCTTTGCGGCGTGCATATAGAGAAGGACAACACAAGATGATCTGTTCATTGCTTGCCACAGTACGGCTCCATCCAGGAGCAAGTCTGCGAAGGAGGTTCAATTGAATCTGCAAACTCATATTTCCCCGGTTTATTATATGTGGTAAGCCGAGCGCGGAGATTGTATTTATAGTCTCTTCCCAGCAAAGAAATGAGATTGACTCTCCAAGACTACATCAGTTCGCCCCACGAATCTTATCGAGTAATTGGCGGCATTTGCAGACGCAACTAAAGCTGTGAATTAAACGCAGATTCATTATTGTTGGGCAGTAAACACCATTTGGGTGGAGTTGAGAAAAAAAAAAACACAGAAGAAGGGAAATATGAAAGAAAACGATCTATACTCCCGGTCAATTTTCTGAGCCCAAGGCCGTTCAAAAGCGTTCTGTGTATGCCCGGCATATCTTCCAATGAGGTTAAATAAACAAAACAGTGGTGCGGCACGCGTCCAGTCACGTCCGCATCAGGGCTTATTCTAGACACGTGGGAATTATATGAACCGTGATTGGGAGGAGGTCAAATTTAAACTGGTTATTCAGGTTAATTCTAAATACTTTCTTTTGAAGTCTTGCACGGTCTTCTTCCGTAAGGACAGAAGCACCACCAAACAGAATACCCCATCCCTGAGCTTCATAACACGGCTTGGAACGTGAGTGGGCTACTGTTATGTGCAGAACAGATAAACAGGAAACACCTGATGTGGCCAAAGCTCAGGAATTGCGACTTTGTGTACTTGCACTGATCGGTATTAGATCCAGCCCAAGTAAGCTGGCAGACTCGCAGACCACTTCAAACAGGGACTGTGTCAATTCTTTGTGGCTCACGCAGCTTTGTATATCATCAGTTCATAAAATCTGCGCGGATAAGCCTAATGTGCAAATCCTGGCTGGTACCGACACGCCGCGACACGTCAAACCTGGCTCGGTTCATTTTTTTTCTGAAGTTCGGTTTGTTTATTTGGTGCAAGCTTCCTTTTCAAGCTTTCTTTGCCTCACTTCCTTTGAGTTACAAAACCTCTTTGCTTGAAAGGTGACGCTAGTGTATGGGAATACTTCTGTTCTATTTAATCGGACAAGGTTTTTATTTGCTAAAAAAGAAAATGGACAAGAACAGTTATGCTCCCGTGGCCCCAGGGGGTGCCTCCTCGCTCGCCAACTCTGGACCTTTGTCGATCGCCTGTTACTGCATGGCTTCGATTTTAATGACTGTTACCAACAAGTATGTTCTTTCAGGTTACTCGTTCAACTTGAACTTTCTTCTTTTGGCAGTGCAATCCACTGTGTGTATTGTCACCATCGCCACTTTGAAGGGCCTTAACGTCATCACCTACAGACAGTTTAACAAGGAGGAGGCTAGAAAATGGATGCCTATTGCCCTTTTGTTGGTTGCCATGATCTATACTGGCTCCAAGGCATTGGCGTACTTGTCCATTCCAGTCTACACGATTTTCAAAAACTTGACCATTATTTTGATTGCCTACGGCGAAGTTTTGTGGTTCGGCGGTAAAGTCACTTCCATGACGTTGGGCTCTTTTCTCTTGATGGTTTTTTCGTCTGTGCTTGCTACATACGGTGATAGCAGTGCCAACAAGTCTGCTGAGGACATTTACACCATGTACTTGGGTTACTTTTGGATGTTGGTCAACTGTTTTGCCTCTGCTGCTTTTGTTTTGTTCATGAGGATCAGAATCAAGTTGACCAACTTTAAGGACTTCGACACCATGTACTACAATAACTTGTTGTCTATTCCAGTGTTGTTGGTTGCCACCTTCTTGTTTGAGGACTGGTCTGCCGAGAACCTCGCCTTGAACTTTCCGGCTGAAAACAGAACTGCCACCTTACTCGCCATGGTTTTCTCCGGTGCCTCTTCTGTTGGTATCTCCTATTGTTCTGCCTGGTGTGTGAGAGTCACCTCTTCGACCACTTACTCTATGGTTGGTGCTTTGAACAAATTGCCAATTGCCTTGTCTGGTTTGATTTTCTTCGATGCTGCCGTCAACTTCTGGTCCGTCTCCTCCATTTTTATTGGATTTATTTCGGGATTGGTTTACGCTGTTGCAAAGCAAAAGCAACTGAGGGAGAATGCTCAGCAATTGCCCTCCGCCAAATAGAAATTTTGAAGTTAATCTGCGGCATTCATATCACTGATTGTCAGTCTGGTGATCGTTTTATTTAAACTCAGGATGTTAATAGAGTTTCACTAGAATACATTCTTTTCTACACCGAAGAACAATTCCTCGCGGATCTGTTTGTCGCACTTAATAATTACACTGTGAATTCGAATCTTCGAGCCACTCAAATATCCTTCTTGTATTTAATCTACAATTTTGCCTCGTCACTTTTTTGATACAGCTTTCATTTTGGTAGAAAATGTTTTTTTTTCGTTTATCAACATAGAGGTGACATGGCTCTTCGAATAAACATGGCCCTGTATAGGGTTTCAATGAGCAAGATCCACAGTATGGAAACACAGCGAAAAAAGTTGCGGGTCTCGGAAACAACCGCCCTTTAATTTCTCTGTTTGTTTATCGACACCATGGCGGAAAACAGTTTGGAAACAATCCCAATCTACTTGAAAGAATCTCTTGATCCGCGGAATGCCAAAGAAGCCGAGGCTCACTTGCGTGCCATCGAGTGTCAGCCCCACTTTGCAATCAACTTGTTAAATGTTGTAGCCTCATCTAATTTAGACTCTTCGGTGAGACTTGCTGGATCATTGTTCCTCAAAAATCTTGTGAAACGCAAATGGGTGAATGAAGACGGTGAGTATCTTTTGTTTACTGAGGACATTCAATACCTAAAGGCAGAGATTTTGAATGTCATGATTAAGTTACCCAACAATATCCAGGCTCAGTTGGGAGAGACCATCTCCATCATTGCCGAGCTGGATTTTCCTCGCAATTGGGAAAACTTGATTGATGAACTTGTGACAAGACTCTCAGCAGAGGATTTTGTTTTGAATCGTGGTATTCTCCTAGTTGCACACTCAATCTTCAAGAAATGGAGACCGCTTTTCCGCTCCGACGAGTTATTCTTGGAGATCAAGATGGTGTTGGACAAGTTCGCCCAGCCATTTATGGCCTTGTTCGTAAGAACCGATGAACTTGTTACCGAAGCATTGAATCAAACGAATGGCGCCAATCTTGCCATTTACTTAGAGTGCTTGTTGCTTGAAGTCCAAATCTATTACGATTTGAACTGTCAAGATATTCCAGAATTCTTTGAAGACAACTTGGCCACAGGAATGAGCATCATGCACAAATACCTCACGCTCAAGACTCCCTTGGTCGGCGACGCTGATGATGACGAGGATATAGATGTACTCATCAAGACCAAGTCGGCAATTTTGGAATTGATCTCACTATATGTCACCAGATATTCCGAGGAGTTTGAACCAGTCACTGAATCATTTATAACTTCAGTTTGGGAATTAGTCAATACGGGAGTTACTAAACAACCTAAATTTGACTTGTTGACCGTCAAGGCATTGTCGTTCTTGACATCTATTTCACAGGTATCCAAATACCAGTCTTTTTTCGACAATGAACAAGCCATCAGGGAAATTATTGAAAAAATCATTTTACCAAATATCGTCTTCAGAGACGTTGACGAAGAGATGTTTGAGGATGAACCCATTGCCTTTGTCAGATCTGACTTAGAAGGCTCAGATTTTGATTCTAGAAGAAAATCGTCGACCGATTTCTTGCGGGAATTGAAGGAGGTTAATACTACCCTTTTAACAAACACGGTAATGTCTTACGTGAATGAATTCTTGTCCCACACAGATTGGAGAAATAGAGACATCGCTATTTATCTATTCACCTCATTAGCCGCCAAGGGATCTGTGACAAATATGGGTGTCACCTCAACCAATCTTCTTGTAGATGTTGTTGGGTTTTTCACGTCTAACATTGCTTCATACTTGGTCGAAGATGCTTCGCCGATCTTGAAAGCGGATGCTATCAAGTACATCATGACCTTCAGAAACCAGTTGACAAAAGAACAACTTTTAACAACCGTGCCACTTTTGGAAAACCATATCAAACACGAAAATGCCGTGGTGTATACATACGCAGCAATCACCATCGAGAAGCTCTTTGCCATGACGAGTTTCACGAACTCGGCTCATCTTCCGGTCTTTGATAAGAATGACATTCAGCCATACGCTAGCAACTTATTGCACAATCTTTTTGCCCGGATTTTATCGAGTACAGTACCTGAGAAATTGTCTGAAAATGAGTTTTTAATTCGGACTGTTATGAGAGTTTTGAGCACGGCAGAAAACACCATTGCAGAACCATTCAAAGCAATTATCATCGGCCAACTCCTATATATCTTGAGCATTATTGCGAAGAATCCCGCTAATCCTAGATTCACACATTACGTTTTTGAAAGCTTGGGTCTTTTGATAAAGTTTAGCTCCGCACCAAAAGCTGAGGTTACTCCGAACTACATTGCATTAATAATGCCTGCTTTGCTACAGATCTTGAGCGAAGATGTTCAGGAGTTTGTCCCTTACACATTTCAGATTTTGGCATTCTTGCTTGAGGAACTTCCGAGCTCAAATGCTTTACCTGAGCAGTATGCGGGGTTGGTAAAACCTATTTTATCTCCTGTTGTTTGGGAATACAGAGGAAATGTTCCAGGAGTAACCAGGCTTATTATAGCAATCATGAAACACGACTCTGCAGTGTTTGCCCGAAATGCACAGGAACTCACGCCGCTCCTAGGAGTATTCCAAAAATTAATCGCTTCGAGAGCAAATGATTCATATGGCTTTGATTTGCTAGAGGGCATTTTACTAAACATGCCACTTAATCTTTTGACCGACTATTTCAATCAAATCGCCATTTTGTTGTTGACCAGACTCAAGAGTTCACGGACTGAAAAATTTATCAAGAAGTTTGTCTTATTTTTATTATCATTGTCGTGTGTGCCATTGAATCAGACCTTGTCAACTAAAACAGGCATTAATGCGGACTTCGTGATCAACCTCCTTGATTCAGCCCAACAAGGCGTATTCCAACAAATATTCACTAGCTTTATTTTGCCAACCTCTGAGTCATTTACCTCGTTGCAAGACAAGAAAGTCAGTGCATTGGGTCTCTCACAACTTGCTACTTCTTCAGGGTTCACTCAAGGAAATTACAAAGTCCTTGTTGTGCCTACTGTGGAGCAGTTATGCAAAAACCTTTCTCTTTTACAAGGTATTTCAAACAAAGCTAGTACTGTCACGAACACAACAACTGGTGACACAAATACTACAAGTGTGGCTATTAACGACTTGGATTTGGAAAGTGCAGCATATGGATCATCATTTTCTAGGCTTGTATCGATTCATTTGAAGCTGTTTGACCCATTACCAGACGTAAAAAGCGATGATTTTAACTTTATCGAATCAGCTGCAGTTTCCAATGTGAAAAAGTTGGAACAGTTGGGTGTTGTGAATCAGTTGAGCGAAAACGCGAGATCATTTTTCACAAAATATTCGAACTAAAAGTGATTCGTTTGTGTATATGGTTCAAGAACATGACGCAAATGAGAAATTTTCTGATTGCTGGAATGGAACAAGGAAATGTTGAGCAGCTTCATAAGGCTTCGAAGAGTGCTTGGCTATGACACAAAGTAGCATATAAAACATGATCAGCTCAAATTTTCGGCATGAAAATTGAGATGAAGACAAGTGCGTTGTGTCTGAAAATACTACTTTGATTGTCGTCTTGTGAAGATGGATCGATGATTGGTTTGTCTAATTAGGAGAGTTTATAAGGGTTTGAAATATAGGATCATCTCTTGGAACTGAGTCTGTCTCTGTTGTAGTGTTAATGTTTGGAGTGGTGTTTGCAGATGGGGCATTAGAGGACATGCTTGTGAATTCACCCTCACTTTTGATTTCACCGTTACTCACATGTCCGTTCTCCGTTTCGCTCAGTTTTTTTGATCGTGCTTGCTCGGCAAGTTCGGCAGCGGTAAGAAACCTTCCACCTTGGCCTCTTGGGCGCCTCATGGCATGTTTATGTCTCGACTCATGCAAGTAAGGTTTCCGCGTGCGGGCAATCTTCAACGTTTCCTCTAGTTTTGCACGTGCTATTCTTCTTTTCAATATACGATGATACTGCTTCGCGTTGACATAAAATGGTTGTTCAATCAGTTCTTCGGCTGGGGGTGGATGTGGTATATGATGTACAGCTGGCATGTGCCCTTGACTCTGATGATTACTAGCTGGTGAATGTTCATGTATCGATGGGGCTGGCCCTGAATGAGACGCAGAACTGGACTCATCAGGTAAACCTTCTTGAGCGTAGAATTCATTCTGTGGATTTGTATCTGTGGAAGGATCATATGCCGTCGAAGAACCATTGCTGTAGTATGGTGACCTTGTATTTTGGTCCAAATGACTTTGCATCATTTGGTGTGGCTGCTGAGAATTGTAAAATGTCTGCAGAGGCTGCTCGTTATAGTACGCGTCCAGTTGTTGATTTTGTAACGACGTCATTGTCTGCTGCTTAGAAATCTGGGTCTATGTTGACCTTTGTTTTCGAAACTTTATAATGCAGAGGTCCTTGAAAATCTGGGTCAGGTATTTTTTTTCTTCACCAAAAATATAAGATAAGTTTTCACCTCAGAGGGATTTATTATTGTGAACAGTCTTCTAAATATTTCGAAAGTCAAAAATCTCGTATTTGACAAAAGACAGGGGATTCTAGAACAGATATAATTGATGTTCAAACTCTAGGTCTAGGTATTGATGACCGTGATCAAGCGAAAGTCTCCGCACGGAATCTAGTTGAGTCACTATGCCTGACTGCGGTCGGAGATTCGAACCGATCTCGGGATGAGCGAGCGGATTATCTACAATGCATGAAACTTGGGAGACAATTATGAGACCAAAATACAAAAGAAGAAACCCCACCTTTTTCGATTAACTGAGAAAAATGTGATCAGCTGATTCTCAATCATTCACTCAATGTCATTCTTTTTTTGAAAAATCCACGTCTAACGCCCTGAGAAGCGAGAGTGCCGATTGAGGTTCCGTTTCAGCACACGGGATTCCAAACATCCTGAACATCAAAATTCAGATCTGCTAAATTGATAGACCTCCAGACAAGCTTGGATAACAGCTGAAAATATTAAGCTTTCCGAAAAATAAATATTATTCGCCATACGCGGGCTGCAAAGCAGGCATGACATTTTGCTTGAGCAGAGGTTCATTTACCGTGCGCGCGATATGTGCATACCGTTTATTGTTGTTTTTATTTTACTTTCACCATTTCGAAACAATGCCACATATTACGAAGTTTGGCCTTGATCAAAGCTTTTGCAATCACAGATCAGTATTGCCCTGGAAATTCTCTTTGATCTCATCTCCAGGGATGTCTAACTGATTGGCAATTCGATCTCTTATCAGCGAAATTGGAGTCAATTTGTACAATTTTGCCACAGACTTTGTTGAGTCCATTATATCGGGTATCTCGTCTTGCTCTTCCACGCAATCCTGTTGCATGGAAATTCTTTGCAAGATATAGTTCTTATCTCTCTTTCCTGGCTTCGAGATTTTGTCCGGAACAAGTGAATTCCAAGGTAGACTGGTCATCTTGAGCTCCCCCGATGCAGAAAGATTCAGTGCTTTTTGAGGTGAGACGATATCTGAGGTTGATATATCTTCATCTTGTTCACTTTTGTGTGCATTTACAACATGGGCCGGCCAGCTGCACTCCAGTTTGTTGGAGATACAATTCTTGCAGGATGGGTAGGACGACTCGTCGCATTTCTTTTTCCGCCTCCGACACGTGAAGCAGCCGTTCTTCGATCGTGTCTGTGGCCTTGATGCCATCTTTCAAACAGAATCACACCAGTGAAGAAAAACCGACAAAGACAAGTTTTTTTTTGACTTGCCTAGAGTGCTTTCCTAATTAGGAAATCGCGCACCGCGCTTACGGAAGGGCACGGGTTGATACATGCTGCCGTTCCATCAGGAGGCCCTCTACTACACACAGAAATCCATACTATCAAATACACATATGTATGGCCTTGTGGGATACAATTGATTTGTATGTAACAACCAAGTGGGTGCTTGCTCGATCAAAGATGTGAACATTAGCAGTTTTTGTACTCTGTAAGAATTCTTTTTAATCTAGTTCTTTCTTTCAGAACTAAAAGCAAATCAATCCCTGTGCGAAAAATACATTAAGAACGTTCGATAACTGGGGAAAAGACTGGTGTCGATTTTATCCTAGTGATGTTACTACATTCACAAACACTCACATGTTGTCCGATCGTCCTGCATATATGGCACCGCCTACACGCTTTCATCATTAACGAGCTACCAATGTAGGGTTGACAGCACAATAATGGGAATGACAGACATAATACCCGAGAAAAATGGCTCACTTACAAGTCTTTCCATAGACGAGATATTCACGAGATACTCCGTTCACTCAGTGAGACCTCTTCACAGGGAATATCATGCTAGTGTAAGTAAAGCCAAGGCTGATCTTCATTCTTTGGTGGGAAGAAAATACAGAGATTTGATTCAAATTGCCGAGGATATTGATCAGATGAACCATATGTCCAGAAATATTGATTACAAGCTCACAGATCTCTCATACAAGACTACCCGCCATGTTCTGTTTGGCAGAAATAGATTTTCTAAGTTTGAAAGCATGTCAAGAGAAGAGAATGCTAAAGCAGCCAGAATTGCCTCAAAAACGACCATTTTCAACAATATTTTGAACAACAAGCTACTATCGTTTGATTTGAAACTACAGGGAATGGGACATGTGAAAGCACACTATCTTGTGCATATGGCAAAGGTGTACTTTACAGTGGAATCAGTTTTCAAAACGATTTCCTCCAAGACAGTCAATACCGATCGAAACTTCGCTCAGTACAAGGAAAATTTCAAGATTTATTTGGAGACCAAAATTGCTACCTGGCTTCCACAGCTGTTCTCTTTTGACAAGGATAGGACAAACATTACTAAGAACACCGCTGATCAGTGGTTGGAATCTGACATTGTCGATTTTTTACAAGAACAAATTGAAGAAGGAGACGACGAAGAAGAAAAAGATTCAGACTATGAAAATTATGATGAACTAGGCCTCAATAAGTACTTTAGGGTTTCATCATCACCATTGTTGAACTACATTGTTGCATACATCATTCTAAACAACAATAAACCACACTTGAGTTCTTTAGAGGGAATTGCGAGAAAAATCATCGATTTGCGATTTCATTTTTTGACAAAACTATTGAGCATTGATCTTGCAAACGATCACTGCAATTCCCGCAACATCAATTTTTCTTTTATCATCGGATTCACTGAGTCAACTTATAGTTGTATCAAGAAGTATTTTCTTGAATCAAGTCCCAATAATCTTGCATCTACTTTTCGGCGCAACACATCTTGGAAAGCTTATGACCTTATTGGATTTCACAACTGGTTTGAGGAAGAAACAATCTTGTTAGATGTTAGCAAATACGTGCTGCTTCCAGATGACTTTTTAGAATCAACCCAAAGTGGAAACGAGGCTTTTAAGAATTATATCTATGATGTGTTCACTACAATTGTGGCAAATCATGACACCAAAAACTCACTTCAACAAGCAGAAACGGCCTTGAGTATGTTCTATAACTTCTTAACTGCTTGTCGGAAGGCTGAAGTTCATGCCGAATCGAGTGATTGTAACTGCTTTTCTGTGCAAGCGTTCTCGAGAGAAAACTTACCCCGCAATTTATTGCAGTTTGTTGTCTCTCTTCTCGAAAACGCAACAGCAAAGGAAAATGAGTTCTTTATTGAAAATGTGCGAGGCAAAGTTAAATTATCATTCGATGAATGTCCAGAAGATAAACACTCTACACAAGAACTTTTTGATAAAGACATGATACGCCTCATCGACGATGATTTCGATACATATTTCAAGCAAGTCTTTTCATTATCTTCGGGAGACAATGAAAATACTCTCAGAAGATTTGAGATAACATCCGAACTTAAGCAGTGGTTGAACAGACAAAAGATATTATCGGCTCTCACCCGTTCGTCAGGTACGAGTCTTGTATCAAGAATTGATCAGCTTTTCGGCAAGTCGCATCCGAATGTAAAGCCCTTCACTCTGTGGGGAGACTTTACGACTGATTTATTAAAATTGAGATTTGATGGGGTAGCCCAGGAAAGATATGCATCACTCAAGCTGAATTTAAACCAATTATTGGATGATATTATACATCCATTAAATCACCCCATAGATACTTCAAGGGTAAGCAAGTTTCATTTCATGCTTTATCTTATTCATTTGTTGAGAACAAACAATGATTTACACAATGATGAGACTATTGATTCCAAAATCGACGGTGCGCTTCACTATTTCTTTGAGAGGCTTTTCGATGGTTTGTCCGCACAAAATTTGTCGCCCGAGAATCAGACTGTGATTGATCTGTTCACTCATTTGTCAGCCCTAGACTCAGCAGCAGGAAGTGGCACAGTGCCTTTATGGCCTCATATTATAGTCAACTCGACTTTCGAGAAACTTTCATCTACCATCCTAGCCTCCGACTTCTTAAATTCAAGTGAACTATTCGAAATTTTTCTGCACGAGAAGAACAAGCCCATTTTTGTTAACGTTAAGAATGCTTGGTTAACCAGATATTTCCTCGAAGATTGGCTTCTCAAAGATGCCAATGCCAAAAGTGTGGGTTTGAAGTCGACACAGACAGACAAGGGCCCTTCGAGCTTTGAGGAACATAGACCCATCAGTGCTGAAACCTCTCGTACTATTGACTTTTTTGAAACCGAAGGAGGCAATGTGGGCACTGATAACAAGACAAATGAGGTATCATGTGAAGCACGAGATTCCACCGATAATGAGGATTACACCCATGTCGAAGAGCCTTTCGAGTTTAAAGACTCCACAAATGCTGAAGAGTTGCCAAATTCTAGCGTTCTCTCACATGGTCAAAATCCAAATTTGACATTGGATAGGAAGCTACTGACAAGTCAGTCCAGGCAATTGATGGCCAATGCGGCTTTCGTGATTTGCTTTGTAACTGAAGTGCCTTTGACGTCACAAATGGATGTAGTCCAAAAGATCGTGGAACAAATCAATTCGCTGAGCGAGAATCAGATTGAGAATTCCACATTGGATATCATCATCCGAGGAATGAATGAATTTTACAAGTCGTGCAGAGACATACATCTCCCGCTTCTGATCAATTAGATTTACCTTTAGTCTATAGATTATTTGAAAGTTTGAAACTCAGTATAAATAGATCTTGGAGCCACTCTCGGTCAATTGTTTTAAGGTTTCTGTCGTTTCGCTGATATTGAAAACGTTTTGCATTTTTTGATCCAAATATGAGTTGTCCGCAATGACAATCTTGATCTCGCTAGCTTTCAATCCCAGGTCCTTGTTATTCAAGATTTTCTGTAGCCTTCCTGGGGTACAACACAAGACCCGAGCCCAAGTGCTTTTAATCAACTTCAAATCAACATCAATCTTATTCTTGTTAATTAATTTTAAAGATGATCCAGGGATCTCACGAAGACAGCGATGTACGTCGCATGCACGTATGGCAGACATGGTGATGATCGCAATGAACTTTCTGTCGTCAGGTGTTTCTGAGGTCTTCACAGTGCCGTCGATTTTTTTGCCCTTCTTTTTGTTCTTTTTACCAGGTGTTTTCGATGGCAACATATTGTCAAATCTCAGAAGTATAAATTTGGGCAAGTTGTCAAGATTTCTGGCCTCGGTAAACTCAGCAGTTGATCTAAAGTCTGTTTTTTTAAAATATAGCTCTGCCATTTCCAATGCAGAAAGATCTGGATTCTTTCTCCGCAAACCATCATTAATGGAATCTGCAATGACATCCGCAGATGCCTCTTTGGACAAGTTTCTCTTTTTATCTATGTCCATTTGCATCTTCATTTTCTTTTTCTCTTGTAATTTTGATCCTGACTTCGACCGCTTCTTAGGGTTTTCTGATGATTTAGTTTCGTCTTCACTCAACGAGTCCATATGCTTGTCGTCATCCGAAAGCACTACCTCATCATTAGAGAAGTCAACTTGGTAAGCCAAGCCATCATCAAGATCATCAACACTCATTTTTCAGTAATTATGAACGTTTCTTACTTTAGATGGATGTTTAAATAAATTTACTACTGAAGCCGCACCTTTGCATCGTGCACTTTATGCGCACTCTTGAGATGAGGTTCGGACATCAGAACCAGAAACTGAACCCCATATAAATCCCTAGAGATTGCTATAATATCGATGATGCTTGGGTGCAATCTTATGCGGAAGAAACTTTTTTGCCTAAAGTTTCCTGCAAGAGTACTTTCACGAAGAAAGATATATATAAATGCAGATCTCGAGCATAGATTATCTGTAGCAGACTTCCATCCGGTGATTGTTGTTGGTGCTGGCCACGCTGGATGTGAGGCAGCTACAGGATCTGCAAGATCCGGAACTAAGACTACATTGGTCACTCCAGATATCGGTAAAATAGGAACAGCGTCATGTAACCCTTCAATGGGTGGCGTGGGAAAGGGCACGTTACTTCGTGAGGTGGATGCCTTGGATGGCGTTTCATCCAAAGTCACTGATAAAGCAGGGATACATTTTAAGATGTTAAACGCATCAAAAGGTGCTGCTGTGCAAGGACCTAGAGCACAAATTGACAGGAAGATATATTTGCAAGAAATGCAGAAGGTGATATCCGCATATGAAAATCTCCAAGTTTTACAAGCGCTGGTAGAGGATATCATTATTTCCCCCTCACAACAATTACCCAAGGACTTCGAAGGCAGGTTTCATGGCACAGTAAAGGGAGTAGTTCTAGATGACGGATCTGTTCTTCTGTGTGGAAAAGTAGTCATATGCACTGGTACATTTTTGGGTGGAGAAATCCACATTGGCCTTCAGTGTTTTCCAGCGGGCCGCCTCGGAGAAGATGCAACCTTTGGATTGTCAAAAACTTTGCATGACGCTGGTTTTCGTTTGGGGAGATTAAAGACAGGCACTCCGCCAAGGCTTCTGTCCAAAAGTATAAACTACACCTCATTGCTTCCCCAGCCTTCGGATTTGCCTCCCAAGCCAATGTCTTACATGAATGAAAGAGTTGAACTTGAGGATATGTTGGTTCAGTGTCATCAAACCAGCACAACCCCTGAGTTTCATAAGATAATCAGCGATAATCTTGACAAATCTATACATATACGCGAAACCGTGAAGGGTCCCCGTTATTGTCCTTCAATAGAGTCAAAGGTGATCAAGTTTCCTCAAAAAACGTCACATGTTGTGTGGTTAGAACCGGAAGGGTTCGACACAGATCTTGTGTATCCAAATGGTATTTCTTGCACCATGCCGAGCGAGATTCAAGAGAAAATGATTAGAATGATGCCAGGTTGTGAAAATGCTGTTATGCATCAGCCTGGCTATGGTGTTGAGTATGACTATGTGGATCCCAGGGAGCTTAAACGTACTTTGGAGACAAAGTTGGTCGATGGGTTGTACTTGGCTGGCCAAATTAACGGAACTACTGGATATGAGGAAGCTGCTGCACAAGGTTGCATTGCTGGTATAAATGCGGGTCTTTCACAGTTGAGAAAGCCAGTCTTTGAAATTCAGAGATCTGGCGGCTATATCGGGGTACTCATAGACGACTTGATCACAAAAGGTGTTGAAGAGCCCTATAGAATGTTTACCTCCCGCTCAGAATTCAGATTCTCTATAAGAGCTGATAATGCCGACCAACGCTTGACTGAAAGAGGTTTTCTTGCTGGAGTTGTTGGCATTGAAAGGTATTCCAAGTTTCAAAGTGAGATGACTTGCTTTAACGAAATAAAGAATGATTTGAAGTCGATTGTCTTATCAGGAGCTAAATGGGAACCAGTTGTAAAAGGGTCTCATAAAGTGAGCAAGTCCACTGTTGTTGATGGATGGAAGCTCCTCTCATATAAGGATATGACATTTCAAGACATCATACCCTTTGTACGAAAATTGAAGGGAGGAATATTGCCGGAAGCCTACAACTCAATGTCTCGCTGGACTAACGAAAGGATTGATATTGAAAGCTCATACGAGCCATGGCTTAAGAGAGAAGAAGCTCAGTTGAAAGCCTACGAAGCGGATGAAAATTTACTTCTTCCTACCAACTTTACCTACACTAATGAGGGAACCCTCAAGCTTTCTCACGAGGCTTGTCATTTACTTAATACCATCCAGCCAAAGACAATTGGCCAGGCACGGAGGATACAGGGTGTTACACCTGCTGCCATATTTGAGTTGTTCAAATTGGTGAAAGCAGGGCAAAAAACTGTTTCGTATTAAGACGCATCAAAATTTAATTTGTACATAGATTCATATGATATTCGACGGCGTGATTTTAGCACATGCTCAAAGATTATACCACGACTTTCAAGGTTTACACCAGAAGGCGTGGCGAGTCGCAGAGAGTGGGCGCCTGAAGTCCGCTACAACCATCTGAGTTGAAGCGACTACTACAGGAGACCTATCCTGGGAGTCGATGGCGTAATATCCAATACGTAAACAGATATGGGCCATGAGGACCGTCCAGGCCGTGACTAACAGAAGGACACCGGCCGAGCTAAGACACTTGGTACGTATCTGAGAGCTGTTTAAAGGTATTTATATATATTATTCATAGCGTTTTGCCCCTTAATCAGATGAATCTAACAAAAAAAAAAACTGTCACCCATTCTTCATACATAAATCACTCTTTGGGCGTCAGATTTTCGGGATTTTTCGACCGTTTACGTAAGGTAGTTTCGACGGACTCCTGAAGACTGTTATCTAGGGACATCAACAGCTCAAGAGGAAACACATTTTGGGCCAACTTCGGGAACTCAATCTCTTCTCCTAAAAGTTTATGACGTGAATTAATGCGATTCACAAACAAAAGAGCATCTGATATATTAATTTGATCAGAGCTTCTGTGAACTGCATAATCCGTCAAATCTTGCATCACGTGCAGTAAGAATTCATTTGATTTCTGGGATAGTAAGTTAATTACATCTGGTTTTACTCTTCGTAACTTCTGTTTCTTTCGCGGAGGACTTCTGGATAAAGCTTTCAGCGGAAGGTGCTGTGCAACAGAAACCAATCCTTTCACTAAATTTTTGGGTAAGTTCAAGTTTCGGGACAGATTCGACCTCGAATTCATGGCTTGTATCCGAATAGGACTAGTATGAGGTGATGGTGTCACATGGCTCGCAAAATCAGAATTTACAGCGTCAAACGATGGTTGATCGGTAATTATATCATTGTTATCAACTGTATAGTGACCCAGGACTATCTCTGTGTGTGACAGCTCAGAATCTGGATCAGAGGCATTAACATTTGCAATGCTCAAGTCTCCACCAATGTCAGTGTCGAAAAGTTCTCGTTCTGGTTGATTTTCTTCCTTCAGCTTATCTTCTATTTCTCGACGCAGGGTGTCAGAATCGTTGTAAATGGGCACAGGATCCCAACTGGGTACATCCAATTGATCAATATTGTCAAATTTTATATCATAACTTTCCGGGGTCTTATTTCCAAGACCTATCTGTGGCAGTCGAATGGAGCGGAAAGGTCCTTCCATGTTTGATGTCAGGTTTTCCTTTTCGCTGGATTCATTGGATGACGCATCATCGTGAAGGAGGCCGAACGCTACAGGTTCTGCTAGTTTCATAAACGACTCCATTGGGTGCGTGTCAAAACTTGCTTCGGGGAGACCAGACAAAGTGTTTTCAATAATAAATTTGGATGTGTTGATCATGTTCTTCAATTTGTCTGGACGAGCTGCTTCTTCCGAAGACTCTTTGTCAAACATCAAATCGAATTTCTGCATTGGCTTCTTCAGACGACTTTCTAAAATCTGCTCGAGGTAACTCTTGAAGACCGGCTTCGAATTCTCGGGGATGATTTTGGGATCTTTCTCATGTGAGTGCACCGGTGATGGGATTTCTTCGCAAGAGTCCATTTCACCATCCGAGAGGGGCAAGGGCAAAGACAAATCAAAGTCTCGGACGGGACCCTGCGGACTTACCGAGGCAATCATGTACTGTTTGTCCAAAGCTCTGTACACCTGGTCGTCGGGCTCTTCGATCAGTTGTTTCTTTTCCTTGACAAGCGTTCGAGAAAATAGCCTCAAAAAGTCTTTATTTAATGTTCCTGAAAACGCTGACTCATAGGGAACTCCAGAAGAAGAGCGCCGCCGCCTCCTGATGGTTAAGTGGTCACTGATTTTACGCGTAGGAGTGTGCTTTCGTGAGGATATGGCCGATCGTATTCGTGAGGTCTCGCGCAGCGCTGGGGATGACTGGGTCAGCCGATGTGGAGTCATTCTTTGTCTCATGGCACTGGTTCGTCGCAGTGACATTTGACTCAGGATTTCTGGAAGTGCTGGCGGCAGAAGGGGAACCGTGTTGACCCATGTTTGGGTAGGTGCAGAGTAATTGGCATATTCCCCGTCGACTCGCACTACTCCTCGTAGGGGTGTAGTGGGTACGGTGAGTGGCCGCAGCATTCTTTTTTCGTTTTCCTAAGGTTTCACCGACCTGTGTGTACTTAGTTGTAGACCTATAAAGCGAATGTGCATGAGAGTAAGCAGCATACCCGTGAGCCATGTTTTGGTCCCGGTGTCAATCTGCAGGAACACACGGTACGTAGTGCGCTAGCGATGTAACAAGCAAGTCAAAGGACGAGCTATTGTGAAGACGCAAGTTGGTGCAAATATATTGCGTCATGCGGTTTTCTCTTGGAGGTGACTGGAACCATCATGGGGCACTTCAGTAGGATATGACGTTTTACAATTGAGAAAACAAGTGAGCGCTGTAGATGGGGCTGAGAATTGCGTCCACCTCGCACGTCCCGAGCAGCATTGGAAGAATTTTGGGGTGGAGCTGCATTTTTGGAAATCAGTACCCATGGACGTTCCGGAACTGATCTCTTTTTGTTTTGCGAGCAATGGGGAACCTGGCTCTTGCAATTAGTGTTGGCCCATCCTGGCTTCCATATGCTCTCGTCCTAAGATAGCCATGATTCCAGCACATTGCAGTCCCTTCAAAGTGCAAAGGGCTATACTGGTTCTTAAACGCACGAATATGAATTATTTCTTCGTATATCATTGATGCTCACATATAGCATTAGACTTAATTTTATCCCCATTCATCATGAGTCTTATCCTTGCTGTTCAAGGCCACCTGGGCTCGCACCATCAGTGCGCTCTGAGATCGCGCAATATCATCAACGCAGGCCTGGATACGTGACTGGACATTATACCCACACAACTAATGACTACCCCTGTCAATGGAGACAGCTTATTGACCGCCTTGGTTGCAGGCTGCTCCGCCTCTGGGGTGACTGCTTTTCTCAGCTTCCCTCTTGACTTTTTGAAGGTCAACCTGCAGCTTTCAAACTCCGCTGCCAGCTCCCAGTTCAATGTGACGCAAGACTTCTCGAGCATAAGGCAAATTATGACGGGATCCAGTGCATTAGTCACTGGAAGCATCATCAAAAACTTCGCCAGAATCTCCTCCTACAACTGGGCTTCTAATTTCATGGCTATTGACACCCTGTCTGAAAAGAAGAAAACCAGCGCCCCCAGAGTCGTCATCGCGGGTGTCATGTCAGGGTTCATGGAGACTATTTGGATAGTTCCTTTTGAAAGGATCAAGACAGTCATGATCCAGAACAACCTCCTAGAGGCTGAGAAAAGAGGCAACCCAAAACCTTCGACCGACATAACCGGTCTCTCTTTCGAGAAGCGTGTCAAGCTTCCCAACATAGCAAAACAATATGTATCTCCTCACGCTTACTACACGAGCGAGGTGCTTTCCCAGCTTAGATCTGGAAGGCCCATGTCGAAGTTTCTGTCGCCCTCTTACGGTAAACCGACACAGTTTAAACCACATCACATCAATCATCATCTGCTGAACGCTATTGATGCTCTCAAACTTGAATTCAACAAAACCCCTGCTTTAACGATGCTCAAGACTGTTCGTCAAATGTATGCTTTGGAAGGATTGCATGCGTTTACTGCCGGTACAATGATCACATTTGTGCGCCAAGTCGGCTCAGGAGCAGCATGGTTTTCCACCTACAGCGCCACTCGCCAGCTCTTAGATCCCCATGGGAAGTCTCCAGAGCCAATGTGGTTTTCTCTTCATATTGGGAAAGCCCAGCAGTCGCTCCTTTATGTTGTCTCTGCCTGTGCATCAGTGGCCTTGACACAACCGCTAGATGTGGTGAAGTCCCATATCCAGCTGAAAAACGGAAAGTTATTGTACAAGGACTCGCTTTCGACCGCTTACAAATTAGTGGCTCGCAGAGGGTTTTTGCTGCTCTACGCCGGTGGATTTCCTAGAGGAATCAAAATTGCTCTCCATGGCTCCATTACCGCTCTCCTATACAACTACTTCGAAAGAGGTATCAATGTGTTGGGTGAAAAATCTGTGTTCACAGACTAGGCATCCTCCAAGTATATGGGAACGAGAATCTCGCCACTTTTATGCTTGACCCCACAGAATGTCTTTGCGAGCAATCCACCTGAATAGCTTGGTTGGCTGAAAGCTAGGTCTTTCTTCTTTAAAGTTATCCCGTATTCCAGGTATTTCATGACAGCATTAAGCATCATGACACCGAGTCCTCTTCTCCGCCAATGAGGAGCGACCCATATTCTTGAGATGCCCAATTTAGAGTTTTGATTAATCTGCTGTGGAACAATCTCCTGCGTTCTATGCACCATCCAACGTGTCTGACTTTCGATATTAGTAATCGGTTCGGTAGCACAAAGACCAACTACTCGTTTCTCTATAACAACCATGAATGCTTTGCCTTCAAAAGCGCATGTCCTTCTTGATTTCCAGGCAGGATTTTCTGGTGGGGCATTCAATTCTCGATTCACCATCTGAAGTACGCTTTCTGCTTTCCGTATCATTTTCGGTAGGTCTCTCTGTACTACATATATCTTGCACTCGACAGATTTCTTATCAAATAGTAGCCTTGATGTTTCAAGCGGCGCGTGGCATGTCACATCGAATGATGGGCCATGAATGAATGTGAAGTGATACTTCTTATGCAGAGCCTGATCTGATTCGGAAGATCTTCGATAGGACATGCCGCATAGTTTACACGTAACCGGCTGGTCAAGAGCAGGGATGCTAAATACAGATTGTATCATCGAGTCGATATGGTGCTGGTGTTATTGAGCTTAGTCATTCGAAGAGAGGATGTTCGTTATACCATTTATTCATGGCACTGACGATCTCAATCGATGCGCGATAGTTTCCTTGGAAATCAGTCCTGGTCTTTACGAGAATGGGAAAAAGCGAATGCGGGGTGCAGGAGATCAAATTTTCAACACTACTTATCTTTCAAGGCTTCAAGATAAAATGGCTTCTTCTTTCGCAAATTTGCTTCCCGTTAGTGGTGGCTGGAAACAGCAAATCACTGACTATTTAACTGAGGACGTTCCCTCGTTTGATTACGGAGCCTATGTTGTGGGTAACAAGGAGGAAACTGCCTCGTTGTACATGAAACAGAGTGGCGTGATATGTGGAGTACCTTTCGCCGAAGAAGTGTTCAAACAATGTGAGTTGACTGTTGTATGGCACTATAGCGAGGGGGAGTATATCAGTGACGATGTCCTCTCTGCTCATAAAGGCAAAATCGTGGTTGCCACAGTCAGTGGACCCGCCAATAAAATTCTACTTAGTGAAAGAACTGCATTGAATTTGCTTGCACGGTCCTCGGGCGTCGCCACCCAGTCTTATATCACCAAAAAGCTTGCAGATGAAAGTGGCTACACTGGTTTAATTGCGGGCACCAGAAAAACCACCCCGGGCCTTAGATATGTCGAGAAATACTCGATGTTGGTTGGTGGAGTCGATGCGCACAGATATGACTTGAGTTCCATGGTAATGCTCAAAGATAACCACATCAAGTCGACTGGAAGTATTACCAAGGCCGTGCAAAGTGCTCGGAAGGTTTGTGGCTTTGCAGTAAAAGTTGAGGTTGAGGTAAGCACCGAACATGATGCGAAGGAAGCCATTGACGCGGGTGCGGATGTGATTATGTTGGACAACTTCCAGGGTCCTGAGTTACAAGCAGTAGCTCAGAGTTTAAAGAAGTACTACCAAGGTTCTAATAAAAACTTTTTGTTGGAATGTTCCGGTGGCTTGACCTTGCAAAACTTGAGTTCCTACTTGTGCAATGACGTTGACATCTATTCAACATCTTCGATTCACCAAGGAACAGGTATCGTTGACTTTTCTTTGAAAATAAACTAGGTAGAATTCAACGAATAGATGATACGCTTTTGAGTTCTAGGCTCTCAAACCCCAGGTTAAACCCTAGCACCTCATTCACGTTGCTTAAGATTTGCGAGGTGGCAGGGTCGTACGTCAGCTCAGCTTCATTCTCTTCTTCAGTGCCTTCAAAAAGTATTGCCTCGGGTGAATTAAGCAGCCCGGCGCGATACAGCATTTGGTCGTACAGTTCCTGGTTGTTTAGCAGAATGCCAGATTCATTTGAAAACCCAGTGGAGATGGGTGTTTTTTGGATAGGAAAACTGGGTTCAGCGAACAGTGCTGTAATAGATGACACATTTGACTTTTTTCCAAAACACCTGATTGCCCTAATGTGGGAATCCTTTCCATCCTGGTGATTTGCCAAGATGATCATTCGTACCACAAAACACTTTAAGAGCCCATCCCCGCGCACGCCTTTAAAGATGATATGGGACCAGCCCATAGGCTTCTCAAAGTCCACCAGACAGACCTCCATTAGATCCCAGTTGGATCCTCCAGCCATGATCTTGATTTTCAGCGGCGTATAAGACTCATCGAGCTGATAGTTTGTGAAGATGGATATACGCTCTAGAGAAACCTTCTTTGAAAACTGGAGCAGAATAGAATGTGGGCGACTGAGTAGAGCAGTATCCGGACTAGACAGGTGCTCCACATTAATTTCTGTACTACCGTCTGACTGCCAAAAGGTGTCAGGGCTATCATCTCTTAGCTGCTGAAGCCCATGGCCCTGTTTGTGTGAGGAAAGTCTCCATGTAGCCAACGGAGAGAGATCTAACAATTGCAAGGTTTCAATTTCTTCAAGCCCTTTGGCGTAAGAAAGCCTTTGTGTTTGCTCGAGAGTCGGATGGTCTGCAGATGTAGATCCCATGGATTCGGAGTTATGATTCTGGTCAGAGTTCTCTACATCATTGGAATTATCATTGAGATTCAGATCGTGAAGTGCGTCTCTATCTATATCTGAGTAAGAAGACGCATGAAGCACTTCTGCACGCAGAATGTCCTGGGCATGTGGTGTGTCATAATAGTTCATGACTGTCGCTTCTAGTAATCTGACGTCATGTGTATGAAACCGGGACGTAACTTTGGAGAACAAGCGCGGCTCCAGATTGATGCGAATTGTTGCGAGGAATTACGAACTACTATATTTTAGCAGATAAATATTGCATACAACCCCCAAATCAACTTGTTACTGGTGTGTCTATATTGAAATTCCGGCTAAAGAAACTAGGATAGATACTTTAATTGCAGAAGTAGATGTCATGAAGTTTACTAAAGCGCGATTTCAGTGTGGCCGTCCTCATCAACTACCGTCACAGAGTCAATGGCAGATTCGACATTATTCGTTTGAGCTTCAATATCTTTTTCAGTGGGAGCTTCAGCAGAGTCATCAAGCTGCTTGTGATTCCCGCTCTCGTTGTCTTCTTTCATGACTTCCGAAGCTGGCTCGGTCTGGGCGACCTTCTCTTTTTCTATAGCCTCCAGATCAGACTTACCAGCCTTGTTTGATAGTTCGTTTTTAGTCAGTACTTTTGCATCGGCACCAATCAAAGTTTCCTTGAGCAAGTCGGTTGCACTCTCAACTGTCACAAGCTGCGATGCCGACCCAGTCCTGGATTTAGAAGGCCTTGGACTCGATCCGTTGGGCAGCTGGATCTTTCTGGAAATTCTGTGGGGGGTGAAAGAGGTCTGGAACTTTTCACTATGCGCAATGCCGTATCTGGACAATGCTCTACGCTTCAAGACTTCAATGTAGGAGAGCTTGTTCTTTGAGTTCTTGCCAAACTCTGCTCCGTCACGGTCAAAGAATAAAAGCTCACCATTGTCCTCGTCTTCATCCCCAATCATATAGTCGTCTGATCTAGAGGAGTCCAAGAATCCGTTGTCGTAATTTGACTCCGACTTGTCTATTTGGTAATTCCCCGTCTCCAAGTCAGTGATGAAGTGGAAAAGTAATTCCTGCAAGTTGGAGGCAACCACAACCTTCGTGTCGAACTCGCGCCCAAACAATATAATCTGGCCCATGATGCCTGCAGCACCCGGGGCCAAATCAAGAGCAATCATGTTCCCAACATAGTCCCTTGCAATAGGAATCCAACCACGGTGAACGTAGTATGGTTGCACGGCGTCTTTCGGAATGGACTTTTGGTGCATGAGGTAACTATTGGAGATCTTTTGGTGCATGAGGTAACTATTGGAGATCTTTTCCTGCAACAACTTCGAGGCGGATGTACCCTCAGTACTTGCGGCTTGCTGCTGTTGGTGCTGTAAAATTGCAGTTTGTCTCTCCATCTTCTCAGCCACCTTGGCCCAGATGGAGTACTCCTCCATTATGCTCTCAATGTCCAAGAGGGTTAATCCCATAAGCAATCCTGTAGGCTTGCCGCCGCGGAACTGACCATCGTGTCTCTTGTAGAACTGGCGCACTTCCACGGGGAGCGGTCCTGCGGCCAAGTCCTTCTCCAATTCATTCAAATCTGCGGAAGAAGCGCCGGTGTTCAAGCTGTCTTCTAGCTCTGGGTACTCCTCTTCCAAGAATTCCTCGATCCGGTCCCAAAGAGAGTCGATACTAGGCAACGGGGGCTGGCCGTTGGCGCCAAAAGTCTGCAATTCATGGGCCCCAGGTGCCCCGGAGTTGCTTACGTTTGTGGCAGAAGACCGCATTCCAGGCCGGTAGCCCACAATGTTTGAGCTGCTGGCGTTACGGGAGCTCATAAGAGAGTGTGTCAGTGAACTATTGAGTTCCTGGAGTCTCAGCGACGACGAGTTTGATTGGCCTCCAAGCGAGCCACCGGCGGAAGAGTGCTCATACGGAGACCCATAAGATGCGTAGTGATCGTCTGTGGTCACAGAGTGCACAAAAGCCTTGATAGAGTCCATAAATCCCATTCTAAGCAGAATTGTGTAGGGTGGGTATGGGGATTAGGGTTTGCAGAAGCGAGCGTGGGTCTAGCTTGAAGAGTACTGACCTTTGGCGGAGCTGATTTTCGGTGTTCGAATAAGTCCACTGAGAAAATTCGGGTTTTGGAACTTCGCTAAAGTGCGCTGGTTGCGGTGTATTCCAAATTTACTCTGGTTGCTCGTCTATGTTCAGGAGAGTAGTGAGAGAAGAGTAGTACACCATATATCTGGTGTATTCGACGCCAGCCCATGCAGCGTCTGTGCAGTGCGATTTTTGCTGGGCTTTCCCATGGGAGCAGGATATTTCAATATTTCCGAAAACAAACATGGTCTAGGTTCGCCAGCAAGATATGTGCAGACTTGGGAGCCCGAAACTGCCAGTATATATATATACTACTGTTCAAAAGAGTACAAACTAAGCTGTGTTGTCAATTCTTCATGTCACCCGGAGCTACATTATGAGGCGTAGTTCAGGCGTAGTCTCGCGGCACCATATTTGTTCGCACCTAGTGCACACCTGGCTGCGCCATGCCAGAATGTCCTCTTCATGATCCTCTTGTGAAGACAAAATAGGAAACATCAAGAGGCTCCAAATAACAGCAGCTCGATATTTTTACCTGCAACGACTCTTTAAGTGGCAACAGCTTGTTGGTTTATCAAACTACTCAATTCGTTGCTGCTGGGCGTCCATGGTTCCTTTGAGCCGAACACAAGCATTTGCAAAACACCTGATAAAAATACGAATCTATCAATTATTATGTTGTTTGATGCTCGGTCTAACATGTAGAATCATACAGCCAAGTCCTGCTTGGACTTGAGGTAGCTAAATATATCTTGTCCAAAGAAACGACTCAACAAATCTTCTTGGCTAATGTCCAATGTTGTGATGTTGGCGGCCAACTCAGCAAGATCGAAGTTGATCAACTCGCTCACCTTCGAATCTTCCTTGTAGTCTGGGTGCTTAACTACAAAATCTCTCAAGAAGTGGGCTGTGGTGGGTATCTTACCGCTGGCTCTGCCACTCACCAATGTCAAGTATTGCTGGATTGCTGTCAACTGCTGTGCAGCGACGCCTATTTTGCAATGCTTGTTATTGCTGATACAGGCCTCTGGAACCAACTTTCTCGATACATATTTCACAATCATGCGAATTAATCCGGGGAAGTGGTCGCCACCATTGATGATTTTGTCTGCAGTTAATCTCACCTCGTTGGGCTCTTCATCATCGAACTCCTGTGGAATGTTTCCGTTACTGTCATTATATCCATTGAGATAAACGGCATTGTTACAGAGTAAGTCATTTCCATCATTGAGGAACCGGTCAAACCAAGATAAATCAAAACCCTTGAAGATCTCATTGTCAACATTCCAACGTTTTGGGTTTTTGAACCAAAAAGTATCTTGTGTAGCTGCATCGACTTTATGAGCGATTTTCATGTTTTCATCAATTCTCAGGATAGGAATGTAAAAGTCCGGGTTGAACTCAAGAATAGCTTGACTAGCCAAAATTATGAAAACGGAGTACGCAGCATTTTCAAAGTCGTTCAACAGAATCTCCATAGGGCGAAACTCGACTCTCCAGCCAGGCTTTTGAGCTAAAATTTCGGTGGGAGTATCTTGAGGATACAAAGCTGGGGGCTTAAATCTTAAAGTCTGCCAGTTTGTCAGCTGAATGTTCTCAAAATGATCATTTTCCAATTCGTTGTTTTGGTCAAGCATTTCGCTGAAGATTACCAAAGGGTCTCGAATGAATAAATGGGCAAAATGATGCGCCAATGGATGATCAAAGTTCTCATCTTTGGAAAGCTGGTCGTAAATTTTCTTGTTGATGGGCGAGTAGATATCGTTGTACTCTTTCTTGAAGTACGAGCTGTCTTTATGATACTTCTCGTCGCTCAAATACGAGTCAATCGAGTCATATCGCGACTTAGGGAGCTTTTGAATAGGCTTTCCGTCTGAGCAATGCATCAGAGTATCGCCGAAACGGTTGACAAGTTTGTCACCATTTACACCGCGGCCGCCTCCCAAACTTTCCACGTGTCTTTTCAACAGATCAGATACGTCCAAACCCCCAAACAAGTCGTAGCCGGCGAAAGGCTCAGCATTCTCTTCGGCAAACGTACGGTCGTCAACAGCGCCACTGATGACATTCCATCTCACGTCCTGATCAACCAAAAATCCTTTAAACATAGGCGAGGCCGCAGAAATCGCGAGCATGATTGGAGTAAGAGGCGCCAATCCGTCGTACACGTACCGAGCTTGCTCGATATTCGCCGCTTGTAATGTGACTTGGAGACACGAGGATCCCATGCCAAAACCCATAGAGTCCATGTAAACATGACCGGGCTTTGCAGCACCAAGCCAGGGCTCCTGGTCTGATGGAAACAAGTCACGATGGGGAATTGAATCGTCCATCAACTTAGTGTTCACATCTGGGTAAATTGGCAAGTTAATAGCCACTTTACGGCCGCGTCTTTTTCTGATGTTGGCTGTTAATGTCGGAAATCTAGCATGTCTATTGATGATCTCATCAGGAAGAAACAAAGATTGAGAGGCGGGCCCGATAGGCTTGGCCTTAGGAGAAGTGAAAGCTCCGCATCCCATGCGTGGAAAGGCGGTGAATGTCAAAGGAACGATATTTGAGGGTAGTTCGGATTGCGCAACCTCTCTTCTTTTGATCATGTTCTCTTCAACATACAGAAAGTCACTGAGAAGTGTTCCGTCATAGGGTTTCAAGGGTGTAGCCTCAATCATGTAGCGACCATATTCTGGGTGGAAACTGACGTTGTTGCTGATAGCTTTCCCAGAAATTTCCGGCTTCAGAGGATCATTCAAGTCTTCTAAAATCGAGTCTTTATCAATGGCCAACTTTGCGGTCTTGTTCTCGCGGTTGATGTCGAGGAGCATGTACTCCACTTCATCACCCCAGTAGAAATGATCATTTTTTCTTCCCGCATGCTGACGGAAAATGTTTCTCAACTGAGTAATACCATTTGCACGGATATGCTCATTGTGCTTTCTAGAGCTATGCCAATCGAGAGGCGTGCCAAGCGAAAGCAATCCCATGTTGCGAGGCCCTCCAAAAAAGATATTTCCTGCAAGTGATAAATTAAGTGCTCCTACTAGCTGGGTCGATCAGGCAGAAGAGATAGCGTTACTGTTACTGAACTCTCTCTATCTCTCTCGCTCTCTATCTGTTCTCAGACCCTGGCAATAAATGGCACGCCTGTCTGAAGATTTTTATTTCGCCTCTGCTGTCTGGTGCAGGGCCTTTCACGAAAACGGCCCTGATCTACCTTCATATAGAATTAATAAGCAAGTCTCGCGCAAAACTGCCCGCGAATGATACGATAAAGGCTCACTCATCGCAGGGTCCGAAGCAAGCCTAAACCGCAGAACCTAGATAACTTTTCAAACTTCATGTAATATAAGATTTGTGGACCTACTGTGCAACCTCTCAAATTCTCTAGCCCAGGCTTGGCCACAAGGTCAAAATTGAAAAATTCTAAAGAAAAGTCTGCGCGAATGCCTATTGGATAGGCGCCATGGCACGTGCGATGACTCGTTTGTTCTATCCCAGTATGGTCTGAGATTGCGGTTGTTAAGAATGCTCCCGTTGGTGCAATCTGAACCAAAAAGAATTGTTCAAGCTATCGTCAAGTTGCATTTAGATAATGGTAACTTCACTAACTCTGTGGGGCGATGTTTGACACATCTAAATTTAATATATTACTCTCTCATAAAAACCCTCATGAACTAAGAATCAACAGACTAAACTCAGTAGAGTCCCTCAGCATTGTTTACGATACAGGCCTCTTCATCGGCCTTTCTCTCCCTCAAGTCACCAATCACAACAGCATCCTCACCTGCTTGCTTGAGCTCGGCGAGTACAGCGTTAACATTGGCTTCTTCAACGATAACAACCATACCGATACCCAAGTTCAAAGTCTTTAACAAGTCAGCAGTAGGCACTTGACCCTGTTTACCAAACCACTTGAAGATCTCAGGCACCTCCCATGCACTTAAGTCAACTTGAGCTTGCAAGTTCTTGGGTAAAGCACGGGGGATGTTTTCTACCAAGCCACCTCCGGTGATATGGGCCATTCCAAGTAACAAGTCTTTCTTGATCGAGGGAAGGAGTTGCTTGACGTAAATCTTAGTTGGGATCAAGAGCTCCTCACCGATAGTTTTGCCGCTATCGGTCCATGGAGCAATAGATTTGTAGTCAAGACCGGATTTTTGGATGATATGGCGAACAAGTGAGAACCCGTTCGAGTGCACACCGTCAGATTTTAAACCAATCAAGACGTTGCCAGCCTTCATGGAGCTAATCTTTGGCAAGATCTTGGATTTGGAAACAGCACCAACAGCGGTACCGTTAGTGTCGTAATGACCCTCGTCATACATTCCAGGCATCTCAGAAGTTTCACCTCCAACCAAAGCACAGCCAGCAGTAATACAGCCATCAGCGACACCGCTAACAAACTTGGCAGCAATGTCAACATCAAGTTTACCGGTGGCAAAGTAGTCAAGGAAAATCAAAGGCTCGGCACCTTGCACGACCAAGTCGTTGACATTCATGGCCACCAAGTCAATACCAACGGTGTCGTGAATGTTCATGATCTGAGCAATTCTCAACTTGGTTCCAACACCGTCCGTCGCGCCAACCAAGAGAGTGTCAGCTCCGTCGTAACCCGCAGCCTTGAGATCGAATAAACCACCAAACCCACCAATGTCGGAGTCAGCACCAGCCCTGGCAGTCGACTTGACCTTGGCCTTGATTTGTTCCACCAACAAGTTACCGTTGTCTACAGAAACGCCCGCTTCCGCATAGGTGGTTCCAGCACTGGCATTCTGAGCGTCTCTGAAAGCTCTATGCGCGATGTCCGTTCTGTTGTATTTCTTGTCAAAAGAAACATGGTCAACACCAACATAGGCTTTGTCCACGGACTCCCTTAGCGTGGATGCAGTGGCGGTCGATGCGATGACTCTGCCTCCCGAAGTAACGATCTTAGCGTCCTTCACGTCAGTTCCAGCATGGAAAATGTAAGTGTCAGCAGGAGGAGTCTTGATTGTGATCTCGTCGCCCTTGGCATAGGCCTCTGGATATCCACCAGCAGACATGACAACGGTCGTGGAGTAGGTGTCTTCTTTAGTCTTGATAGTGACGGAGTCCAATCTATGTTCAGCTGCCGCGAGCATCACCTCTGCCAAGTCTGTGTCGTCGGTCAACAAGGGCAAGACCGTCTGGGTCTCAGGGTCGCCAAATCTGACGTTGTATTCCAAGACCTTGGGCTCCTTGCTTGGAGACAACATGATACCAGTGAACAAAACACCGCACATGGGGTATCCGTCCTTTCTCATGCCATCGATGGTAGGCTTGATAATCTGCTCGTTTATCTTGGCCAACACCTCGCCAGTGGCGATGGGCGCTGGGGCATAGGCACCCATTCCACCGGTGTTCAAGCCCGAGTCGCCATCTCCAACTCTTTTGTGGTCTTGTGCGGCAGGTAGGTTGAAGAAAGAGTATCCGTCGGTGATAGTCAAGATCGACAACTCGTCGCCTTCCAAGAACTCCTCAATCACGATTTCATCGCCGGCAGCGCCGAAGTTTCTGTCGACCATGATCTCATTCAAACCAGCCAAAGCTTCTTCCTTGGTCTCTGGGATCAAAACACCCTTGCCGGCAGCGATTCCATCGGCCTTCAACACGATCTTGTAGTCGATCTCCTCGATGTGTTTCTTGGCCTCCTCCACGTTGGTGAAGTTCTTGAATCTGGCAGTTGGGATGTTGTGCTTGTCCATGAAGACCTTGGAAAAGGCCTTGGAGCCCTCCATGACAGCAGCCTTGGCAGATGGGCCGAAGACTGGAATTCCGACATTCGTGAAGACAGTTGAGATGCCGTCAACCAAAGGCTGTTCAGGCCCAGGAACGACCAAGCCGATCTTGTTCTCAACAGCGAATCTCTGCAAAGCATCAAAGTGCTTAGGGGAGCCTGACAATTCTGGAACGTTCTGCACCTTGTCTCCAACAGTAGAAGTACCTCCATTTCCCGGTGCAACATAGACTTTGCCAACACTGGCAGATTGGGCCAATCTCCAGGCAATGGCATGCTCTCTACCGCCGTTACCAACAACAAGAATGTTCAAGCTGGACATGGCGAGGATACTTTGATAGTGGGTTTCGAGGTTTGGGGAAAGAAACGACAATCGATGGTAAGTGGGTTCGACAGAAAACTTTTTTTTTTTTCTTTCCTTACCTATATATCTAGATGCGCTCCTCAGTTGTCTCAAATTAGCTTGACTCCGACCGAGCACATGGAGTCCGCCGCGGCGAAGACTCGATGCGCGGCACTATGCACTCCACAAAACATAGTTGTGCTGAGCACGCTGCAACTCAATCCTCAAGAAGTTGATTCTAGTCAGTTACATCCATGGAAATCAAGTCAGAACCCAGGTGGGGCTAGTTTCGCGCCTGACGTTTGCATACAATTTCTGTTTTTGCCTGAATTTCTGGTGTTAATTTACACTAATATGTACAAGGTGCTCAGATCGTAACGTCGCCCAGGCCGACAATGCCCTCGAATTTGTAGTTTTCATCACTAGGCAACTTGACGTCATTGCCTTCTTCGCTGATAGGAGTGTATAAGTAGTAGGATAATAATGCATTGGTGACGGCTCTCGTCTTAGCCTCATTCAACGAAGAACCCAAGCCTTCGCCCAATTTCTCCCCGCCGCAAAAGGCGCCGGCTACGTACATCGCATGTGCAGTCAATCTTCCGGTCTCAGCAATGAGTCTGATTTCAAGCGGAGCATCAAGTCCGACTTTCTCACAGACTCTGGACAACTCTCTGGTTGGTCTACTGAACTGGAACATTTCGGATAATTTGACCTTTCTGGACAAAACGTGCTTGGAGATGAATTCTTTGGTTGCAGTCTCGCCAGCGTGCGTGTAGTATCCACCAATGATGGCTCTGACGGCAGATGCGTACGCCTCCTGTTCTCTGGACAAGAAAGTCAAAGACGCGGTATCGAATGAAGCGACTTCCTCGGAAGCAAGCTCGTAGACTCCGGACTCCTGGGCTTGTTCTTTGTGTTGATCGAAAATGAATCTTAACTTACCGTACTGTAATGCTTCTGGCTCGTTGGAAAGATGCTTTTGCAACTTGGAGGTCTTGTCGATTTCAATACCCCAGCTCTTGCCTATTTCAGCCAAAACCTCTGAACCCATGTATGCGTCGAATGCAGCATTGTGCACCGTCATGGGAAGTCTAGGATATTTCATCAACAACGACTCCGTGACGTAGTAGGAAAGAAAATTTTTTCCCAAGGTGTTGAGGCCAAAGTTGTTGGCCAACCCGCCGAACTTGTCCAAGTTGAGGGCCTGGGACAAGGTGGAGTACGAGTAAGATTCGGGCAATCTCAAACGAGAATGCAACGCAGTCAATGGTGGCGATTGTTGTGCGGTTGACTCGGGCAATCTGTGTGTGAAAATGCTGTTTTTGTATGATCCGTAGTCCGTAAGAGAGTCGTATTTAGTGCCGAGCGACTTGTCTAGTTCTGCGGAGTGATATCCGGCGACAGGAATTCGAGCCAACGAGGGCAAGCGAGCACATCTGGAAACCCGTCCCTTCGTTAATAGCCTCAACATTCTTTAGCTCCTGGGGTTTGGGTAACGACTGGAACTTCGTGATGTGATTGTGGGTGAGGCCTCAGTGCAGTTTGTATAGAACAAAATTTTCAGCTCTGGTTTCCGCACGATCGCTTGAGTTTTTAGTCTTCACTGTGTCCATTACCTCTTCGATCAATGCAGAGAATAACTTTATCTTTGAATTTATCAGGATGAAGAAAAAAAATTAATAAACATGTGCTCGTCCATAAATCGCAACTTGTTTAGCTTTTTATTAGATATCTTTCTATGCTGGTGTTTCATTGGTGAGCACAGATTAGCCTGCGAGAGACTTGAGAGGGTAACTCGACGACCAGGATTATGCATGTAGCTACTGCTAGAACATCAAGCATGCTTTAAGCTTCCTTTTATCAGAAAGCCAAAGAAATTTTATTTGTCGTTGGACCTTTTGTTGCAACTCGATTTGAACGTGGTTAATAATTACATTTCCGTATTTAATAATTATTCTCACTCTCTGATTTTTTCAAGAAAGATCTCCATCAGCGTGGAATACTTTTAAACAAAATAAATTGACGCCTTGTTACTATTAGACCACAGATAATCACCAGATATATGACCTGTAACTATTTAAGTGATTTTCCCTCGGTCGTTTGAAAAGAAAACACGCAAGTGACAAATTAAGCAACTGATGAATCATACTGAGAAGCGCACGAGATTCTGCGACTACAATTTAGTGGCCGGCAACTTTTCTTCTGAAACTCATTCACAAATGTCGGCGCAAAACGTACTAACCCCTTATATCAAATCATTATTTCTTCAGCCACCAAACTTGACGCCCGATGATTTTGCTACCGTGCTCAGGTACATTTTTCAAGGTATCTCTTCGGACATACAAACCTCTGCATTTCTAACTGCTCTTCGAATGAGAGGACTAGACCACGAACCTGAATTCATCGCAGCCGCCGTATCGACGATTTTGGAGTTTTCTGACATTGTTCCCACCTCAGAATTGAGTGAAAGTGGGTATATTGATATTGTGGGTACTGGGGGAGATGGCCAGAATACATTTAATGTATCGACATCTGCAGCCATTGTAGCCGCAGGGATGGGTCTTAAAGTTTGCAAACATGGCGGAAAAGCTTCGACATCCACATCAGGCTCAGGGGATCTCCTCAAATCGCTAGGTGTGGACCTTTCGGTGGTCAACAAGAATACCACACCTCGTATTGTAAGCCAGTCGGATTTTTGCTTTCTATTTGCCCCTGCTTTCCACCCGGGAATGGCCAAAGTGGCGGGGGTTCGGGCTCAAATTGGCGTCCCCACGATTTTCAACATCTTGGGTCCTCTTTTAAACCCAATGCCCATCCGTGCTAGAATCCTCGGTGTATTTTCAGAGCAGCTCGGTGAGTCATATGCCAAAGCTGCTGCGGAGTTAGCCAAAAGATCAGACGTACACTCCAAAACCATGGTGGTATTTGGAGAAGTAGGACTTGATGAAATTTCACCGATTGGACGGACAAAATGCTGGTTGATCGATGCAGACGGAGAAATAACCATAACGTTCATTTCTCCCCAGGACTTTGGGTTGCCTGAACACAGCTTGAGTCTGGTAAGGAGTGGAACGCCTCAGGAAAATGCCGATATATTGACCCGTATCTTGCTGCAAAACGACCCATTATATACCATCAAGGAAAGAGACAACCACCCCTTGGTTGATTATATTTTGATGAATGCTGGTGCACTCGCGGTCGTCGCAGGACTTTGCGATAGCTGGAAAGATGGGGTAGCCCAAGCTGCCCATGCAATTACGTCCGGTTGTGCTTTAACTGCTTTGGAGCGCTTTAAATCTGCTCTTGATGAAGTAAGGCAGCTGGCTTGATTGGACAAATTGCCTTGAATCGTCCATCATTATATGATAATATTCATGCGGAGAACTAGAAAGTAAAACCGCAACGAATATTCATATTCTCCACAAGTTGGAAACGCCTCTACACATTTAGGCCTATAGAAATACTGATTATTTATTGCCTAAATTTTAAAGATACTTTCTTGTGATTAATCCTCCTGCGCTTATGCAGTGTCAAAGCAACGCTGCCAATTTGCAGAGATATGTCGTGCGCGCACAAAATAAATCCACCAACCACGGTCCTGAAATACCAGTCTAGCATCAACACTTTGAGAATCAAATAACACAGACGCAACATGGCCCACTCACCACCATTAAACATATATGCTATTACAGCAATGGGCACGTTTGTTGCCACTTACTTGTGGATCAAATCTCCTTTGAAGTATCGGGGGGCATCTGAGAATAGACTTAGTCCAAAGGCTGATCTCGCTTGGAGAGAAGGTGCTCAAAAGTGGCTTGATAACAAGTCCTGATGGGTCAGGTACTTTATTTTCACCAGAGGCGTTTTTAAGTTAAAGTTCATAGATTTGAATACATGTATATTGAGCGAGTGTCGAAAGTGGCGTAACTTAAAACGGCAGAAGTGGATTGATCAGTTTAGCTTTAAAGTCGCTAAAGGCGTGGCTCTTGCGAAATCGTCCCGGAGCTGGAGTTTTACAAGATCGCTTTCCAATTTGATAAAGCACCATAACCACCTTCTGAAAATTTCAAGGAATTCCAATATCGCATATCCAAGCGACAAGTAGTCATATCCAAACAAGAAATTGCCAACATGATTCTGAAGTCTCAATTTAATCTCGGTTTCTTTTATGACAAATACCTTAAACACCCAAATAAAGCGAATGACAAAGTCAAAGAGAATTACAAGGTAGTAACCAGGATACCCTTTGCATACCAATTTGCTGGGACTACGCAATAAAAGCGCCTCTCCAACATTCAGTCTGAATAGAATATCAAATGCTTCGAATCCCCAGTCCATTTTTATATCCCAAATGAACAGGTACATCGAGCTGAATGCCAGGAGAACATACCACCATCTGTTTAACTTGTTTAGGGTTTGGGATCCATCTGCATCCGATACAAGTCCCATGTTAATCTTAATGAGTAGGTTGATGAGCACAGGTCCGAGCAGTGCCAAATACTTACACATATTGAGAAGGTGTTGTCTTTGACGTGTCGACTTGAACTCATACCAACACTGCTTCATTCTAAGAAGCGCTGGATATGATAAAACCAATGCTTCCACTTTGTTGTTGTACGTGATATCACCTGGCATAAGCATGACCCAGAGGAGTGACGCAAAGTCATTTATAACTTTTGAGTAGGAGGTGAGTGTATCAGAAAGCAAAATGTCGTTCGTTCTCATGGTTGCAGAGTTGATGCGACCCACAAGAACTCTTTTTAACGTCGCGTTCACCCTGTTTTGACCCCAGGTGTCACCCAATCTGAAAGATGTATATAGACTGATTAGAAGCAAGCACGCCGGTAACCATGTAGCAGCAAGTTCAAGAATAGGAGAGCCGGGTAAAACTATTAAACACGTCCAATAGACAACTAAACCCGACGAGGTGAAGGTGAATGTCTTTGCAAAGGTCTTCCGGATCCCCATGATTAATAGCATATTTTCGCTGGATTCGGCTGAACTCACAGTAGCCATTTCCCCTGTGACTACCTTTACGTCATGCCCATCTCCAGAGAACTTGTGGGAAGAATATGCAAAGTTCAATAAGGCCAAGCAGTTTACCAGGAAGCCATTGTAGATGACCCACACCAAGGAGTAAAAAAGGAAAACACCTAGTTGGAACATTATAGCAACACGATGCGGCAAGGGAATCACATCATCAAATGTCAACGGAGACAAACTCCGGTCGATCATGGTCTACTAATGGTGGTTGGACAGTTTCGAGCTCGGGTTGAACTGGGAGCGCGCTCTGCATGATACCCTGACACGTACCGGCAACGCTGGGCAGCAAAACAAATCTGGCCGAGGCGAAAATTGGGAATTTCAGATGTTTACCAAATCCCGGGACCCCAGCACGAGATGAAACACAAATAACTTACGAAAACAAATCCTCGAAGAAAGGTTCAGTCTTGATACCGACACGCGGGTTCAAGATCTAATACAGAACAAAGACTACTCGTATAATACGACTTAGCTCGAGTGGGAACTACAACACCCAAACCAAGAGGTGAAAAAGAAGAGCTCGAAACAAGCTTCAGCCACGTGTTACGTGTAAACATTTAATCATGAGTTGTCATGTTTAGCATGAAAAAAACATCATTAGCTTGCGAGCTCCTCAGAACCAACTCATTCAAAGAAAAAGTCAGAGAAAAAGGCATTGCTCAAAATGATCTGATATTGTTAGTTGTGCCACTAGAAGATTAACTCTTGCTTTTTACGATGTCAGAATTTTCAGTGTATTAGTCGAGTCGGTCATCGTCCTGAAAAGGATCCTCCGTCTGGGGCGACAACTTGTCATCATGTAAAGTGCAAATGGTATTTGAAGAGATTGTCACATACATTTAGACTGAATCCACCAGGGCACAAATACCGCCTTCTATCAAGGGCCGTATTGGCATCCAAATGATTCTCAATCTGCTTGGAGAAAAGTCCGTATGGAAGAATGTGGTTAAGCTCCTCGAGAATTTTTCTTTTTATGTTTGATGCGCGATTACCCGGAGATGGACAAGACTAATAGCGGCATAGGTCTGAATGGCTCGCGTGAGGATATCCTGCGGATAACCCCAGACTGTATTCTGACTTGGGCCGCGGGCCAATTCATGGAAGTAAAGGGTAGGCCCCAAACATGCCTCTAATTAAACTCGCACAAGAGCATTTGATTTGATTTTTCTCCTGATGAATATTGATTGTTTTTCAAAGCAGATTTTACTTCTTTTGTCCAAAAGAGCGTGGCCTTTGCCCAAGTCATCGTAATCGTATCTCTGGGTTAGGCTTCCTACTGATCAATCTTCACGAACCCAAAACTGTATTCCCATATGCACTAACTCATTCTTTCTTCCTACTTTTTAACTTGTTCAACTTAACCTTCCTGTTATTCTCTCTCCGCTCGGTCTTAGTCAAGTACCTGAACTTTTTCTTCTTTTGCTTCTGCTGCGGCTTTGATACTCCACACACCACAGCGTACTTTTTCGCACGCTCAATCGACTTCTCCAATACCTCCTCGGACTTGCTGAGATTGACGTTGTTGGTTTGGGCCATGAGGTCTAAGGAAGATTGGCCCACTCTGGCAAAGTTGGGATTCTCAAGCGCCTCGACAGTCACAGTGGTCTCGTCATCCACCACCGCATCGCCCAATGCCTCGAGATTGTCTATTTTGTAAATCTGTTTTTTCTGGAGAATCCCTTTGAGAGGTTCATCATCCGAGGCAATGTCGGATGGCTTTTCTTCATTGTCTTGATCGTCGCTACCAAAGCCCTCCCATTGCTCCTCATCATTTTCCTGCTTCAATATCTCGCTGACATCCAAGTTTTTGGCCTCCTTCAACTCCTCCATCTTTGCCTCAAATTCCTTTTGTTTCTCTTCCCGAATCTGTTTCCTCTCCTCGATCTTGGCTAGTCTATCCTGCTCTTCGTGGAATTTCTTGGCCTTTTTTTGTCTCTCCACCTTTCTTTTATGGAATCCGGTCAAGAACTCATGCCTGGAATCTTTGTCAAAAACAACCTCCTCAACACCAAACTTTTTCGTCTGCTTACTACGGTATTTACTACCTCCAGTAAGAATATCCCGATTCGTTCTAGGGGATGGTTTTTTGTTTGCCATATTGCAATTAAACGATTGTCTGGTGGCTTAACTAGTGCTACTGGAAAATTTCGCGATGAGCATTCAGTACCAATCTTGAGCATTCCCCACGCGAGGAAAAAACCTAGCGAAACAAGGTAGAGATATATAGAACAGTAGAGATCGGAGGCCCCACACATACTTCATCTTCTTGTTCAGAACAAACCATTTTCTTTTTTTCCTCAACACTCACCTGCTGACTCTTGAATATCATCGTTAACCATGGAAAGTATAGAAGATGTTAGTGCATTTGTGAGGTCGTTGGATGCCTCCATCGACAACCTCAGCGAAGCATTAGACCCCGTGTTCTCCCAAAAGCTAGAAGATCTCATTTCGAACTGTCTGCTGCCACAAGAAAAAGTCAAAATTTACCATTCTCATTTATATACGGTAATCTCAATTCTCTTCGCCTATATCAAAGTTTTGGGAATCAAAACAGAGACACATCCCATCATGAAGGAACTTAACAGAATTAAAGCATCTATGAAGGCGTTTAAAGAGATTGAAATATCGGCAAACAAAAGAGACGATGAGTCTAAGAAGTCGGCGGAGGCTGCCAACCAGTTTCTTCAACGAACCTTGGGAACTGCCGTGGGGAATGCTGCCCCTGACCATCTAAAATCTCCTGCGATCAGTTCAGCTAATTTCAAAGGGACGCATACAAAGTTCACTGATGAGGACAATTTGCAAAATGAAAGTCATCACACGCGGACAAAGACACAGAGTAAAGTCACCAAACCAAAGCATCGGAAAAATTAGTTCCATATTTAAATTATACGATTTTTATGTGTCAATATACCTTAGTTCAAAAGAACTCATGAAATATATGTTCTTCTTGCAAGTGTTTTTCCACGACAGCATACACCTCCATTAATAGATGTGGAAATTTTTCATTGAAGTAATTGTAAAATCCGGACGGCAATGGGCTCATCTGACTTTGCAATTCTGTGGGCATGTCATTGTAATGGTGATACTTATTCCTCAAAGCTCTTAACAAGTCCATAACCTTTTCAGTGTGGTATTTTCGGTATTTTCCCAAGTTTTCAATGAAATTGGAGTTAAACTTTCCAAGCCAGTCACCCTGATGGACTTTGAAGCTGATTTCTTCCAAAGTGAGAAGGAGATCGCTAGGAGGATCTCTTCTTTCGATCTCAAATCGATCACTTACTTTCAATAGAAACTCTAGTTTTTTGCCCGTGCTCCAAAATAGAGGATGCTTTAGAATAGCCACAGTATCCGGTCTCATTTTTGGATCAGTGTGTATCATCAAATTGATCAAATGAGTCGCCTCCACATGATCCCTGGGACATCCTCTGATCAATGGCGACAAGTCACAACTGCCTTTAATAATGTTGGCTTCACGAAGATATCGGTCACCAAAAGGATGACACCCGTCAGTCAAAATATAGAAGAACACACATCCAAGCGAAAAAATATCAATGGCTTTGGTCAATCTCTTCTCTATTTCGACAGAGGTGAAGTTTATGTGGTCCCGATTTTGAGAAACAAGAAACTTTTGAGATATATCGCAATTACTGCCAGGATGAAGAAGCTCAGGCGCTCTCCAGCCTGACGTTCCTGATGCAGCAGTGTGCGTGGTGGCGCCGAATGAAGACTGATCGGCATCTAACTTTTTGCACAAACCAAAATCAGAGATTAAAAGTCTAGTGCTCAGTATATCAAAATGTGTCTTCCTTTGAGTTGTCTCCCCTAAAAGAATGTTTTGCGGTTTCAAGTCTCTATGCACAATCTTCAAAGAGTGCAAGTAACTGAGTCCACTAGCTAACTGGTGTAACAAATCGTTACGACTAGTAATGTTGAGCTTGGATTTTTGCGGGAGGAATCTCTGTTTTTCAATGAGATCTTCTAGTGAGCAAACACAACGCTCTAAAGCAATATAAAGAAACTTCTCTTTGAGGTTGGATTGCGAACAAAAGTATCGAATAACATTGGGATGATCATCACTTTCTTGTAGTAGACGAACTTCATGGTTTGCGATGTCATAAAAATCAAAAAGCATTCTTTTAACAGCGACGGGTCTGTTCTCAAATGTTCCTTCATAAACAACAGTTCCATGAGACCCATATCCTAAAATGTTATTGGAGATCACTAGATTCTTGTCAATCTGAAGCTTCTTCAATTGGTTGTCTGGCTTTGCAAATGTGTTGACGAGTGAAAGAGTGGAGATAGCATCGTCCTCGAGAAGCCGATCATTTTCTTCATCCATAGTTATCGTCCCGCTAGCATCGTCCGATGGTATTGGAACTGACGATTCTTCATCGTCACTTTGTAGTTTTTTCAGTTTTCCACCTCTCTTGCCCCCTCGGCTTCCTCTTTTGCGTTTCTTTTTGGAAGTACCGACGAGGCCTTGATCATCCAAGTCTTCATCAACCTTTAAAGGTATTTCAGATGTTCCTTTCTGATCATCGTGAACAACAGAAACTCCTGGGCTAAAAACATTTTGAGTATTTGTAGTGGTTTGCAGCAACCCAGCAGACTGCTGAGAATCTGAACAGTCAAGGAAATTTGGTTCAGCGACTAGCACTGTTTCTCTAGACGAGGCTTCAAGCATATCTTGACTCTCGGAAACTTTTATTTCAGTGCTTTTGATTTCCGACTGGTGTGATTCATCTTTCCAGTGCTTGATTTGGGTGTGTTCAGGGCTCAAATACTTCAATTTTTGTGCGATCTTAACAAATGCTATGAGAAAAAGAAGTAAAGTGAACATGACAATCAAGTCTTCGGATATGCGCCTAAAAATCAGTAGTTTTTGAGTGGAGATAGAATCAATTGCACTGCTGTGTTTGTGATAAGTGACAGGCAAAAAATCGTTTTTTGTCTTTTGACCCCGGTGCACATCCTGATGTGAATTGACCACCGCCAAGTCTCTTTTGGAACTTTCTTCAGCCAATGGAAAGAAGATGCCATCCATGAGACTTGGAGCCTGTCCATCCCTCAGGCTCCATTGAGAAGGATTAATCAAGTCATGAGGACTCCCGCCAATACGTTGGAATTCATCACGCCTAAACTTGCTACCTGGCTGATAGGAGTTCGCTGATGACAAAGAACCATAGCTGTGAATCCCACTCAAAAAAAACACAGCATCAGGCTCATGAACATTGAAAGTGCGCATTTTTTCGATCGCTAGGTGCTCCAAAAACCCTTTCTCGTATTTTTGCAAAGCCATCTCATAAGGTGATGTGGGAGCAGATTTTATGAGCGTAGGAAAATTTCTATAGCTCATGGCGTACCACTGTGAATTTTGGGCTGTCTTATTAAGAAAGCATAATCCAAAATTCGAGCTATTGGGTCCATCTGCCACATGTTGCAACTGATTAAATTCCTTTGCTGGGTGGGGGATGGCGATACTGCTGCCATTATCGAGATGACTGAACACATCAAAAACAGTCACTGCCATTGACGGAAGCCTACTCATCCAAGCCGGCGCACCCAGGGCGTGGTTGAGGGCCAAAAGTGACTTATCGTGGAAAGGAGTGAAGTAGAGCTTATCGACAGAGTCACGGTTCTGGATCATTAAATCGTTGTCAATATTGTTTGGGCCCCAATGTGCGTACGTCACGTTCCATACAATGCTGGAGTCGACTTTGGAATGTATGGAGAGTTCGTATGTTGTTTTCCCTAGCATGATGTGATTGGACATTCTGCTGATATCTTGATTTATGCCCATGTATTGACTTGATACGGAACAAGAGTCAGAGTTCAGCTGCAGCCCAAACATATTGGTAACTTTTCCCGTAGACTTATCGAGGGTGTAGAGAGATGTTTTTCGAGCTCCAGTGTATATTTTGTCGTCTCCATTCAACGAAAATGGTGACTCCATCACCAAATTCTTGATGGAAGTCGGTAGCTTATTGAGACCGAACTCGGGAGAGAAATAAAAAAGCGAGCCATCCTCAAAAGGCTCCACAAACCAAAGTATGTTGGAGCTTGTGTCTTTTTTGAAGCTTGATCCCAGAATATGCACTAAGGGCTCGTCAATTGGCAATGTCCACATACTAGCTCCAGTTTTTCGATTTAGCCCATGGAGACTTCCGTCAACATCACTCACAATTATGAGCTCATCGAGCTGCCAATCAGACAATACCCGTGGTTCTAACGGGGATATGCTTTCGCTAAGAATACCACCGGACTGTATTGCCAGATTTGGGGATATTGTCGGCTCTGAGACAGTACTTTGCAACGTCCGTGCAGCAACTGACACGGAAATGTAGATCAACGAAATGAAAATATAGAAAATTGATTTTGTCATTGGGAATAATCTTACCAAAACTTTCGACGGCTATTCTGTCAAAGGTAATCTCTCCGAGGGAGAAATGTGAAGTGAAATGCAGGGGGTTTAGCAAAGACCAGCGATTGCAAACCCTCTTTGGGGAATGGATTCTCAGCTCGGAGGCAACAAAGAGAATGATGCCGAAATGAAAAGCAACAAGGATAGAAACAAAGTGGATCGAGTGAGATTGAAACGGACAAGTGAGAAACAATTGAGAGTATCTGCAAGTCCACTCAGAGAGAGTCTCGATCCAGGACTCAGAGAAATTTGTATAAGAATGGGAGCTGGGTCCACTCAACAAACGTATCTATTGATTCACTCGTATGAAAAATTATGAGGTTTGAGTAGTCTGGCGTGTTAAATCTGGTCTTAAAAGTATGGGCTTACGGTTTGCGAAAGTACAGCGAAGGCTAATTTTTTCTTCCCTTTCACGCACCAAATTCCAAATTCACTCGCATGTTCTTGCAATAGCGATGCAGGGCCATATGATATGTTCTTCCACGCAGAATTGTGACCTACACTGGTCGATTATACTACGTTGAACTCTATTCGAAAGAATCATTCGCTCGTGTTCACGATTAGGGATTATCAGTGTGTCTCACTCAGTATGCTTTAGAACTTGAGTTACACCATGTTCAAATTGGACGTTTCTTCTTATTACCCTGCCTATGTTTAAGTGGCCCATGCTCTGTAGTTCCTCTGTTGCATGTTTCCATTACAATCAGATAATTCCTTGACATAATACATCAATCCGCTTTTTTGTCATCCGTATTATTTCTTTGAAATTTTCATCGGCGTACTTTTCATCGTACATTTTCTCATGTCGTGCGTCTGGGTTTCCTTCTCCCGTCCTCGCTGAGATCCAATTCCACAATTGCGCTTCATTTTGTTTCCTGAATTGCTCGTCGTTAAGATATATCTCCAGAGAGGGCATCATGACGTACTTGTTGTTGCCTAAGAACACTGTTTTGGAAGCAGGCGCACCACTCGATCTACCCCCCATAAGACTTACTAGGATATAGGAGTATAATAGCGACAAGAAAAACAAAACAACGCCACCAGTGGCAGTGCTGTTTAACATTGGAATCTGAATAGGAATTGTCTGTCCAATATGATCCAAAATCTCAAGAATTTGCTTGTAAAGACTTCGCGGTTCTGGAGTTTGCTTGGAAGGTTCTGGGGCTTTGCGAGCCGATTGACTTTCAGACTTGTTTCTTCTTCTCTTCTTCTTTGCTGTTCCCGAGCCACCACTACGGAGAACATCAGTCATTGTGTCTGTTAGCACCTTCATGGAGGATTTTTGACCGTCCAAACTGCCTTTCTCTACCGCCAGTTTTATCCAGGATTTTGCACTCCACTCGACAAAGGTATAAACAGTCAAATTTGTGGTGTTTTTTGGTCCCCAAGTGAAATAAAACCGTGTTTTTACCTTGAAAGAGTTACCCAGGGGCACATCTAAGTTTTTTGTCACTTGTTCTAGTTCACAGTAGCTCGCGAAATCGAAATGATGGAGGGTCTCTGTGATGTTGCACTTAGTTTGTTTGGGTCCAATCGGACCGCTTAAAGGCTTAGTATACGAATACTCTCGCTCTTTATGCTGGGAATCGAGCTCTGTTAGCTTTTCCTTGCTAATATCAAAGTTCTTTCCCTCTTCCAAAATTTTCACAAACGCAGAACTATCAGGGCCATACAATAAATTGTATACAACACCTAGTGGAGCATTAAATGTATGTTGTAAAATTTCTACCTCGCCATCCACTTTCTCATGTTCAAATGATGTCTGAGAATGGCGTTTTGGACCCGGGTTAGGAAAACCTTTGAAAATACTCTCGCCTGTTTTGTCATTCAAAGAGGGTTGGGGGGCTTTGTGACCATCAATGCTATCAGTATCGATATCAGACTCAGTTCCCAGTACTGAAGAATCCTGTACACCTGTCGACCTTTTCATGTCTTTAAGTTTACTCTTTTCGGAAGATTTAGACAAAAAGGTTATATCATTAGCATCACTGGTATGAAGCAGACTCTGATCATCTTCCGAAGTTTTTGTTGACTGGGCAGAAGCCATTTCATCTGTATTTCCCAAATCTTTAGTGGTTGATTTTTTCGACAAAGGCTTCCTCCTGCTTAGGCTTCTTCTTGATTTCGTAAAGCAGTCGGCACTGTTGTCTTGTAATGCATTGTGCCATACTTGAGTTATCATGTTGAAAGTTGTATCACGCGAGAGAAAAGTCGCAAAAACATATTTCTGATGAAGTGTACGAATCACCATGCCATTGGGAAACAAAACTGCGGTAGATTTCTTTTCAATTTGGATGATTTCTTGAATCGGTACAACGAGATTCGTGACCCATCCTAAAATATTTGAGTTGAAGCAGATATAATTCGGCGAGAGATACATTTTTCCATGCACCAAAATATCCTTCGAAAGAGCACATGAGACATCTGCTAAGAGATGCTCACTGGCGGGAATCTTCTTGAATAAGTTATGGAACTCTTTGTCTTTTTTGGGATGGACGTGGAGCTTTGATGGGCTTTCAAGAATATGGTCAAGCTCCAAATTTGAGAACTCGCTTGGATTGAACGTATGACAATCGGTCCCGTCAGTTTCAATGGTGGGCTCGGAGGATAGCGATTCTACAGTTGAGCCATTGGAAATTGATTTTCGTCTGACAACTTTGCTGTCTTGGGTTCCAGACACAAGTAGCGTATTGTTGTACGTTTCTGCCGGAGAAGGCTCTCTTTTTCCTGACTCATCTGTTGAATAGCTTGAGCGTTTATGCAACGATTCCTTCGTTTCAAAGTGAACAAGCGAGAGGTCTCCATCACCCAAGATATGTATGGGAGAAATATGCTTGGGCTCAAAATGGACATTAGACGTACTCAACGATGAAACGTCCCCAGTCCCCAGTTGTCTCGCAAAGGATATGTCGTTGGAACTCACCTCCAGATTTTGTGACAGAAGTGGAATGGAAACCAGAAGTTGCTGCAGTTTTCCCACCGTGTCCTTGGAGTTAGTGAGGTCGAACGATTCGACCGAGGCTCCGTGTTTTGTCTTCATCATATTTGCGGCGTTGTGGGCAGCATTCATAAGCGAGGAAATGAGGCCATTGGACTCATCTCGGGGCAATGCGCTGGTAGCATTTGCGTCTTTGCTTGTAACAGATTTTAACTCAGGGGTTCCATGGTATGAGGTTTGGAAAGTTGGAAGATCTTGCGATGTTTGGCCACTTCTCACTGATGGAGATTCAACGTTTGCGGACATGCTTCGTTCATGGATGATGCATATACAGATGTGCTTTTATTTTGAAGGTTAAAGGAATCAGCAATAAGTGGCTGATGGGATATGTGAAAGACAGATTTTAAGGAGTTCCAGTAATTTGTAGCTGAAGCTTATGCCAGCAAGCAACTACAGTACAAGCAATGAGAAAGTATGGGTGTCTGGAAACAGGGTGCGGAAGTAGCCGCAGTGCGTGGCTCACTCCGCGCTATAAGGTACGGGCAACCAAAAAGCCACAGCCGAGTTCGGAACTAATGATTTTCCTTGCAACATGATAGCTTTGGATCTGGGCAACGTATGCTTTTTTCCAAAGAATGGTACATGAATACGTATGGACCTGCTAGATGCTCCTTTTAAAGTCCAAAAGAACCAATCAAGAGACCTCGCACCTGCAACTACAGCACGTGACCAGGATAGGGACAATTTCATGTTCTTATTTGGGTATACGTGGATGCCTGATCTATCTATTTTGACGTTCACCACGCGTCCAGAGAATACATTGACATGCTTCTTTCAAGTACTGGGCCATCACTTAAAAATTGGGGCCAAGAAGGATTTGACCGCCTGTGATTGCTTGTAGCTAGCATCGTAGTCAATTGAGAACAAGGTAAGGGAGGACTTGCATTTTTCCTCAGCCAACAACCAAGACTCGGATGGCAAATCACAGTCACCAAAGACACACTTAGTGGTGGCTTCATACAGACCGTACTTCCAGACAGGCATACCGCTGGTCTCGTTGAAAGTGAGGTCGGGGATCTCGGAGTCGATACCAGTCATTCTCGTGTAAACGTACTCTGGGTCGGTACAGTCTTCACCCACAGCAGGGAAATTGACGTTGATACCAGTAGTAACTGGAATCATGTTTGGTCTGTTCTGGAAAGACTCAAATAAGGTGTCCACAAGATCAACAACCTTCTTGGCCAAGATGTTAGCACCAAAATTGGTGTCGTTTTGGTAGCTGATATCATCCTGGAAGAACGAGTTGTTGGTCATGGAACCAGAGAACGCAATTCCTGGAATGCCTCTGTTGACAGCGGAGTAGATGGCACCAACAGTTCCCGACAATGTGTACAAGCCAGGAGACAAGTTGGTACCCTCATTGGGGCCACCAACAACCAAGTCAATGGTTTTGTTGCCGAAGTACTCTGGAATAATGTAGTTCAAACCAAAGGCAACACACGAAGATGGGGTACCATTGAAGTACCAGATGTTCATGTCGTTATCTTCATGGCCCCAGGAAGGCGCACCTGCGGGTGGGTAGTTGAAATCACCGCCAGCAGTTAAGTTTTTGCTAGTAGGCAAGCCGAATTGACCTCCGTAACCGGATCTTTGTTGCACTGGGGCAACCAAGATCACCTCGTGACCGGCACTCTTCAATTCTCTATAAGCTGCACGGATGTTGGTAGAAGCCCAACCGTCATCATTAGTAAGCAAAATGGTCTTGTTGGAAGAACACTCGCTCTCATTCGAAACTGGAGCAGAAGAGACCGAGAGAGCAGTAGCAAGAGTAGTGAAGATCGAAGAGAGTCTCATTGATTTTAGTTTTGGTTAGATAGACAAAGAGAAAGATTTCCAGAGTCATGGGGCAGACTGCCTGCTTTTAAGTCACATTGAGCCTATAGCCATCATTGAATAAGGTATTGGCTTCAGGCATGATACGAGCCAAATTCGGAATTAGGCATAACATGGACCCGGGGTTATTGCGTGGCATGCATACAGTCATGTCAAAAATTGGCACCTCTATTGATGTGAAGCCACGCGGTTGTTGCGCCGCTGACAAACGTTGGCATCAGCAGAAAAAAATAGGAGTCTTTTGCCGGAATAGAGATCGTGTTTATTAGCCTTGCCCTTTTCAGTAAAGTACTTGCATGACTGTTTTGGTTTCGTGATCCTTTTGAAGCCGTTCGGTCGCAAGACTGTCTATAGCGGGGCTCTAAGCCTGCTTCCCACGTGCAAGTCGGAATTCAAATATTAGTTGTACCTGAACTAAGGCCCCACGTTGCAATTTCATGTATGACTGGGCGGTTTTGAAGAGCTGTTTTACTTTATCTAGCTGTGCGGCTTGAGAAAAACCGGGCTGCCTTGGGCCGACGTCTACGCGCAACCATCAGCGGAGATATAATGCTTCCGATTGAGTCGCTGAAATTCATTGGCGTCTCTGTTTCAAACCGTAAGCTCATCGACAATTTTTGCTGATTCAATAAACCAAATGTCAATTCTGTGCGCTTATATATGAGATATGGTGTGAAGCTGAAGTCGTTTATGACATCGCTCGCGTACACCTGTATCGTTTGCATAGTAGTCCTTGTCATTTCGGCTGGTGGTCGTGCACTCGCAACTGGTGTACTCGCGGTTGGCCGTCACGTGAGCTTTCCCCTCAATTTTTGGCAATATAATATTCCCAACCAATCATTCAGTGTTTACTTTAATATGAAGCACACGAAGACAACTCAGAATATATTCGCCCGCTAGGTCAGACTCTTACCCAAACCGACTTGACTGGTTTGTCCATTCTTCTCCGTGCACCAAAGCACTTTCAGGCGTGAGACCCACCTCGGTACTCGCGCACATGCCGAAATGCCGAGACTACTCCATAGATAGTGTCGGTCGCATTGATATACTCAAATATCCACAGGTCTTGTACGCCACAAACAGTCGCCCAGAGTCACAATCGTTGCAAAGAAAATTATATCGACACCATGCCGATATTGTCAACATTGGCGGCGTTCTTCCGCCGTCATAAAAGAAAGCTTATGTTCACGTCTGCAGCATCAGTCACGGCATACTTGTTGTTCCACCAGTTGGTGATAAAACGGTTCCGTAATTTCCAGAACTCCTTAAGACAAGAGCTATACGTGAAAGAGCAGATCAAGAGAAGGTATATTCAGACTCAAACAGATTGCTACCTCACCATTTTGGCATTATTACCAGTACTCACCCACCCCATCATGGTACATTTGCCTACCGAATCGATCACTTCTGCACTCAAGCGGAAGAAAAATGTCAATCGGGAAATGAGTGACTCTCTAACTACCGAGAACTTGCTAGCACATTCGGAAGAAAATCCTTCCCTGTCTTCTTTGGATATGCAGCATCTCATGTCCAAATCCAAGTTGGAGTTGTGGAACGACTTGAAAGTAAAATCCATTTCCCGCATTCTCGCCCTCATCTATTCTTCATCTGGTCTACTTTTACTCACTAGATTGCAGCTTAATATTCTAGCAAGAAAGTCTTACCTTGAGCTGGCCATTGCCATGGCCGGGGGCTCGCCACAAACAGGGTCGCAGAACTCTTACGACTATTTCATTGAACAGAGTTATTTGTCTTTGAGTTGGTGGTTGCTAAATCACGGGTGGCTAGAAATTTCTGACCGTATTGAGAAGCTAGTTGAGCGCAAGTTTTCTGGAATAAGTCCCAAGACCGAAATGACAATGGAAAAGTTCAGCCAAATGTTGTCGGAAATCAATGACGATGTGTTCTCTGACATAGAATGTCCAGTAATGCATCTGATCTACCCAATCAAGTACGATGACTTGATAGAGACTCTCATGAGTACCAACCCTGAGCTTGTCAGCGAGCTTGAGGGAAAGGATCTGAACCTTGTTAAATTGGTCAATGAGACTAATTACGTTTTGACAGACGCATTCACGCTGCACGTATTCTCGAAACTAGTTCAAAGTGGCCTCAGTACCTTGTACGAGAACATTCTGATACAGCTTAATCCCGAAAGCCAAGCGGGACGTGCCAACAAGCTCGCGACCTTCTTGGCCCAGCTTTCAGTACAGTCAGCTATGTTGGGCGATTCCCAGAGCTATTCAGTTGACAGCGAGATTCCAGGCAACGCCTATATAAATAAAATCAATGATGTGGATGAACTCGAGGAATTCAGTGCCAGCATTTACTCAAACTTTGAGTGAGCTTGTATTCCGAGATCCTCTCCGGAGACCCATGATAGTTCCATAAGGGGTTGTGACACTAAGAAATACAAATATTTAGAACTATTTACACATTTTTACTGTGTTTTTTATTTTATTTTGCAATTCACTCATCCCCTTAAAAAACCATGTTGATTCCTAAAATAGGTTTGCTCAAGCATTTTTTTGTCTACGCGTTCTTTAGAGTGAGGCCGCCGCACCTCGCAGAATTGGACACACAAGGTATCAAGTAATACACATATACGTTTTTATTCCACCAACAAAGCACTTCACCGCTCTTCAAATACGAACCATGCCCAAAATAGTCATCATCTCCTCCGATGAAGAAAGATTCCCCGTTGATATCGAGGCTGCCAACAAGTCGGTTTTGATTAAGAACATGATTGCTGACTTGAAGCCGGACTTGGACGAGGGTGATGGCGATGACGAGGACTTTGAAATTCCCACGCCAAATGTCCGGGCCAATGTGCTTAGCAAAGTTTTGGAGTGGTGCGAGCACCATAAAAATACTGTTTTTCCAGACGACGATGACGAAGATGCCAGAAAGTCTGCCCCTGTCCACTCTTGGGACAGGAACTTCTTGAAGGTGGACCAGGAGATGTTGTATGAGATAATCTTGGCCGCCAACTACTTGAACATACGGCCGCTCTTGGATGCGGGATGCAAGATTATTGCCGAGATGATCAAGCACAAGTCACCTGAGGAGTTGAGGAAGACTTTCAACATCGTCAACGACTTCAGCCCTGAGGAAGAGGCCGCGATTCGTAAGGAGAACGAGTGGGCTGAGGACAGATAAGGAGATTACTTAGCACTTGCTTAGCCTTGGGTGAGTCAAAAATACCACTTGGTAACAGGCACTATGAAATACATCGTGTAGTTTAAACTTTTTTTATGACAGGAACCAAGCCGATGGAAAACCAGTGGACAAATGCCTGCGCCTCTGGCTTTTTTGTAAGTATTCAAGAAGAATGTTTTCTTTCCACGCAAGCCGCTCGTCTGAACATAGTGCCACGTCTTACGTGCCCCTCGCGAGCACTGTTAATTATGGAGAGACATATTAGACACGCCCCCAACTGGATGGGGCAAAAGGTTTGTTTGTTTACATTTATTTCCCAAAAACCAGTGAAGCTGGAGGTTCTACAGTTTGCGACTTGAAACTCTCAAATCTGGCTTTACCGAATGTCACTCGAGTCTCTGGATTTTATCGCCTGGGTCCAGCTGCACTGTTTCCTGCCTAAACCCGGCCCAAATTCACCAGGTCAATCAACTCTCACGACTGCCCACAGTGCGCGGCGCAGTGCAGCTTTCGCAGCATTGTCGGTTTCATACTACTGGAAATTCTTTCTCACAAGTGCAACACATCTTTTCGCAACATCAGTATGGATATTGAAAACCTACATCACACCGAGGGAACCAGCACCAACACGCGGGAAGACTTTATCTCCTCTCCGCCCCCGGCTGATTTACCTACGCAGGATTTGCAGGACCTGGGTTTATTAGACATGACCGGGCCCTTCGAGCCGGAAATGATCGCTAATCTCCCGCAAATGACAATCCAACAACTAAGTAAACTAGAAGATTGCATCAGCGATGAGTTTGCGCTGCTTGCGCGAGAATACGTCCAGGCAAGAAAATCACGGGTGGAGTACATGCAAAAAAACATCGAGTCTCAAATAAGAACGTTTCAGCAAAACGACACTTCGTGGTCCAGTTTTTACAACCAACAAGTTAAGCTCATAGACACTCTCACGAACCTTACGGAAAATAACGTCATTGGAGACAACACCTCCTCGTGTCATCAGAAAATAGACGATACTGTTCTAGAAATTGAGACTCAGCTCAAACAACTCACCGCCAGTATCGAACTGCCTCTAGATTTGGACGTTGTGTTCAAACATGAACTGGGCGATTTACCTTTTGCCGAATACTTCAAAGAAATCGTAGACCTACACAAAGCTCAGCTAGTGGCGCTGTTGCATCACATTCAATACCAGTCCGACTTAACGGAGAGTATCACCGAAAAAAACAGAGTGATTTTTTGGAAACAATACAAGGCTGATGTCTTGCAATACAAAGAAAAGCTCATCAACCAGACCTGTCAGGAACTTGAAAATCTACATAAAGAATACCATGGAATTAGCTCTGAAGCCAATGAGGCGAACACGAACTCGCATTACTACAGGTCTGTCGTTCCAGTTGAGATGTCCAAGGCAGATGCCCGCTGCAACACACAATACCTCTTGTCCACAAAAAACCTCGACAAATATCATGGATTTGATAACATATATTTCAGAAATCATAGAATTGAAATCACAGATACCAAGAAAGCTGTGCAAAGAAGATTTCAAGAGTTCCTGGATCAACAAAACCAATATAAAATTGCTCAGCTTGATTCTGTGGCAGTCAAACTTGCGGGTTGTATGGGGCTCTCCAAAGAAGAGGCAGAGAATGATCTTGCTCTGATGAGACGGCGCGATGGATCAACAATTGATGAACAAATTCACCTAGGTGAAGTAATGTGCGATGATGATCTGGACTTCTCGTCGTTCAGTCAAGAAGAAACATATGACTCTGACGTTGAAGATTACCACAGCATATTGGACATGAACAGACCTCCTATAAGGATTGACGCCACAACTCCTTGAAAACTCATACACGCATACGAGACAGGAAGCATAAAATTACCATATGTATCAAGAAACCCTATGACCATACTATTTATCTATCAGTAGGGCTTTACAATAATGGCGCACAGCATACTTAGATATACAGTTACGGCATGATGTCCCAATTAAATCAGATCTTCTCAAGTAAAATGCTGGCATTTGCCAACCCAGCCTCTTTGATGGTTTGGCTGATACAATCAAGGAGCTTTGGTTTTCCTGCGCACGAAATGGTAAATCCCTCGTTTCCAATTCCAAATTCTGACTCCTCGGTCTCGGAGAGAACATATTTAAGCCATTGATAAAGGGTGAGTACTGTATCTTTCTCCGGGTCAAATTTATGAATAAGGCGTTTTCCGTTTGGGAATCTTATTTGAACTCTTGTCAGTGGACTAGAACCAGGTTCCGCATGTTTCTTCGGCTCAATGGCTTCAAAAGGATCTAGTGACTCTTCCACTGAGAGTGGCATTTCGTTGTCTGATCCAGAATTTGAGCTTGCTTTCTCAATTGTACCCGCACTGCCACCCATAGATTGCTTCATGGCGTACTCAATCTGTTGCTCTTCAGTCATGGCATCTGGGTCAATCTTAACATCATGCTTCACCACTGGATTACTAGAGCCCGGCAAGAGGGAGAACTTCTCCAAGAAAAGCTCAACATCAGACACCCATTCTTCGACATTTGGAACAACACCATCAGACCACTTGAATACCCGCTCTCCAGTCATTGGGTCCAAGATTGAAATATGAGGACAGGAATCAACCGAGTAGAAATTAAGGTAGCTTTGACCATGGGGCGAATCGTTTTGGTACTGTAAAAATATGAATTCGCTGCGAACGATTTCCTTGATGGAAGGGTCAGACCAGAAGTCTCTGTTGAGAACTTGACATTGAAACTCGGTTGGGTCCTGGATGTTGACGAGAATCCACTTCTTCTGTTCTCTGCCCTCTTTTCTTGCTCCGTCGAGACTCGTTCTTAAGATGAGATCGAATGGTGGTTTGAAGAGTTCTGCCAATCTCCTCTGTGTGGATGTTAGTTCGTTCAATCTTTCTCTTTGTGTACGAAGTCGGCGATTTGGTTGGGATATGGGCTCCTCGTCCAGATCCACCTCGATTATGTTTTCTTCTTCTTCATCCAGGTGCAATTCAACGATTTGATCTTCGCTCTCGCTGTCATTCATATCCAAATTTTCATCAAATTGGTCTCCATAATCACCATCTTCATCGAACCTTTGGTTGAATATGCCCACCCTGCCGGCTCCAAAGATGGCTCTCGCGTGATCTACCCCGGAGTCGTAAGCCGGGAAAGAATCTAGCAATGTTTCATGACGGTGGACGTTTGCATCGGCCTCTCGTACTCCGTTATCTTCGTATGCTTCCAGTTGCAATCTTTGTGCAAGTTCCTCGTCATTTCTCGAAGCCAGGGGCGCCGCTTGATTGGACCCGGACTCCATATACAACTGCACGGCATATTCAAGGTTGCCACCACTCACATCCAAAAATTGTTTGGCTAAGGCAGGGTCATCTGTGGCTGTGAATGCGAGGAAAGTGTCAATACTGTCATCCATATTCCGTAGAAAAGTTATTCTTCAAGAAGGATCAGGTTTGCTTTCTCGCTATGTTCTGAGTTCAAGAGTGAGGTTGAGTGCGCGAAGATGCGGGTTCTAGTAGTAACCGGGTCTTAACCATGGAAGCGGGTAGCCGAATTGTTATTTATTTTCAAATATTTATATTAGCATGGACATCCACCCTGGCAAAAAGCCATGAGTTCATCGGCATATTTTGCTTTTTCGGCTTCTCTTTTGTTCTGTTATAAACTAACTTAGTGAAACTTTGGTGGTGGAGTTTGATGTTGGCACATCGGGCAAGGCCTTACCCTAAGGAACGCTATTTAATCTTTAATCTTCAAATCAAGTTCCTAGCACAGGTTATAGTACTGTGCTCTTAGGATGGGCAAATTGGTTTTTATATAAAGAGGGGAGGAAAATTACCTAGACATAATTTGTGGTAGAAAATGGACATAATCCGCATTTGCGTGGGCCCTAAACCGTCATCAAGCTAGCTGCACTACTAAGGTTTAGACTCGAGTCATTTCCCCATGTGTTTCGACTGATTGTTCAAAGAGTTGGCTTAATCAGGCTTTTGTAGGCAGATATGCCCAAATATATCATCTCCATTCACAAATAGGAAAACAATGCTCTCCATGTGCTATATACACGTATCCCTTTATTCCCCTTCATAACTTTCCATCACGCGTCAGGTTATTTAAATATAATAATGCGGGGCTAAGAAAGCGACCATGAGCAAAAGTATGGCTGGTTAGATTTTGGTGAGCCAAAAAACAAGTGTTGACATAGAGCTCAGAGCTACGTGCCGTCTTAATCTTTGCCTTGAAAAATCTGTCACTGGTGAGTTCAGATTGAGTGAACCAGCTTACGTTGAAGACCTACTAGTTTTCGAGAATCATCGCAAGGCACGCAGCGAAGAAAAACGCAGTGCACCATTTTGTTCTCTGCGCTGCTTACTCCGTCACACACACGTGCATCCGCTAAGGCGACGAGCAAGGAGCCTACACTAAGAGATGACCAGCCGGCCTCCAGATCAACTCTTGAAATACCACGCTTAGTCAGGAATCCGAACTTCAAGAAGCTAGCATCACGAAGCATCTGATTCTGTCTCTGAAGTTCTGCTATTTTAGCTGGGGACCTATCTCACCATCACATACCTAAGGGCTTCGAATTCCTTCTCTAGCTCCGGCCTCCGACTCGCCTAAACCTGGTTTCACCAATCAGTTCTTCACCCGCAAAGTAAGCATTCTGGGTCAGTGCCTGTCTTTCTTGCAAATACTAGATTTTTTTTTTTTACCCTACAACATACATCATTCTTCCTACAATTAATGACCCCTGAACGAACTTAACACATCATCATACCAT